ATATTTGCTAAGACTTCACAACCATGCAGTTACTGAATTGACCTCAATATCTTGCAAAAAAATTTCATTCGCTGCAAAAAAGAATCCTCATGTCCTTGACAGTCAAAATAAAATGCCAAAATTAAAATTTTCACGTCATAAAATTTCAAAAGGCTTTTAATATTTTTTAAATCTCCGAATATGCCTGAAATGTATCAAGGAATTTGCATACTTCACTAAATTATCATAAATTAAATTTCTGCACCTTTATTTGCATGTTTATCTTCTTTAAATCACTACATAAATTTTACACCAAACATATGTAGATCATTAAAGATTAGTAGGTTAAAAAATTTAATATTTATGCAATTTGCCACTGAGCTTTATTTGGCTTAATTTTTACTTTCGGTTTCATTTTGTTGAGTGAAGATTGCTCTCTTGTTGGATTTGAGCATTAAGCTGGAAATTTCTGTTTATATTGAGACTGAAAGTGAATATCAAGGCTAAGACACTCAAGTTATTTCGAGCTTAGTTTCTCTTTGTAGATTCTTGCATAGCAACTAGCTTACAAGTAGTGAATATGTCAAATGAATGCCATCCGGCAGAGGAGAAATCATGATGTTCGTGAAAGTCTCAAGATTTGTATTATCAGCACTGCAGTGTCTTTTTTAATTGCTGTCAGACAAAGGATGAGCCAATCCTTGTCAGAGTACAACACGTCTCTGTCACTTTATGCTGTATCTTGGAGACTTATGCCATAATCGTGCAGCTCGAGTATACAATGATCAAATGACAAGCAAGACCTGATTCTCTAAGAACTTAGCAGCTTTTCTCAACCAGTATCCAACCCTTATTTCCATTGCTAAAATTATCACACTCGTCTCTAATCCATGGACGTCGTCAACACGGGTCTTCTGAAATATAAATTAAGATATTTTTGTGTCTACTTCCTTTTCATAAATTATCATTAAAATAATAACATCCGAAGTATTTTGAGCATCACCATGTTTCTGAAACGTGCCATCAATAAAAAATTAACAATGCGAGAAAATCAGTGTAAAATTGTCAGTCGAGGAAGTCATTTAATTATCTAGAAGCTTTGCATTCCTTTCATCAAAAAAAAAAAAGTCTTAAAATTAATTTTATTGCCCATTGTATGAGAGGCAGAAGATTCTTTGACACTTTGATCTTTTAACAGAACCACCTTGGATTTATATTTCGATTTATTGTAGAAAAAGAAGTTGACCAAAGGGCTCGTTCACTTATTACGTAACGCAAAAAAACGAGTTTTTAGACCCCCCCTCCCCCCCCTGTAACAAAGCGTAACAAAATCTTAGACCCCCCCTCCCCCCCCAATAACGTAACAATAATTTTTTTCATTTAAATTGTTTATCAAATGTTTATTATACTTCCTTTAAAATTTAAAATTAATATAGAAAAAATTATAAAAAAATATATTTTTTGAAAAGTTACGTAACAAAATTTAGAAACCCCCCCCCTCCCCCTGTAACAAACCGTAACAAAATCTTAGACCCCCCCTCCCCCCCTAGTGCGTTACGTAATAAGTGAACGAACCCAAAGCTGTTTGTCGTTTTATGAAATACAAGAAGTATCAAATGTCAATTCAAGTGATTGAGAATTTCTTGTGAATTTTTGTAAGAGTCGATGACAATATTTGCAATTTATGCAGATTGACTTTTGGATTACGATATTAAGGTTCCAGTTATTGGCATTTTTAATTTTTTTTTCTTGGATGCAAGATTGTTGCTTGATTTATTGAGATAAAGTAGTTCTGAATTATGCAGTCAAGAATAAGAATATGAGGCTGCTAACCTTTTACAACCTGTTGACTGGATCTTTGAGTTAAAAGTATTGCAAATTATCAAACTTTATCTGAGTTCTGTTGCATGAACTGCAAAATTGGTAAAAACACCAGCTTGAGGCAGGCATGACACCAGCTTGACTAGAATTTGATCTGAATTAACCTCATCGCGGATTCCTCGAGTTCACAGCTGAATTTGCCCCATAAAAAACTGCATTCTTTAGAAAAATGAAATTTCCATTTAATTATCTCTTCCAAAAATAGCAGAATCACCATCACGTGTGACAAGAATGAAATCCAGCCATTAAATTTGCATGAGGATCTTATCGCTTTGCCATAAAAATTCAAATAAACTGGCCTATAATCTTATATTTTTTATGTGAAATGATCTTATTCAGCATAGTCTGATAATCTCATCTTGGTCGTTAATATTTCGCGAGAAATTACCATCAAAGCTACTAATTAATGTTAATTCCAGATTCTGATAATAAATTGATGTCTTTTGGACTTCTTTGATTGCACAATATCCTGGAATTACCTAATGTCTTGCTAATATTTCAGAAAGATAGGATAGATTACTGCTGCAAGCTGATAGCTGTTTATTATAAATCTTTAAAGCTATTGCAAGCCAGAAACACTGAAATCTAGCTATCTGTAGCTCATTGATTACCTAGAAAATTTAAAGGAACTCACTAAATCACACAAAGTCTTTTCTTTTTAATTAAAAAAACCCTTTTGATATTTATTTCACAAATTCGATTGCTTAATCATGGTAACAAGCATTTTGGTGTTGGCACTTAGTTGTACAATTTACACAATATAAATTTAGACTGGGATGTGGGATGCTTCTGGACGGAAACCACCTTCATCAGCTACGTAGTTGACTGTGTATGTTTGTCCATCAGGGGCTGTTTAGAATAATGATAATTAAATTAGTAAAAATAATTAAACTAGGAATATTTGTGCTGAATTTACCTGTGAATGAGAAACTTCCACGGACGGCAATTGATTCGTTTTCTTCTCCAGCATTCTTAACTTCACCGGTTTCGTCACGCTTTTGTCCGTCTGATTGTTCGAATGTGAATGAGTATCCAGCTTGATCAGCTGATGAGTCGCTTCTCAAGACTGAGACTTCTTCTTGTGGTGCGGCTAAAGCGGCAACGATGACCAAACATAATACCAAGAAATGCTTCATTTTTATTTTTATATTGTGGTTTAGATCTTTATTGAAAGAAATTAAATTATACAATGAGTGAAAATAGCACCGACCGCCTCTTTTATACCTTTCTTGAAGACTTCTTATTTGCATATGTTTTCATTCTTATTCTTCTCCTTTTTTTTATTTTTTTTTTTTTGGAAACTACTCTATAATGTCTCTGATACGTCGCTTCTTCTTTTTTTGCATATGGTTGGGAGAGTTTAAAGGCAGTGCGTGTATAAAAAACAACTTTTTTCGATCTCACAAACCCTGGCATTTAGCTTTTTGGCAGAAATAAAAAAAAAAGTTGTCGTTTTTCAGCGCTTGGACATGTTTTTGGTTGAATTCCAACAAAATTCAGTTGCGATCTTTTTATTTTTAGAATTATTTTATATACCATAAGAATTTTTGATTTTTTTATTCGCTAAAACTGTGGAAAATTCTTTAAAATTGCTAGTTAAAAATTTTATTATATTTTCTTATCAGCATGATTTGCTTTATTTATAGAAAAAAATTGTGGATAGAGCATAAATTAAGAATATATTATGATAATTTTATGGATTATTGATGCATAAGTTTGATAGAAGCAGAATTCTCATAAAAATTTATTAAATTATTTTTCGAAATCAAAGACTTGATGGATATCAAAATACAATATTGTGAAATTATCGACACTTATTGAGGTTGATTTGGAATTTATTGATTGAAAATTTTTTAAATTTTATCAGAATTTTGTTGATTTAATTCTTTTAAAAAAATAAGGAATCTTAATTTTTAATCAATCTTTAATATAATTCCACTCTGAGAATAAGTCATCACATGTGAATACAATACTGTGTCAATATGTTGCTCCTTTAAATTGGCCAAAGTTGGTGATAAGAGATTGCAAAGTGAGCGACAAAGAATTCATGGAATGTTGGTAATTGGCAAACGATATCCGTGATTGAGTCAGCTTCAGGCGACATCTAAGGAAGGTCACAAATCACAATTGATCTGTACGGCCAGTGAAGTAAGTAAGTATGTAAGTACTTGATTTTAGGAATCCACAAAAAAGGCAGCAATAGAACCAGATTGATCTATTTGGTCTGGAAAATTGAATCGAGTTTGATGAATAAGATAAAGCTCTGTGATCAGTAATCTGTTTGACGCAAGTAAGTAAATAAGGTGTGCTCTATTGTTAACGTAAATGAAGATCTAATGCTTAAGATTCAATTTAAGAATCTGAAACAGATCACACCAAATACTTTATAAAGGGAGGAAGAAGGAGATTTAAATTATTATTCATTATTGTTCAATGGAACTCAAAATTGATAAACAAAATTGTTGTGAATTAAAAATCAAAAACACGCAGTTAATTCATTTTTTAAAATAATTCTGAGAACTTTAATTATTATTGACAAATTAGGATTAATCAGAAGTAAGAATATTCATAAAGATCAACATGATTTTATTACTTTGTGTTCAATTCCTTAAAATTGAATTTTTAGTAAATGACGACTCACGAAGATATTTGATTTGCAAGTTAAGCTTGCTGTAAGTCTAATAGATCATGACTTTACATCAAATTCTAAGCAACAAGAAGAATTCGATGAATGCTTTCAACCTTATCTTTAATTTACTTAAAACAGCTTCATATTTTAACTCGTATTTCGCTTGCAAAATAAATTCCAAAGATAATATTTGAAAGTCTCAAAATAAATTGAAGATATCATCAATGTCCAAGCTCAAAACAGAAAAGTATGTAAATCAGATCAATTTAATTTCTTAAAACTTTAACACACAATTCTTTAATTATTCTGGACTATCAATTCTACCCCGAAATATGAAAAGTCAACACCATAAAATATTAAGAAACATAAATTTAAGCAATTAAGAGCAGAAAAGGTGCGGATCAAGCTCATCATTTTCATCTGGCAATCGCATGCATAATGAATTAAGAAAAAGATCCAAATTATGGTAATTTTATTCGAAAACGAAAAGAAACTTAAGTTAGAACAGGAAAGACGATTAGCATAATAATCATACGATCTTAGACCATCGAAAGTGAAATCTTCTGTGGCTGCGCAGCAGTTGTTTTATAAATAACACCGCTCAATTTTTGTATATTATGTAATGAAAACTTTTTTCTCATTTAGATATAAGCAACAAAATGTAACCTCCGTGAAAAAGAAGTAGTTTGACTCTTGACTGCATCACAACCGCAAGCGATTTTACATATCTCCATAGCTGTAGTTTATTTTGGAGTGTCATAAAGACAGTAATGAAGACGGTAATTGTGTTGACTTTTGTGGTCGCAACGATAATAGCTTTGCCAATTGACGATGAGAAGCCAAAGCCTGAAATTATTAAACAAGAAGTCGTCCATAACAAACCAGATAAAGGATATCATTTCGAGTGAGTCTCTTTTGGACATAAAATCTATTTTTGGTCAAATCAAGATATCTTCTTCTTGTTTTTCTGTGGAAATCAAAAGTGTTGAGACATCGGACGGTTCAAAGCATTCAGAAGTTGGAGAATTCAAATACGTTGGTGGCTTGACAGTTCGCGGATCTTATGAGTTTGTTGATGATGATGGGAAGGTTCATAAAGTAAGCATTTAAAGAATCATAAATGAATATATATTTTTAACTTCTTTTTCCATTAAGGTCGAATATGAGGCAGATGAAAAAGGCTTCCGTCCAAAAATTATAGACTAGTCAAAACTGCGTTTATGTTTAATTAATAAAATAGACAAAAAAACACATTAATAAATGGATTATTACTCTTATTCGATAAATCTTTCGACTGTCAAGGGCTTCTGCATCGGCACAGCTTGTAAATCACCAAAAAAATGTTCGTGACAATGACCTTTAAAATGCTACTCATTCATTAATAATTTCCATTTTTTATGAGTTTCACTCTTGCTGCCTTATCGCCAAGCTTGACTTAATTATAAATTGGACATACAGAGGTTTGGTCATCAAGTTTTATTTATCGATTCTCCTATTTTTAATAATAGCAATTTTACGGATCAAGACTATCCGAGAGATTTTTTTTTTTGGTATCATAAAAAGTAACTTCAAGGTTAGTAGTGCCATCAAAAGAAATCAATTCAGTATTAAATAAAAACCGGTCGAATAGCTCAACAGCTTTTTATTTGCCATTAGCAAGTTTGTCTCGTTTTTTTTTGCTGTGCTTAAAATATTAATAAAAATTTTTTTTTGCACAACTTAGAAGAGGACGACGATGCTGTTGATGATGCGTTAGGTTACAAAGAAATATAAATGTGTTGACATTTTACATGCGTTGAAGTAAGTCGATTAAGTTTATTTACATTTTAAGCCGTACACTGGTTAATAAAGATTCAATTTTGAAATTAAATTGTTATAAATTGCAAGCATTAAGATCATGTGGATGATACAGGATTCTTAGTCTAGGATTATCTTATTATTTAGTCATTTCGAATGTCATAAACTGGCAGATTGCTACTGGTTTTTCCATATTAATGAAGTTATGGCAATTATAGACCTTTATTGATAATTTATAGGGAATGTTCATTAAGATAAGCTGAGCACTGAGACTATTGAAATTTTTCGTGATGTTTTGATTCAATTAACAATTTTTAAATTTATAGATCCTGCATGGAGATGCTGTTTTTTTAAAACTTTAATAGCCATAGTGCTGTAGACATTTTAATGAGAATTTTACCAAAGTGTAAGAAACAGGTAAGAAGGCAACGTAAACCGGATCTTGAAGGCTTTAACAAGAACGAAAAAAATCTAAAGCTGTTTCTGCTGATAAATTGATTTAGTTGCAGAATTTAAAGCTTTATTTGCTTTTTAAAAAAAATTTGGACTTATTACCAAAGAGTCGGCTATTAGGCTTTTAAAGGATGTCCTACTCTAGAATCGAAAATCGTTGATATCCCGAATAACATTAGGCGCCGTTCACTTATTACGTTACGCAAAAATACGACTTTTTTCACCCCACTTCCCCCTCTTGTTACAATATGTAACAACTCACAACCCCCCCCCCCCCCCCCCCTGAACCGGAAAATTTAAAAAAATGTTGTTTTCGTGAACTTTATTTTAAAAGACAGACGACAGTTAGAACGTTACATACTTCTTGACACCCTCCCTTACCCCCCCCCCCCAATTCCTTTTTGTTACAATTTTTCAAACCCCCCTCCCCCCTAAAATGCGAACGTAATAAGTGAACGGTCCCTTAGAAACCGGCTCATATCTCCATATATGAGAACTCAATTTCAATCTATAAGCTTGCTTGCTCAAACTTCATTAACAATCCATCGTACAAGCAAGAACATCTTTGTAACCTCAAGCCATGTTTTATTTTATCATTTAATTCATATATGGTAAAGATGCATACTTAAATCCTACAAAAAATTGTCATTGGATTTATTTTTACATACGAACGATTAAAAACATATTTGATGATAGCTTGCTAAATTACCGCTAATAAAATCGAAGGATGTTTTTAAACTTATCGTCAGTCTATTTTTAATCTGTCCAAAATTGACGATTTCTGTGTTGTCATAATCCAAAAATGAGCAAACTAGTTTTTATATTTTCAAGTTCAAGTAGATTTATGGATCTTCTCTTTTGTTTATTCTTCTTGTTTACCGTTGAGCTTCATAATCAAAAATTGTCAAAGCTATGTTTGAGGAGAAAGGTGTGAAGCTTTTAAAAGCACGAGGATTCATGAAAAGCAATAAAAAGTTTATTAGCTTAATTAGGTTGTTGATATTGGAAGCTGTTTTTGTCAACTTAATAAAAAAGTTCTTCACAAAAAAATGAGACAATAGCGATATTAAGCTTTGTTTTTGATGATATTTATATCAGGTGTTAGACAAAGCTTATTAAAAGCTTTCAATAAAAAGTTTCATCCTTTTGATTTCGGAGTTGGTCATCGATGGATGATTAGCGATGATTTTCATGCAAACTAATATGAATTTAAGTCTGCATGATAATATTCCTTAAATACATGAAGGAATAAAAGGGTTGGTACATATTGATGAAAAGTTACTGCCTTTTATTAATGTTGAATAATGCTCTCAACCCGTGAAGCTTCCTGAAAGACACACGGCATAAAAATGGCTGGAACGTGGTGCCACGTTCATGCCATCTTGAACACCAGATTGACAGATGTTTTTACACCATGTGCCATTCGGGCTTCTCTCTTTGAAATCAGCATATTAATATTGAAATTATCCCTAGACATCTCTTCCCAAAACTGTCCCGAAACTGACACAGACACTCTTTTTCCCTTGAATGTTGTATGTCATTTATGAACGACTTCTTAGTAGATTGTTGCAACTTAGTTGCATACATTATTGTGCATTTTAAAATTCTATTTAAAATAAAGCAATTGAATAAAATTAGCTATTTAATCTCAGCATGGATTTTTAGCGCATTTTTGAAACTTGTTTCGAAAAGGTAGCTTAATATCTCACTTTGTCTGTTCGTTCGGGCGGAGAAAAACTTTTTAACTAGACATCGTAGAGAGTTCTAGTTTGTTTTATTAGCTCAGGTCCATTGTTTTATTTTCGGGAAACGCATTTAAAAGTCTTGAAACAGTGTTTTTGTACTATAATTAATGATTTTTATATTTCATATGAAAAAACACGTGATGAGAGCGTTTAGAAATTCGAATTTATTTCTACCGTTGAAAAATTTTGAATCTCAAAAAATCGTTAAATGATAAAATTTTTCTATATGGAAATTCGTTTCTTCAAATTATCATATTCACACAAAATTTTCAATTTTTTTAATTATATTATTACTAATGTTTTCGTAGTGCAACTTTTAACGGGAAAAGTTCAAATTATTTGTTGACCGTAAGCATGAGCATTCATTGTAATTATTTGCTATTTGCACTAAAATCAATGATCTTCTAATCTTCTAATGATCTGTAAATGAACTCAAAATAAATAGATAATCAAATACTGATCGCTAAAACAAAAATGCGCTTAAGTCCTTCGATCAGTAACACGAGGACTTCTGTAATTTTTTAATTAATTTTATGTGTTTGAAAATTCAATAAATTAGTGAATCTTATGGCAAGTTTTCAGGCTCAAAATCAAACATGTTTTAATAATTTTTTAAAATTAATTTATCTTTAAAATCAGCAAATAGTGTCATGACATTGTCTTGTACTATTCAAAGCACTGTTCGTAATTGCCAATTTCACTGGAACTCATCAAATGATTGTGTCAAAAATTATAAAGTCAATTAAATGAACATATTTTTCATAAAGATTATTAAATGTTTTAATTTGAATTTTTATATTAAAAATAATTCCAGGTAATTTCCTCTAAGAGATCCAGTATGAGAATCTTGCGTGCCTTGAAACATCTTTTATGACATTATCAACAGCTTCATTTTTTAGCAATAACGTTTGCGACACTTAATTCGATGTAAAATTATGAGCATTTCTTCTTGTTTCTTTCGGCTGCTTTGCGAGCTTTGCCCAATCAAGAGAAACACTCAAAATATGTAAATGAATCATATCAATCTAATGGTATACGCTTTTTGAAAAAAAAGATAAAAAACGAAATGTCTTGAACAAGGTTTGGTCAGCTGAAATGTTGAATAATGAATTTTATGAATATTTGGTAGATTTTTCATGGAACTCCTTTAGTGACAAGAATTATTTGAATCCCTAATTAGCTTTTATTAAATACCGCTAATTAAAGCATACATGTGATTTATTGATTCCGCATTAAAGCTGTGAGGAGAGTTCATTGATTTATATGATCGTGCTATTGACTCAAACAATAATAAATTAGCTTACTATTCAACAAAAACAATAGCTCAATGATATTAGAACAATCAATAAGTATGCCTCATTGAGCATCAGCTGAAAATAATCTCAATAAGCTTAAACTGCGAATGTGAACAACAAAAGAGAAGTCCAAAAAGTATTTCCCATAGTTCACACTCTACATGTCCAAGACATGCACAAATTCAATTCATTTTCTACGTCCAATAACATCTTCTTCTTCGCTCGTGATTTTGTAAATTTAGTTCAAGCCAACAAAATTGACATTTTCGTAAATGATTGTCAATGAGTCGTAAAAGGTTCAATGCTGTCTCCAAAAAGCAAAACGAAGAAACGTCTGTCGAATATAAAAACGGCGTGCGTTTTGGTTTTATCAGTCAGTGCAGTGTCAAATATCAAACTATTCAAACCAAATAATCAACTATTAAATTTTTTAAAAACTCAATCAACATGAAATTCGTTATTGTATTCTCAGTTCTCCTCGTCTCAGCCTTAGCTCGTCCAGCTGATGATTCAAAGGATGCAACAATTCTTAAATACGAAGTAAGTGCAACGTGCAAGGGATAAAGTGCAGTTTTTTGTGGATTAAATTATTACTGGATCTTCATGCTTAAGTGAAAACTTCCAGAACTTACAAAAAAAATTAAAAATACCCTAATATCCTGAAAAAGCTTTAAAGTTCTAAAAATCCTTAAAATTTTGAAAATTGCTAACATAACCTCAATCTTCTTCTCAGAATGACAACATCGGATTAGACAGCTACAACTTTGGATTCGAAACAAGTGACGGAATCAAGCGTGATGAATCAGCAGTAGTCAACAACTTTGGATCCGAAACAGAAGAATTAGTTGTTAGAGGCTCAGTCTCATGGATCACACCTGAAGGAGAGACCATCACACTCAACTATGTTGCTGATAAGGACGGTTACAGACCAGAAGGAGCACATATACCATCAAAGTAAACGTTGAATATTAATTGTTAAGTTTTAAATCAAAGAAAAATTGGGAATGAGAATAAAAAGCTTTAAGCTTTATGTAAAATATTAAATAAATTGCGTTTGATTTCATGCTATTAAATAAAATTAAATTAATAGTTTCATGACTATGGGTTGATGATGATGACTTTTCATAACAAAAACAATCCATTGTTTGAAGTGTTAAGAAATTCCTTTCAAAAAGTTCATTCAATAATTGACGTACAATTTCATGTGTATGCCAATAATATTAAGGTGAATTTTGTACTTTTGATAAATTCGAAAGTATTTAAAGAAGAAGTGCCTTTAAAGGTTTTTCCTTGAATTAAAAATAAAACAAACTAGTGTATCGGGTAGAAACCCAATGCGGATTATATTCACACCGTACCATCAAAAGTCTTATGGATAGACCAAGATTTGCCCAGCATAAGTATTAAGGTATGAAGCTTGATAAGTTAACTGAGATTCCCTCAGCATAAGTTTTGAGATATAAAGCTAGCGAGTCAGATGAGCTTTGCTCAGCATAAGTTTGAAGGTCTAAAGCTTAACGTCAAAAGTTGAATTTTATAAAAATCGCAGTAAACTTTTTTTTTGAAAAATTCGTGAGAAAGGAAAGTTTTTTGCTTTTTCTGAAGCAACGGCTGTTCCTATCTTGCCCAAAAACAATACAGCTCTTCTATAGAGCAGCACGGATCAAATGTAAAAACTAGAAGTCTCTACGATGTCTCGTTATTGAGATTTCTTGCTGATTAACTTGCTTGTTTGCTTGTTTGCTTTTTTGCTTGCTTACAGAAAGCGTATTTTGCGATTTTCTCAGCTTGTTCTTCTTTGAAATCTGTTTTTTGCAAAAGATGTGAAATTTCAGGCACAACTTTTCATTTTAGAACATGTTAAGCAATCTTGCTACATTTCAACGCAAAATGCAAAAAACTGATTTTTCAATCTGAACAAAACCAATAGATTCACACGTGAAAACGGTGTGAATATAAAAAAAATTGTACAATATTGAATTAAAAAGATTTGTAATCAATTTAACATCTTGAATATTTTTGGGGAGAAAAAGGAAAGAAGACAAAAATCCATTCACTCATTTCATATTTTATTGCCAGCAGATCATAAAGACAATGCCATGAGAAGCTTATTCAGTAATAATGTTTTAAATATTGCTGATGGTAAGGAAATATTATCTGATACCAGAAGCCTGAAGCTTTTATCTTGATTTAATTTTTTATTTGGAGATGTCGGGTTATCTTTAGTTCCATAAAGAGTGTGGAACAGCTGAATGAGAATCATTTGTCAATCAATCACTGATTCATAATTAATAATGCAATTAGACAATAATTCCAAAATTATAACACACAAATTGCTGATAAGCGCCATATAAAATCAAGCTTGCCATATAAAGTCACAGCTCAATAGTTGCTTGCCATCCTAAACCACAGCTCAACAGTTGCTTGCCATTCAAAATCACAGCTCAACAGTTGCGCGCTATCCAAAGTCACAGCTCAACAGTTGCTTGCAATACAAAATCACAGCTCAACAGTTGCTCACCATATTTAAACACAACGCAACAGTTGCTTGCCATATTTAATCACAGCTCAACAGTTGCTTGCCATCGTAAACCACAGCTCAACAGTTGCTTGCCATTCAAAATCACAGCTCAACAGTTGCTTGCCATATTAAATCACAGTTCAACAGTTGCTTGCCATACAAAATTACAGCTCAACAGTTGCACACTCCATTGATTCAGTGAATGAATGAAACCAAATGTAACTAAAATTAAAAGCAACATTCCGCTAAATTAAAAGTCAAGCTCTTGAGCAAGGAACTACAAAAATTCCTTTTTAATTTTTATAACATCTCTCCATGTGAAGGAAATGACAATAATAACTTTTATGGATGTTTTTAATAGATAATTTTATTGAAGTTTTGTCTAAAGTTCGCGAGTTTAATGATTCGAGCAAATTAGTCTCGTGCAATTTACTTAAAAGGCACCTAGAAGCACCACATCATTTGGTTGGTAATGCCCTCTCATTTAATTGAGATTTCAGCATCTTTAACAGCCTCATCCTTTTCATTATAGTATTTATGCATGTAAATTAACTCATAATCAGACACTGATACCTTGACTTTTTTTTAAAGGATAATTGGACTCAGTTGAGCAAGTAAATCTGTGATTTATAATAAAATTATTCATAAAGTTGTTGAAAAGAAATGAATTGCTGTTTTGGCACATTATTAATTCCTCGATTCCCGTTGGAGATTACTTTTGTGCATAATGATTTATTTCCATTCTCTTCATTCTTTCAATCCGGGCTATTCATGAAACATGAGTGAAATGCTCATATTTTAACTGTTTAATCTGAATGTGATTTAATTTAGAATTTTATTATTGACGATTTGCATGCAAATTTCATTTTTGAGGCTTGTGCATTAACTTGGATGTTAAGTATGATTGTGCCACAAATATCAAGTTTTTTAATAATATTAATTAAGTTTTATGCTTCACATTATGAAGGTGTCAAGTTCTAAAGGCAATAATTACTTCATCTGAATTGGATATAATTGAAAATTACATTTGAAATAACTCGATTAAGATCTGCAAATGACGATGATCTTGAGTCTTGATAAAGCGTTTATTTCAACCTTTTCCACATATTGTCTAGGTCAGTGTTTACAACATTGCACCAGTTTAACTACTAATGTAGTTGCAGTGTCAATTTTAAGTTAAAAAAGAAGCTTCAGACCTGGTCATCATATAAAGTTCATAACATGTAGTGCCACATGACTCTCACTTCTTCCATCTTGACAATGAATTTAAAAAAAATCTGAAGATCACAACAAACAGTCCGATGCATCTCATTAAAATAATGTAAAGCAACATAAATATTAATATTTATGTCTTTCCTCACTTCTTTTTGACGGTGTACATCAGCTTGATAAGCATCTGAGAATGTTTTTTTTTTTCACTTTGAATTAAAAATGAAGATTTTTTAATGACGCATTCTTGTCAAGTCTCACTTCCCTCAACAGATAAATTTTACAACTTTTTACTGTGCTTCTCACCTTGTGAATGCTTATGGATCAGGAAATTTTATTTTGATGACATTTTTGATTGCATTATTGACGATTTTTGATGATTGAATTTGTAATGTCTCTTAATATTGACTATGGAGATTTGTCAGAACATGATCATAAGTCTGGAGCTGTATAAAGCTCTATACAAACAGAAATGGAGAAATTAAGAGTCAAAGTTATTATTTAAGGTCAGTTGTCTTATGTTGGTCCATTTTAAATCAATTTGGATGTATAAAATTCATTCCAGCTCCACAAATTCTCAAAATAAGTAACTTGCTACTTAATAAATTCACTGCATCGTCGTTTAAACTTACTACTCATCTCAATTTCAAGACTCAGTCCTCATGACTCTAAATCATCCATCTTAAGGTATCAATTTACAATCGATTATAAAATAGCTTGAGGAAATGAATATGCCAAAATCGGCAAAAATTCCATAAATATTTTGAATGCTAAATAATGGCTTGCATGGGTTATAGTTCTCCAATTTTTCATGCTAGACACGAAAAAATTACGCTCAACATCGTGACTTAAAGATGAAGCATTTAAGTCAAATCTGCACTTTGTTAGCTTCTGCAAATTTCTGCATGGCAAGTTCAGGCTTTCTTGGTAAGCAAACAAATAAATTAAATTTCACGGCTTAGATTTCCATGAGCTGAATGATTTTTGCTTTGTTACGAGCATGTTGAATTGGTGCATCATTATAATGCCTCCTACTGCTCATCACACAAATGTCTTTTTTTGATTTACATCATTCGCAATGAAAAAGAAGCAAAAAAAGAGAAAGGTTATCAGAGGTTAGGGACAGCCTCATTATTCACCAAGTTAACCTACATTTATGCTATAACCCTCACATCACATATAAAATTTTTTAATTGCACATCAATTTTTTTTATTATTTCGGCATATTCATAAAAATAACTTTTTTGTTGTGTCTACGGCGATGTTGTTCGAGAGCTTGCGCTAAAATAATGCAAAATATTCAATAAAGCTATAAAAAAAAATTGAAAGAGGTGTATCAACTTAGAAGAATGCGACATTTAAAAGGCACGCAATAAAGAGAGTGCAAAAATCATCTTTTGTTGCTGGGAATGCAGAGATGTAGACAGTGAGGGAGGAGGTAGATTTCTTACTCCTCACTGTAGACTCATGTTCGTATGTGAAGCTTAGATTACAATAGATCTGTTTTTGGATTTATCATTTGGATTGTTTTAAGCAGTTTGAACTTATATTTATTACATTTTGATCATTTTAATCAGCTCCACATACTCATTTTGGACAGATTTTTTTTATGTGTAGCTGACATTACTTGAAAGGGTAGAAGCCTGATCTCTCGCATTTCTAGGAAAATATTAGAAAAGTTTAAGGAAGGATAGAACCTTATCAGCACCCTTTTGAATATCTCTAGTTAAAATGACATGCTTCATACGAAACCTAATTGTCGTTCCTCTCTCTTTCTAGTAATGAATATCCAAAAAGAGCACAGAAATAAGCATCAGAAATGTAATAAAGAAGTCAAAATGGATTTCATAATTGTATGCGCCATCCATCCATCGTTCATCGGCATCCAACTTTACATGTTCATGTTTTTTATTATTATTTACATCAAAAATATGAGATGTATTAAATATATGTGCATGCACAGATACTCACCTTTTTTTTGACCATCTTCCATACTCATTTACATGCATAGTTATTATTATTATTGTAGTGTACTGAACAAATGGCATGTCTGAGTGTCTCTGACGTGTGCTTTATACTTTATATATTTTTATACTTACTTCTTCTAGGTGACTATACATTATTTCCAATTTTTTTTTATGAAATTGAGTAAGAGAAGAGATTGTTGTTGTTGGAAATTCATTGAACGTTTAATGCCAGTGTGTAAATGCGTTCAGATTCTCTACTTATTTCTCTCCTTGCTGCTTTTAATATAAATAAGCGTATCTTTTGGTTTAACTTCATTAGTACAATTTGAAACATTCAGTAAAGTAAACATCTCATCCTTCCTCAAAAAAATTATCAAAATGAAATTCTTCGCTGTATTTGCTTGTGTTATTGCCGCTAGCTTAGCTGCTCCATTGGATGATAGCAAAAATGCACAAATCTTGAGATACGAAGTAAATAAATTTAAATTTTTTGGAATAAGTTGAGCTACTGCTGTGAATTTGTGATAAAAATTAAAGTTTTGGAACTTTTTTGATTGAAGATTCTGAAGTGACTTTGTGAAAATTATCAGAAGCTGTCAAAAATTTCATAAAAAAAATAAAATGTGAAAACTTAAAGTACAGGATAAAGTTCGCAGCTTCAGACTTTACCAAATAAAATGACCAAAAATCAAAAGAGTTGAAAAATTCACAAATTTAAAAAAAGTTTAAAAATTCTAACCTCAAAAAAAATTCTAACCTCAATTTCCCCATTTTTCTGTCATCCAGAACGACAACACCGGACTCGGAAACTACAACTTTGCCTACGAAACCAGCGATGGAACATCCAGACAAGAAACAGCTGAACTCAAGAATGTAGGAACAGAAAATGAAGCCCTCGTCGTTCGTGGAACAATCAGATGGGTTGCTCCAGACGGTCAAGAATTTGTCTTGAACTACATCGCTGACGAAAATGGATTCCAGCCAGAAGGAAACCATTTGCCACGAGTCTAAATAATTTGAGATTTATGTTTTAACTTTCTACGACATAAAACTTCTTTCATCTTGCCATGACTTCTATTTTTTTTTGTAAAATAATTTCCCTTCCATCCAAAATTCCAATTTCTATCCCTTAAAAAATTCCATCCCATGAATGTGTAAAGAGATTGAAAAAAATAAATATTTTTGATAAATTAAATTTAAAAATGATTATTTAATTGTGTAGTTCCATTTTCCAGGTAAAGAAGAAGCTCGATTAGATAGCCTTAACATTTTAAGTGATAAATTACTCACTGGAATTTATTAATGACCTACAAAAGTCTTGCAATAATCATAAAATATTAAATTTAACATCTAATTCCCCATAAAATTGCACATCATTGATGACTTTCGCTTTCATTCTGCACAAAAAAGCTCTCTTTGTGCCGCAAAACTGTTAAATGTGTAGAATCGCATTTGGGATCGTTCGTCAATGACGTCACCCAATTGAAATGGGGATTTTAGGTTTTCTCAAAAATCATTCGAAAAATGAGAAATTTTCTGTTGAAGTTGGTCGAAGTGATGGGGGGGGGGGGGGGGTCAGTAATGTCCAAAGCTTACAAAGCCTGGTAGGTCAATATGACTTCTTCAAAGTTGAGTAACATTCTATCCAAAACCGTCTTTTCTTCTTCAAACTCATAGCTTATTGACGTCATGTGCCAACGATCCCATTAAGCTTCTTCTTATTTCTTAACATCGTCTCTTTTGAACCATCATTCATGTTCATTTTTTTGAGTATATACATCGCATGGTACATGATAAATGGGTGAAACATATTGCATAATTATTAGATATGCTGTTAAACAAGAAAATTGAAAATTGAAAGAGATAATTGACCTTCATATGATCATTATTATTTTGAACACTTATGGTTCATTATCAGTACCCGCCTTTCAATTTACTAATCATGTAATTTCTATCATTATAATTTTTTTTCTTCAAAAAATTGACCTTCTGCAATAAATTGATTATAAACAGCATGTGCTTTATACATAAATCACAAAGGAGAGATGTGGATTTAATTTCAAGATTGTTTATTGGTGTTTGACAGAAGGTAAAGCTTTTATTGTTTAAAATTGATGGTTATATTTGGATGAATAGATGGATTGTTGATTGATACAAGTTTATAGTTTGAGTTCGGGGACAATTAATTGAACTTTAGCTTATTAGCAGAGATCGAAGCCGATTTTTTCGGCTTAACTCAATTTTTGATTTTTTTTGATAGAAAAAAGCCATTTGACACCCATTTCATGTATTTAAATTGAACTTTACATGCTTCACTATGATTCTGTGTAATATTCTGTCAGCATGTAGCTATAGTGAGCTCAGAATTTCAAATTAGCCGATTTTAAGCCGATCGGCTTAAATTTCGGCTTAACATTCTTTAACTTGAAATTCTGAGCTTCCTATAGCTACATGCTGACAAAATATTTCGCAGAATCATAGTAAAGCATGTAAAGTTCAATTTAGCTACTTGAAATGGGTGTTAAATGGCTTTTTTCTATCAAAAAAAATCAAAAATTGAGTTAAGCCGAAAAAATCGGCTTCGATCTCTGCTTATTAGACAACTGGATCTTGATTTGATTTACTGACATGATTTCTTAGTTTTCTGATGGCTCAAAACAATTACTTAAAAACCATTGATGAATGTTGATGAAAGGAATCGGGAGGTTCAGACCCGTCTGTCTCTGAACTCTTAACAAAACTAGTTTATCGGGTAGAAACCCAATGCGGATATATTCACACCGTACCATCAAAAGTCTTATGGATAGACCAAGATTTGCTCAGCATAAGTTTGAAGGGTGGTCGTGAAGTACGGCCGAGACCCATATCGACACAGTTCAAAAGTTATACCTAATTTATGTCATAATTATGCAGCTACAAAAACACTTAGTTTGAATTTTGTCACCCTCGGGAACACTATGAACCAGTAAAGCTGATTTTGGTCCAAATCTCGGCCATACTTCACACTTATTTGAACTACATTTTCTCGTTAATGTTAAAATATTATTAAAAAGTAATTAATCCTGAATTATGTCGCTATTTTGTCAAGTGTTTTAAGATAAAGAATTTGTTTTTTGATTTCCACAGTGAAGAGTATGAACAAAATTCAGACGGGGTAGTCAAAATTTTAGATTTCGATTTTTTTAAGCTATGCATTACAAAAAGTAATATTGGTATGTGATTTATGTCAGAATTATGTCAATTCATATAAAACATCTTAAAATTTTTTTTAGCAAAGAACCAAGTAGGAAATACATTTTCAATTTTGAACTAGGGGCGACCCTAGTCAAAATCAATTTTCTCACTTTTTTCTTCGAGGGTTTATCCAAATGGATTGAAACTTTGCATAAATATTTTAATGCTTAAAACAAATACAAATAAAACATTCTAAAATTTTTTTGAGCAAAGAACCAAGTAAAAAATACATTTTCAATTTTGGACTAGGGGCGACCCTAGTCAAAATCAATTTTGTCACTTTTTTCTCGAGGGTTTATCCAAATGGATTAAAACTTTGCATAAATATTTTAGTGCTTAAAACAAATACAAATAAAACATCCTAAAATTTTTTTGAGCAAAGAACCAAGTAAAAAATACATTTTCAATTTTGGACTAGGGGCGACCCTAGTCAAAATCAATTTTGTCACTTTTTTCTTCGAGGGTTTATACTAATGGATTAAAACTTTGCATAAATATTTTAGTGCTTAAAACAAATACAAATAAAACATTCTAAAATTTTTTTGAGCAAAGAACCAAGTAAAAAATACATTTTCAATTTTGGACTAGGGGCGACCCTAGTCAAAATCAATTTTGTCACTTTTTTCTTCGAGGGTTTATCCAAATGGATTGAAACTTTGCATAAATATTCAAGTGCTTACATCAAATATAAATAAAACATCCTAAAATGTTCTTGAGCAAAGAACCAAGTAGGAAATGCATTTTTTGCAAAAGATGTGAAATTCAAGGCACAAACTTTTCATCTCTGAGCATTTTAAGCTATCTTGCTCCATATCCTCACAAAATTAAAAAAACTGATTTTTCAATCTGAACAAAACCAATAGATTCACACATGAAAACGGTGTGAATAAAAGAAAAGTTTTCGTATGAAATTTTGTGACAAAGCAGGAAAGAGGGGCTTAAAAATCTCAGTTTTTGATGGGACACATATTAATAAATGACCAAATTGATTTAATTTTAAACTAGATTATGAATTACCTGGTAGTAAGCAATCGACTAGGAGCAGCAAAAAAGCACTTAAGTACCTTATTAGCTAGTTAAAATCGATTGAATAAGAATTAAAATTCAAAACACGCATTTTTTTCTTTGATTCCTAAAATCAAACTTACGTCGTCATCACAACAAGTATAGAGTCTCTGACTGATATGAATTCTCCTTTTATCTTTCCTAACTAGGATTATGATCAAAAATTCCTAAAAATCAACTTACGTCAGACCAAAATGCACCATTCGAGCTTTTCATTCATAAAAATATCGAATTTATCAAAACATCAATAAATGACTCATGCAAGACATATGACAACTATCGCTTTGCTATCAAATCTATAATGATAAGAACGCCCTTATCTACGTATTTTTATACTGGAACTTATAATGCATGTACTTCAGTTCTCTTGAAACTGCCGGGAAAGTGAAATGTCTTTCGCAAAATTGAGAATTCTTCTGTGGAAGAACTGGATCCTACAAAAAAGACGTCCGATTTCAGGAATCTTTCAAATCGTCTTTCCGATTATAATTGTCGTGATTACAGCTTGGATGAAAAATTCGATTCAAAGTAATTTCAACGTTTATGGCTTTCGCTTTGAAGGAGAATTTAGTCTGTCGAACTTTTCAATGTGTAATAAAACGTTAGAAAGAGTCTTTTATTATCCGCAAGACGAAGCATACGACAAATTGTTAAAAAATGCATTTAGAAATCATCAAGTCAATATAACAGGATTTAATGATAGATCAGTAATGGATGATGAATATTGGATGATTAATGAGCCAATTGAAATAGCATCCATACAATTTTTTGGTGACATACTGGTAAGTTGTTCAAATCCGGTAGGAGCTAAATCAGGATTTTTGATAGGAGTGGGTTTACAATTTTTTTTTCAAACAAGGATTTAAATTTTGTTTATCACAAAATGGGGATGGGAAGTGTTTTTTGGACCCCCTAACTACGCTCCTTTACACTTTGCACTATCAAATTTATCGCTATTATTAAATTGATAAGAGCATTATATAAATTCTTGATAAAATTATAAACAGACTGTTATTGGCTATTAGAGCTTGATTAGAACCTTTAAATGAGCTGAAGTGGCTCGGTGGCGGAATGGTTCACCTAATTATTGCAATACCGACACAACGATCATGGGTTCGAGACTGGGCATGAAAATTTTTTCACTTGTCCTTTTAGAATCATATGTACTGGAAATGAGGCTCACAGCCTTCCTTTGGAGGCTACAGGCAGAAATGTCAGCAAAGGAGTGGTTCGGATCCCACTATTAATTGTAGGTCTAGGTTTGAGTGCAGTGGTTTGGCGCATCCTCACTCGTTAAACTCTTATTAGCTGCAAAACGCTGGATCACAATTAATCTGAATAGGTTTAGGTTTTTTTAGAACCTTTGAGGTTCGTTCACTTATTACACACTAAAAAATCACTTGTCCCCCTAGCTTTTTTGTTTGTTTGTTAAAACGTTACCAAATTTAAGCCTCTCTTCTCCAACCCCCCTAAAAAATTTCAAATGAATCATTTCACATTCGGTAATTTTCCCCATCCACCAAATTATTGTCGAGTGCTAATAATCACTCAAATTGACTTATTATTTTGCTAATTTGTTTCAATATCCGTTTATGGCTTTTGATAACAATTACATTTGAGCTCAAGTGCATTGATATGAATTTTTATTGTGTGTCAACATTTGACTTAGGGGTTGTTCACTTATGATGTCCAAAATAAACGATCATTTTTCAAAAAAGAACAATAGATTCCGACATTTCTATTCTTCTTCTCTTGCCGACCCCCCTCCCCCCTGGGCATCATAAGTACACATTTTATCGCCTATTGTAGGCGAGATTGGAATTTTGAAAATAATATTTAACAGTTTTAATAACTTTCATTATCAGACCCCCTCAGTGCTACCAAAAATTTTGATTTACGGGATTGACACAAGAACTTATGATTTAACATGCATAACTATTGTGCAAAATGCAGTTGAGCGAAGCTTTTTGGAAATTTCATCAAATTCAAATATTAATCTAAAAGAAACTACAATGAACACATTCCCGTTTGATGATCAAGTTACGCAAATATTCACAGGTGTTATGCTGAGTGTACTGCCAATATTCTTGATATTCAGCATGTTTTCAATGGTCGCAACTGTTGTAAAAGCAATTGCATCTGAACGTCAAAGCAAAATGAAGGAATTGATGAAAATAATGGGATTGTCGAGTGTCCTCCATTGGTTGTCGTGGTTCATTAAATGCCTTATCATGACAACAATTACATACACAATAGTCACTGTCTTCCTGTGCTTGCCAATTATTGGAGACACTGCAATTTTTGGATTAAGCAATTTTTTTATTGTGTGGCTATTTCTGTTCTTTTATTGCATTGGAGTCATCACATTCTGCTTCTTAGTCAGCACATTCTTCAGTAAAGCATCTTCAGCAGCTAATGTTGGTGTCATGCTGTTTTTCACTACATTCGTTCCTTACTATGTCTACAGTGTTAACTTTGAGAATATGAATTATGCTGTTAAATGGTTCTTCCTGCTTCCAATCAATACATCATTTGGACAAGGCATTTCTATGCTTTTCAGTATGGAATTAAACCAAATTGGAATCAACTTTTCAAACTTATTTTCCCATTATGAAGGCTTTAACTTCTCACTCGGCGAAGTTATGATTGCAATGGTCTTATCAGCAATAATTCACGTGTTATTGACATTTTATATCGAGAAGGTATTCCCTGGTGACGTGGGAATTCCACAGCCATGGCATTTCCCTATAACAAGTATTATCAAAATGATAAGAAAAACAGGTGATAAGAGCACAACACATGACACAAACAATGTTGATTACAATTTTACCTCACACGGCGATTTTGAAGAGGAACCAAAACATTTGAACGCCAAAGTAAGGATTGTTAACATGACAAGGAAGTTTGGCAAGTTTACAGCTGTCAATAATTTAAGTTTGAACATTTATGAAGATCAGATAACTGTCTTATTGGGTCATAATGGAGGAGGCTAGTGCTTACTATCTCAGATTAATTATTGATAACTAATATTATGTCTATTTATTACAGGAAAAACGACAACTATGAATGTCTTGACAGGAATGCTTCCACCAACAAATGGCACAGCCTACATCAATGACTTTGATATTCGTACGAATATAGTTGAAGCTAGAAAGTCACTTGGAATATGTCCACAACATAATATTCTTTTCAATGACTTGACTGTCAGTGAGCACATAATTTTCTTCTGTAAATTAAAAGGAATGCAAAATGATCAAGAAATCAAATTTGAGATTCAAAGATATCTCGAGCAGATGGGATTTATGGACAAGAAGAATGAATTGAGCAAAACCTTATCTGGTGGTCAAAAGAGGAAGTTGTCAATTGCCAATGCTTTATGTGGAAATTCAAACTTTGTCGTACTTGATGAGCCAACTAGTGGATTGGATGTACATGCACGTAGAAGTCTTTGGGATTTATTAATAGCCGAAAAGAAAAATCGCACAATTCTTCTCACAACTCATTATATGGATGAAGCGGAAGTGCTTGGAGATAGAATTGCAATTATGAGTGACGGAATGTTGAAGACTGTTGGAACTTCATTTTTCTTAAAGAAGAAATTTGGCTCCGGATATCGATTGATTGTTGTGAAATCTCCAAACTGTGATTCTTCAATAATTTTGGATGCTGTAAGTCGATATGCTCCGGATGTAACAATTGAATCAGAAGAACAACTTGAAGTAATCTTCGTACTTAATGATGAATATATCGACAAGTTTGAAAGCATTTTTAGATACTTAGAAGAACATGCAACGACTCTTGGAATTCAAAGTCTTGGATGTTCTCTAGCTACACTAGAAGAAGTCTTCCTTAAAGTTGGTGATCATGAGCACATAAAACCACACTTAGATCATGAAGTCACAGTCAAATTCAACAACATAATGTCATTTACGAAAGTATCTACAGTCACATTGATGCTCAATCAGATGTACGCGATGTTCCTGAAGAAGATTCACTTTACTCGACGATACTATGTCATTTTGATTATCTATACAATTTTATCAGCCTGGTTCTTATTTGTATTCTTAGCAGGACCCACAGGACCATCTGGAACATTTGATTTCTATGATGAGTTTTCAGGTTTAGTCCAGACAAACAAAATAGATTCAAGTATCGTTGGAGTTTACACAAAGCTCTTCAATGGCTCATTAGTGACAGTCATTGACAGAGAAGTTCGAGACTACATATTCGGCAACTTTCTAAGACGAAACCAAAGATATCAAATTGGAGCTACTTTTGGAGAAGCCACAGATACTATTTGGTACAATTTTCATTCATACAGAGGTGGTATAATGCCTGTAGCACTTAATCATTATCATCGTGCAGCATTGATAGAATCATTAGGAGATGAATATGATATAAGAAACCACTATAATCCATTTGAATGGACTTATCAACCTGATCCGGATGCAAGAAATCAATTTGACGACCTAATGGTTTACGTGCTATTCTTTTTAATGCTTATGTACTGGCCTTCACTGCACATTACTCTAAAAATTAAGGAACGAGTTTCAGCGTCAAAACTTCTTCAATTCATCAGCGGAGTTAACAGATTTTTATTCACATTCGTGTCTTTTATTATCGATACAATATTGACTCTCATTGTCCTATTCATTATTTTGGGAATCGTTGTTGCAATAAACCGACCTGGATTCAACACAACCGAGGATATGGTTATTTATCTTACAGCATTTACATTCTATACAATCAATGTAATTCCATTCATTTATGTAATGTCGTTTTGGTTTAAGAAACACACGACTGGAGAAACAATTGTCGCATTGTTTCCACTGGCATGTAAGTTGTTTCTCTTCTTTTTATTCCTTTCATTATGCTTAATAGTGCGAAATTTAAACGATTTCATTATTTTTTGACAGTTGCCATTCTCTATGTGGGTTATTCAATCTTGGACCAAATATATTTTGACTTTATCGATAAGGAAGTTACAGAAGGAATCGCATCAGTAATTTACTGGTTTGGAATATTCTTCGGACCTTTCTCGATGATTGACATCTTTGTGAAACTTCAACAAATAATGTACAATGACAATGAAGGTGAAATATGGAGCTTTGGAAAACGTGGAATGGGAATTAATCTTGCAATGATGGGTGCTGGTGGTGCTTTATTCATGACGATCGTTCTGCTTAAGGATTACTTTATATTCGCATGGATTAAATACAAATTATCAAGTAGAAATCTTCCATTGCCTCCGATTTCATCAGCAGATGACGATGTTATAGCTGAAATCGAAAGAGTCCGTAGCAAGACAGCGACTGAAATAATTGACAGTAATCTTGTCCTTAGAGGATTAACAAAAGTTTATGGAAAACATCTTGCTGTTAACCAATTACATGTCGGCGTCGAACCAGCTGAATGTTTCGGATTGTTGGGAGTTAATGGAGCTGGTAATTAACAAGATTTAAGGATGTCATTTTGTCATTTTAATTAAATTTTTAATTTAACAGGCAAAACTAGTGTCTTTAAGATGTTAACAGGTGACGAAATGATATCATCTGGAAACGCTTGGATTCGAGGTTATAGCTTGATCAATGAAATTCCAAAAGTTTATGAAAAAATCGGTTACTGTCCACAATATGATGCACTTTTGAGTGAGTTGACTGGACGGGAAACAATCAAGATTTTTTGTCTCTTTAGAGGAGTTCCACGCGATGAGATTGATGATCTGACTGAAGCATTTGCTAATGAGTTAGATTTTACAAAGTATTTGGATATAACTGTTGGAGCTTACAGTGGTGGAAATATGAGGAAATTGTCAACTTGTTTGTCGCTGTTGGGTAATTTGTCGTTGGTGTTCCTTGATGAGGTAAGTGCTGATCTGGTTTTTTAAGGGAAACTTATCCTAGTCGCATTCAAATAGTTTTTAAATCCCAGTGTATTATCAACTTTTGAATCTAGGGTAGGGCACCTTGGTGGCTCTAGAAAATCCTAATAATATTAATCCTTGTAAATATTTCACAGTGTTCAAGCGGAATAGATGCACGTGCAAAAAGACAACTATGGAATATCATCAAGAAGGCAAGAAATGCAGGCAAAGCAATAGTCATATCATCCCACAGCATGCAAGAATGTGAAAGTTTATGCACAAGACTAGCAATCATGGTCGATGGTGAATTCCAATGCATCGGTTCCATCCAACACATTAAAAATAAATTTTCAAAAGGATTCATCCTCAAGATCATGATGACAAATCGTGATGATGAAAATTTGTTCCAAGCCATTCAGCAACGAGTAGTTTTGACATTCCCGCAAGCACAGTTTAAGGAACGATTCATGGGCTTATTGACATTCCACATCGATGTGCCAGATTTGAAATGGTCCGAAGTATTTGGTGAATTATCGAAAATGAAAACAGAATTGGGAATTAATGACTACACATTGACGCAGTCGTCACTTGAGTCTGTGTTCCTCTTCTTCAGTCAACAAGGAAAGAGAAAAGTTGAATGAAATGTTTAAAAATAGAAAATGTGATGCATGGGAAAATAAACAATCTTGTTTTATACTTTATCTATGATTCTTTACTTTCCAATCTTCCACAATTTAATTTCCAGATAATAGAAAGCGTGGTAGAATAATTCTTACCCTTGAATAGAAGCACGTTTTCATTGTGCAATACAAAAACATATTGGAAATAAGCAAGTGAGAATGCGAGGGGTGAATAAATATAACGTGCATACACATTCTTCTTTCCATTCGATAATACAAGCACAAATACGTTGAAGAAAGAGAAGAAAAAAAAAGTGTAGGAAAAATTTGTAAATATTCCATTCAGTGAGTAAGTAGGAGCTAATAAAAGCGCTAGGAAATTTTTTTTAAAAATATTTTTTTTTATTTTTTAAGAATAAAAACGATATTTAGTAATATTCTTAATACTCTCAATTTAGATTATTAAATCAAAGTGAAAGTTAAGTGTTAAACTATCGCTTAAAATAGGAGCTAACAAATTTGATAAAAGTAATTTGAAATAAATATTGAACGAACGGACATGTTGGCTGAATGAGGGAGAGGAAAAATTTTTTCCACTTGACGCCATCGTTTTTTCATTAAAACGCGAGTTTAGTGCAGTTTTTAGGAATAACTTGAAGCTTGTTAGTGCTGCATTGACAAGATATAGTCGATAATATATCATCAAAGTCATCAATTTACCTTCCATTAGGCAAGCTTCTCGGAAAATATTTATTATCAAATAATTTTCCACATCAATCAAACATTTTTTCATATGACTGAATCTCTTGTTGAGATGATCAAGTGCCTGATGCGATGGAGTAATCTAAAAATAGTGAAATAATTCAATGAACATTAAGGCATCATATTTCTATATTTTCCAATTTATAAGGGAAAAAAATCAATATTTTTACGTCTACCAAATAATTCCAGTAGTTGTGCCTTTACACACATATACATCATCTCACGGATTATTGAAGGAAAATTGTGTGCATGTAGTGGTGCAGCACATGTGATTTCACGGCTCTCTGTAGTAAACTTCTGTCTTTCTCCCTCCTCAAAATTATTCTTTTTTTCTTCTCTCTTTGCGACCGTGTGATTCATTCAGGAATTAAAAGGAAGCAATTTAGTCATTTACAAGTCACAGTTTACTCATTAATTATGCTGCCGTTGCGAAAAAAAACATACTTTTTAAATCAATATTTCAAGTTTTTTTTACATCCTCGCTCGCTCTTTCTCTCTCTCGTTCCTCATTCATGTCTAACTTTGATCATCATTAATCGAACAATATCAATATGTAATTCATCAAATTTCCTTCTTATTTTTTTCCTGGCTATGCTGCTTAGGACTATGAATTAGTTAATGATATAATTCTGCTGAAGACACTTGTATTGTATTAGAAAATGGTTATGGCTTCTACCGAGGAACAGGATAGAAGAATTGTTTTAGAATTTTGCCATCTGCTGGAGAAATCAAAACAGCTATTTAATGGCTTACGAGACCTGCCACAATATGGTAAGACGATCTATCTTACATCTTTTCTTTCTTTTGTGCATTTATGCAAAGTTTTGGATCAAAACGATAACTTTTTCTTCCTTTCTACTTTCCACTTCTTACTTTTTTGTAGGTCACAGGCAGTGGCAAGCTTATTTTGGTCGAACTTTTGATGTGTACACAAAGCTATGGAAATTCCAACAGCAACATCGGCTAGTACTTGATTCAAAATATGGTTTAAAGCGATGGCAGATAGGAGAAATTGCTAGTAAAATTGGACAATTGTATTATCACTATTAGTAAGTCGTTAGCAGTCGATAAGGAGCTGTGATGGTGGTTTTGAGGATGCAAGCTGTTGTGTTCTTGGTTTATCTTTGTCAAGATAGTCTTGGCACAAGTTGATAAACCTTAATTTGAGGTTTATTGTTAAATGTCCAAATACCCTTCCCTTGATTACACCACTTGTATTATGGATAGCTGAAACTAAGCACATACCTCGTCCTTTTAGTATCAAAGATCTATAACAATGTTTGATTCCTTCAGAACCTGACTAATCTTGTCATGTGCAAGTTCCATTCAATTCCATTGATTGCCATTCAATTTAAGATACCTAGAAGTACCAAACCAATGCTTGAAACATGCCAAGAGCTCTGAATCCATCAAACTCATCACTATATCCTTAATAAACTTCAAATATCCACCAAATATACTAATCAATCTATTTACAGTTTACGTACAAGCGAAACAAATTATTTGAATGAAGCATATTCATTTTATGCTGCAATACGCGGACGTGCTTATTATTCACGTGCTTGTAAAGAAGATCGGCCAGATCTAATGGTCAAAAAGCTGAGATATTATGCTAGATTTATCGTTGTATGTTTATTATTAAAGAAAATGAAACTTGTGAGAGAGCTTGTCATTGAATTGGAACGACAAATACAGGAGTATACTCAAACGTGAGTTTTTACAGGATATATATATGCTTGTTATTTAATTTTAACATCAACATAATTCTCATTCTACCTTTTAGCTATGAACCTGAAGATGCTTTAGAGTGGGCACTAGTGTTAGATGAAATAAAAGGATTCATTAAAGCTGATGCAGCTGTGTCGGTGCTTCATGCTGAAAATGCAAATCCTATTGTACTCTCACACAGGTATGTAATGGATGTGTGGCATCTATATCCGCCATACAATGCTCTCATATTGTCTCTTTTGTGAGTGTTGTTGTTTGTTGTTATTTTTTACAATTCCTCTTTGTCATCATTTTTATTATGTTTTGTACTTCTTCTTTCTACTCATTCATTTTGAGTTTTTCACAAATTTTCTTTTTTCTGATGATTTTTGTTGTCTCGTACTTCTTAGTTATGAGTTTGAAAAGTGAATTCAAAAAAAAATGAAAATTCTTTTATTTGTTTTTTGAGACTTTTTTTTATTATACGTTTTTGCTAAATGCTGCAAAAAAAGTATCTATTTGAATATGAAAAAGAATTGATATGTGTATTATGTTTTATGAATTTCCATCTTTTAGAGTAGAGATCTATCATTATTCTTTCAGTTTTTTGTTGAACAACAAAACAAACTAATCTACAAAATATTATGATTTGTAGGCCCGTGTTTTCAATTATTATTTCTTTCCCTTTCCTACTTTCAATCTTTCCAAATAAAAAAACAATGCCTCAAAAATTCAATTGTTTATCGATTTGTCTCTCCTCCTTGTCTTCATTTAATCTATCTATCGACTGATATTATTATCAATACATACCTAATATAACCACATATAAATTCGATATGAGATTTTAGGATATCCGATTTGTGAAGAAGATTGATAAATTATTAAATTTGACTCAATTGTCCCTCAATGCATTATGAAATTTTTTAAGGCCTATAGACATGAAAATCTCTATATCTACAAAAAAAAAAATACTCTCATTTCTTTCTCATGTGTGCATCCATTAACTTTTTCAACTTGAGTACGAATGATGCTAATGTATCTTATTATTTGAATTCAATCGGCTTTCCGTGTGACACAATAATGGTGATACAGTGCCATATGGTGATAAAAATTTAGTATGATGACATATTTTGTGACTGTGTGAACAGAAAAAAAAACTTTTTTTTTCTGCTGCAAGTGGAAGCTAGCATACGGGTCTTTTCGGATTATATATTCTGGAAAGTCCTAGCTTTTTTTTTTTTGAAAAAGTAAAATTGTGCCAATGTGGAGTCGTGATAACTTATGTACACTGCTGGATGTTGAAAATGGTGACAGGATTTATTTCTTAAGAATTTTTCAAGGATATTATCATTTTGTGAAATAAAGAGAATTAAAGAGGACAAGTTTAGGACATTCTTGCAATGTCATATCTACAATATTTCTTTATAATGATTGAGAAGATCAGTCTCCAGTGGGAATCGAACACACATCCTCACAAAAGATAGTTCCAGGTATTGGGTCTGTTATCAAACCACTCGCGCTATAGAGGCTTAGATTTAGCACTGACAGATTCGCATATATGTGACTCGAAACCTTAGATTCCTCTCTACTCTGACATCTCAATTCTAAAGTGTTACGAAATAAGCATAGGTTTTCATATGAAATTCATTCTATTGTACTTCAGATAGCTTCCAGATGGATCTTATGTTGAGCTATGCTTAGAACAGAATTTAGCTGATTAAATTATTTTTTCGGGATTTAATGGTTTCCTGACTTACAGACGTCCCGTGACAAAAATTAAGGCTGATCATGAGCTTGGATTTTTATAGAATTGTCATCTTCTTTCAATTTTCCATAATTTTGAATCAGTTTTTTAAATTAAGCTGGAAAACATCTATTCCCCAATAATTCGCTCATTTATAACTTCCATTAAAAACGTAGTTTTTGGAATCCTAAACCTGTACGTAATATTAGAAAAATCTTTTTCCAATCATCGGGCACTTTAAAGTCATTTAAAATTATATATGATATATCATCTATGACATAGCTGGATTAGGGCCACGAAATGAGATGTCACATATTAAATATGCGAATTCAAGGAACTAATCATCTATAGCTCATTATTAAGTCACAATAAACCCAATTTTCATATCGAATTTGACATTTCAACATCCTTGATGTCCCCACATTCAATGTTCTTCCTCGCAAGAAGTGTATTTTGCTAATGGATGTCATCCCATTATTGTGCTACCCGGTATATTTATCTCTAATTCTAAATTAATTGATTGACATATTGCCAAACATACATAAAAGTTGTATATTTTTTTTTATGTCTCGAGTAAACATAAATTCGAATTTGTAATTGAGTTTTGTTTTATGCTAACATTATGTTAATGTTAATTGCATTTTTTTCCTTCTACATATGACTATGACTGCTGCTTTATTTATGCTCAATGATGATTTATGCTTAAGAAAATTGATTATTGCTTTGTTTCATAAATTTAAAAGAAAGTTTCTTGACATAAGATTAAAAAAAAATCATTCATTTTCATTCATTAAAAGCTCATTGGAACTTTACATCATTTAATTTATTGCCATTTCACCAAACAATTATTCATTAATTACGAAAGCACGGGCCATTAAATTATATTATCAAATCAATATGTCTACACTGTTTAATTGAATTTAGTGGTTCTGGTTCCAGATTATCTCCATTGACAACACCACCATGTGAGCGTTCACCACAGATGACATTGTCGTTACAAGAGATTCTTATCGTTGGTTCAGCTGTCGAACAAGCTAAATTTAGTGAATTGACTATGGATATGTTTAGGTAAAGAAATTATTAAGCATATGCTTTGATTTTTTGAAGTAATTTATTTGTTTTTGGTATTGCAGAATGCTTCAAACATTAGAGCGAGAGCCGCAAGAGTCTTTTCATCATGGAGTGATGCCTCATCATCCAATGACACACGGAGGTCCACATGGTAAGTATTAGTAGAGTCTAATGAGCCTGTCATAATTGTTGTACCCAAAAGAATGTTATTGTATCTTCCCATGACTGTCGAATTAAGCTTATGACACCATACAACCCATCCAATCAGTATATTCGAAAATAATTCAATAATAATGAATTAAAGTTTCATTTTTAGATGCCAGTCCTGCAACAAATCGAATGCCCACAACAACCTATGTGCCTGGTTCAAAGGGTTATATAGAAAATGGTGATAATCGCCGATCAATTCGAGATAATCCACACAAGTATTTACTTTATAAGCCATCACTAAGTCAGTTAATGGTATTCTTATCAAGCGGGTTTAAAGAATTGCCTCCCGGAGGAGCATTGTTGCTTTATATATCTGCTGATGGTTGTTTCTCGACTACGAAACATCCGCAGGACTGTGAGTTGACACCTTCCTCATTATCGGAATTAAAATCTCAAAAGAATGTTTCAAAACTTTCAGATGGATATGAGTTAGGAGGCTTAGGTTTAGCTACAAGTGTGAAAAGAGATGGCACAGATAGTGCAGTGCCTGCACGTGGAAAAACTGTCGCACATTATAAAGAACCTCATTGTTTATATCCCGGCGATTTATATCCTTATACGCGTCGCCCTTTGTTCATTATTATAGATTCAGATAATTCCTTTGTGTTTGCTCATATTCCAAAATACTTCGGACAACCATTAGTGATTCTTATGTCTCCGCAAGATGTACCACAAAATTTTCAAGGTTGGTTCTCGAGAATTTCCCTTTCCTCCTTCAGTCTAGCTTAATTAATGAAATGATTCCTCATTTTTACAGCAGATCTTCATCATCATGGTTCAATATTTACACTTTTTTTGCATTCGCCACTTACTGCACTTTGTTATATTTGTAATGTTGGAGACGTTGCAATTCACCATTGGGAGCGATGTCAAAGTTATATTGATCGTTTCGTCACTGAAGCATCGCGTCTTGTGACACGCTGTCGAATGGACGAGATCGAGCAAGGAATTGGATTCATAGGTGAGCTTTTTTGGAGTGTTTTAAGTGGAGGTTATGTTCTGTTGATTCTGTTAAGGCTTCGAGGAGTCTATTAAGGCTTTAAAGAGTCTAGTTATGCGCTCAGGGACTTGTTTTAGGCTTTGAAGAGTCTGTTGAGACTTTGTGGAGTCTATCAAGGCTTTGAGACGTCTGTTAAGGCTCTGAGACATCTGTCATGGCTTTGAGACTACTTTTAAATTTCTGTAGAGTCTGTCAATGTACTAAAGAGTCTTTATTGACATTGAGAAGTATGTCAATGCACTGAAGAGTCTTTGACAAGTCTTTTTAGCCTTAAAAGAGTCAAGCAAGACTTTAAAAAAACTTTGACAAGTCTATCTGGCCATTGATGAGTCTATTAAGTTTTTGTACTGGGTTTAAATAGTCTCTATTGACTTTTAGAATCCTTTTTAAGGCTTAATGGAACCGGTTAAGGCTCAATGGAGTCTGTTAAGACTCTAAGATGATTGCCAAAGTTCTGAATCATCTCCTAAGGCTCTGAAAAGTGTAACAAGGCTAGAAAAAGTCTATCAATGTTTAGAAAACTCTTAAGGGGCCATTCACTTATGACGTCAAGGGGGGGGGGGGGGGGGGGGGGGGGGGGGGTCAGCAAGAAAAGAACAATAGAAATTCCCGGAAAACTATTGTTCTTTTTTGAAAAATGACCGTTAATTTCGGACGTCATAAGTGAAAGACCCCTAATAGACATATGGAGACTATTAAGGCTCCAAAAAATTTTAAAAGTCACTGCAAATCTAATCATAACTTCCTTTGTCTCCCAATTCAGATTCATCATATGTGCAATTTTTCGGCGATGACTTTCTACGAACATTAATACTTCGATTTGTTTTCTGTGATGTGGCATTACGATTACATAGAAGCTTTCGTGGACGGCATATGAGGCCGAGATGTGAACCGCCCTTGCCAGGTCCTGAACTCTTAGAACATCCATCATTAGCTCATATAATTTTACAATTAGCTACACAATTAGACGTTAGAGGACATTTCTCTGACCCAAGCGCTCCTGAAGGTGACTGAAATTGAAACTACTATAATTAATTTAATCTGGTTATAATCTGAACGAAAAAAAAAAATAAGATTTAGTAAAGATATAATCACAACAACAAGAATGTAAACGAAGAAGAAGTAACAGAATTTCCTTTCATCTCATTTTGTTCTGCTTTATATCGTCATCAAAATTATATATATGAAGATATTTGAATATGCAAAAAAAGACACAAAAAAAACGATATTAGACATTGTGAACATTAACAAATGGACTAAGAACTTTCTGACTTGTTACTTAACAACAAAAAAATAAAATAAATAACAACAATTTGCGATTAATTATAAATTAATTAATAATAATGATAAAGATAAATGAAAATATAAGCAAAATGTCGATATCATATACATACAAAAGAACCCTACATTAAAATAATTTCAAGTAACTTTAAACTAAGTAAGAAATGAAGAAAGTACTGTGTTCGTATTCATCGCTGAACAGAATTAAGAAAAAAAAATTATATTTAAAAAAAAAATTTACCAAAAATATTCTAAAAGACAAACAACTTTAAGAGTTCTATTGCTAAATGACGCCACGATGAATATCCATTAAAATGCTTTTGGCATCCTAAGAAGCACAACTTTTATGCCTCATTTTCTGGTTCTTTTCTACTCTCTCGCAAAATTTTTTTTTATTTTTACTTTTCTTCCTCTAAGCTCCCCCAAAATTTTTGATGATGACAAAACAAAATAATAATAAAATATGGAATTGGAATGAAAAAGTTTTTTCTTTATTTTTAAATGAAAAATAATAAAAAAATTTGATAATTAAATTTAATCTTATTTATTATAATCAATATTTAAATGAGAAGAAATCTATCAGCTTATTGCGCTTATCAAATCAAAGAAGAAAAAAAAATAAATTCTATCCTTAAAAAAATTGCTTTATGACAAAAAAAAATCTTTTATAATTTTTTTTCTATTGGATTTGAGTAAATAAACTGAAAAATTTAAAAAATTGGAAAATAATTTTTATGATTTTTTATTTTTGCTCTGTTATGCTTTCGTATAGAGATAACAAGTCACATACATACACGCAGATACACAAGATATTTCGTTTATCTAATAAAAGGATGATGAACATTTATATCCTTTTCCTTTGTCTCCATATGGGAATCAAATTTATTGTTAGGGTTGCTTAATAAGTCATTAGTCGTTTTCCCAAATTGGTTGAAAATGATCTTCAACTGCAAATACATTTTGATATTCAACAATAATATCAGTATTTGCACGTTCCTCTTCAATATCCAAGTTCTCAGCTTCTACCCAATCCAAATCCTCTTGCAATTGTACTAATACTTCTTTTTCACGTCTGCATATTACTTTTCTTGGTTTTTTCTTAGTATTAACTATACGTTTGTGAATAATTTTTCGGTGATTCTAAAAAGTTCTTAAGTTAAAATTTAACGATAAAAAAATTTAAAATTAATATAGAAAAAATATATTTTTTGAAAAGTTACGTAACAAAATTTAGACCCCCCCCCCCCCTCCCCCTGTAACAAACCGTAACAAAATCTTAGACCCCCCCTCCCCCCCTAGTGCGTTACGTAATAAGTGAACGAACCCTATGTGCTTGGGTCTGAATTTGATTTTGGAATTTTTTGTGGCCGTTTTTGAATTGATAAAAAAGGTTTTGAGGGACTATTAAGACTACATTCTTAGAATTTAGCTGATATTAATTTAAAAGTAGATTGTTCTTAATTAACGGCTCACACTACTAGGAATGCATACTTTTACGATTCTAAATTATTCATTTCTCACTTATTTAAACCATAAGCGGAACAGTCCCGCTTTCTTGAACATATTTTTCTTAAAAATGCTTGAAAATTTAGTCTGTCCCTCTCTTTGAACAGAAATCGGTTTCATGCATTTATTGACAAAATCCGATGAACAGCTTAACCATAAGACAGAAGTTTTGAAGAAGCCCATTGATTGACCTAAACCAAACCCCAATTGAAAAAAACTATCAAAAGTTAATTGATCAAATCCACAATAACGAAAAAAATGTATAATTCACATACAGGATGTGCATAGGTCATGGCATTCTACAGTGACCATTTTTTTGTGATGTGCTTATGAACCTCTTACAAAATACGGATGGTACATCATTAGGATAGCGAGACAAATTTTTTAAAAAAATTTGATTGCATTAAAACTAGCAAATGGTGATCCTATGCATCACTAAAGGGGATCTAAGATTGTAAGGAAAGCCAAAAGAACTGATTTTAGATAAGGTTACTCCCAAAAAATATCAATTCAATTGTGGTTTATCTGCGATTATGGCAAAATATCAATTTGATTTTTACTTGCCAAAATCCAAAATGATTCATTTCTGTACAGTTCAAAATTCATTCCTAATAATTTACAATCTGACTTTGACATTGCAATTTAATTTACAAAAGAATTTCAAACCCAATTTGATTCCAATTCAACATAAATTTGATTCCAATACATCTTATATTTTGAGTGTTGATATAAATGCATGTAATTCCTTCGACGTGTATATAAATGTAATAGCTTTTAATTCTTAACGAGAAAAAAAGCTATAAATCGACAATAATAAACATATATGTTTATGGCGAGCATGAAAAAAATAATAAAATAATAAAAAAAAATCTATTTCCATATATTGTTCTTCACTTTCTTTAATCAAGCAAACTCTTTTACGAAAAAAAAACATGATGATGAGAATATAAAGTCACAGAAACAACAAAACATATTTATAAAATCAGCTTAAATTCATAACAAAATATATAAAAGCAAAAATATATCAATAAAACATGACAAAAACATAAGAATCAGTGAGATGAACAAATTTATCAAAATATGAACAAAAAAAAAGTCATTTATTCTTCCTTCAGCATACTTGCCACAGCTACTTACATTTGCTTTCATTTATGCGACCATAAAAACTCGCTCCAATCTCTCGCTGAAAAAAAATATCTCTCCATATCAAATGTTGGTACAACATCATTAATTCCCGCCCTTATTACAAAACACACAAAAAACATTAATAAAAGTTTAAAAAAAATGTTAATGAATGATGAAAATAAATGACAGAATAAGTATTTGAATGAATGATAAAGAAGCTTTGCTGAAATCATAAAATTTTACTTCCTTTAATTTCAAACTTTGGGAAATTTTTTAAAAAAATGATTCAATCAAAAAATTGTAAGATGATTATTTTATTAGGTTAATTAAGAAAAAAATTGAAAGATTTGCTTGTAAATTGGGTTCTAGATTATAAGATTAGTTTATTTTTTATATGCAATTTTTGATGTTCATCGCTTCTATAGGAACAAAAAGAAAGTTTTTCAATTTAATTTTACATTTTGTGGTTGTGATGAAAATACGAGTTTTTTTGTTTGATTTGAAAGTGAGTTTGAGGATTTAAATATGAACTATTACTAGAAATATTTCTTCGATTTACTAGGGTTTTTGAGAGTGAGATCTTTGTAAACTATTTGGTTGATGCATGCATAATCCTGTCAAGAGAATGAAAAAAAAGCGTTAGCTATTCACTTTCTTCCACAATTCTTCCATTGAGATTTTTCACATTAATTCTTGGCTACAAAAGATGATTCATTTTATAGATGTTTCAGTGTCAAGTTTAGTTTAATAAAAAGTATGCAGAACTAATAAACCAAGTTTTGATAGATTTGAACAGTTCAAATCCTAGTTATGGCGACATTTAAGCAATTTAAGAAATACCTAGGAATTCATTATTCTTTTTGGAAAAAAGACTGTTAATTTTGGACGAACGACCACTTATTTTCCCGTTAAATTTTGTTGGTAAATTGGCATTGTATCAACAAATTAACAATCTTAACTGCATCCAGAATTTAATAATATAAACACCACACAAATCCAAAATGGCGATTTGTTTGTTTATTGTAATCTCGGTAATCTTCATATAAAGTTTTAAATGCTGCCCGTAATTTGTTACGGACAGACTAGTTCAATTAAAATGATAGAAGCTTAATTATTTAAGCTTAACAAAGATCCAGTTGGAAATAACTTGAATTTTAATTTAAAATTAATTCAATGTTTACTTTTGAAAAATGTATTATAGTATTGAGCTTAACTTTTTTGAAATTTAACAGCAAAGAACGTTGTTTTCCACCCCTGGAAAAATGACTTTAATTTCTTTGACACGATGTTTTTAACAATTTCAAAATTTAATCATTCGAATCTTAAGATTTAATACTACAAAACAAGCTATTAAGCGATGAAATTAATTTTGAAAGAATTTAAAGTTTGAAGATTTGTCAACTAATCTAAAAATTCATAATGTTTAATTCCTCAAAACCACTCAACTTTTACTTATTTTATTTAAGACTCACTGTTAAAAAACTGAATCTTCTATCTTTTGAGTAATATCTCTTAAAAAATCATAATGGCAATGACTCTCAATACATCAGAAAACGTTACAAAAAAAATTTATCACCGATATTCGATTGAAGAAAAAGGAAGCTTTAAAAAATTAATAATCATAGTCAGAATGTCCATACGAAAAGTTTGTTCAAACGACAAAGTCAAAAAAACATCAAGAAAAAGTCATAAATTTTCATTAATGAATTATCAATTAACACAATTTAGTTCCCTTTCCAGTTTTTTCTATATTTATATATTTTTCCAATTGACGTAGGTAGGAAAAACTTGCTCGAGATAAGACAAAGACAAAAAAATAAAAAGAATGACAAAATATAGCAAAAAAAAAGATGTATAAATTAAACCATTTTTGATTTATAAGGCTACGTATGATTATGATTATGGTATAAATATATTATCAATTTATAGTCAAAAAGAAAACTTTGTTTTTCAAGATGATGAAAAAAAGTATATAAAACAAAAAAGTATGAACATCACTGCCCGAAAAAAATATTGTATTAAAAGTCTAATTCTTTAATAAAAATTTCAACATAATAAATATAATTAATAGCTTATTTATACAGTAGATGAGAACTTTTTTGCATAACAAAAAATATTTCATTTTTATTCAGAGGGTTTCTCTATCCATAAAAGATGTCACGTGACATTTCCGGTGCAATGAAATCTACACGCGACCTTACGACTCTTCCTCATCTATGCAACTCACTTCAACACAGCTATTGTTGCTCATTCGATAAACTCTCTCAATACACTTTGATTTATGTTTACGGTTGTTGGTCGTTTTGATATGTGTAATTATTTTTAATGTTCCAGAAGAGGTTTGTATGAAGGAATAGAATAACAGCCTTAATTGCAGATTACAATCTTCAAAATTCTATTCTTTTCTATTCGTGAAGGGCTGATTGGATTAAATAAATTAACAAGAACTAAAAAAATGTTATTTTTCATTTAAAAAATTTGTTATTTTTTATTAAATGGATAAAATGCTGATAATCGCACATGTTAATTTATATTTCCTTTTAACTAGCTAAAAGGATAAATTTATAGCACTCCTTCCACTTCTTCCTGTGGACGATATGAGAATGAATTTTAAATGTATGCATAGTTAATATTATTATACATCATTAATTACATTTTTATTGCCATTTTGTACACCTGGAAATTCTGATTGAATTTTTTACATACTACATTATGCTGTGTGCAGCTGTGTGTATAAATTAATCACTTTAGGGCATTTGAGTGTGGGATGCAATTAGTTTTACTTGTTTTTTGACAATTTTTTTTAATTATTTTTCTAGATTTTTAAACAATTTTAAGTATTTCAGGTAAGACCTAAATTTTAATTTCAGATATCATCATGATTCACTATTTTTAACAATTATTTGTTATCCTTAGAGATTTAATTCGAAAATTTATTTTCAGTCTTCTTGTAGAAGTTAAAGAGTTGCGCCGCAATGTTTTTGTGGACACTACTTCGTGATGTAATTTGTGAAATTCACAGATTTATCTATGTTAAAGGTTTCGTTTAAATATTAGAGAATTTTTAAAATTTGAAGATTTCGCTTTTAATATGAAATTGCAGCTTAATCTCAGCTAGGCTATTCAAAATCGCTCATGAATGATGTCCGAAAAAAATGTTCATTTTGAAAGACAAACAATGGAATTCTGAGAAGTTGTTCTATTCTAGAGGTCTTCAGCTATCTTTTCATTATGATGCATTATTTTTTCAGAACGCCTCTTGGTTCAGTAAAGTTGTCATTTAAAAACATTGCTTTGTTTTAATTTCAGTTCTGTTGCCTAATAATACTTCAAGATTGAATAAGTTTTCAGCAGTGGACGAAAGCAACCTCGATTTTGTGAATTGGCTGATTATAGTCAACCTAACTTCCCACAAAATCTTAATCTTCATGATGTTATTGATTTAAGTAAGATTGTTTAATTGCATGTTTAAAGATTTCATAAATAAGTCAAAATCAGATAAAAGCTCAATCATTAGTCATTGTTACAGCGAATCCCAAATTATATGTAACGAATTATTTACGAAATGGTCAAAAAAAGCTGATTCTTTAAATCGTGTAACAAAAGAGTTTCAAGAATTTTTAACAGAAATTGAATTCACTTTAATAGTTGATATAGGTTAATTACTTTTCAAATGGCTTTTCCTTCATTATCTATTTACTGAATAAATATAGTTTAACTCAATTTAGGCAATGAAATAAGTCGACTTAAAAGTTTATTGTCGATCAAAACAGTTTGAAATAGACTGTATGATTTGATCGAAGCTATATTCAATCGTATTAAAATATTCTAGTGTTACTGACATTTAGTGGATACTATTCACACTTTATTCTTCATTATTTAAACGATCTATTACACTTTGGCTGTCTTAATAAACATCTTTTGCTATATTTTCATTTCAATATTGCTATTTTTGGAAAGTTATTTCAAATCAATTGATATTGTCCTATATACTTTTTGATTTCATTTGGTTTAATTTGTGCTGATGCGTATTTCAAAATTTCTTTTTTTTATCTTATGAATATCAACAAAGTTATTAAAACCGCCAATCCATCACAATCAAACCAAGTTACACTTTAAAATTCTCATTTTTAACAGATCTAAGAATTAAAAATCAGACTGTCAACACTTTTATCAATCAATCTACAATAAAACTTGAGCTTTATTAAATAAAAAATGTGCAGTTTGAAACAAAAATTTTACTGCAATTTAATTCGATTTTCCTCAATAGACTGAAACATGGATGCAATTAGAAAAAAAAACTACACTAGCAGAAACACAGTAAAAGAAGTGCGAAAAGCCGCTTGTTCGTCAGCTTTCAATTCTTCTTCGTAATATCCTTAAAATACAATTGAAAATAGTGTGACTTATAAAATAATAATAACTTTTTTTTTCATTATGAATAGAATGAAAAGAAGCTTTTATTTGCAACACATAAGAAATAAAGAAGAGTTCTTCATCTTTTACATCCCTTCCATGATGGAAATGGAAATTTTCCTCTCAAACGCAGCAAAAAAAATGTTTTTTTTTTCAAGCCACGCCCTCGGAAAATTTTCATTTTCAGGCAATAGTCAGTAAGGTATCATCATCACATCGCATATTTGTAATGTCTCCTGAAAATATTATCCACTATATACACATTATCCATTCACATGGCACACACACTTACTCAGTTAGCAGGCAATTATTACAAGACCATCCCATATTCTATTCAATGATTTGGTTCATTCGTGTGTCATGTGTAAGGAAAATTCAGCTTTTTTCCCTACTGTGCTTCGCTCAACTCAATTTTCCTGTCTTCATAAAAAAAAGTACACACATTCCTTTCCGAGGATGATCTTGTTGTGTCATTGTTGGCAGTCATTCGAAGCGGATATCCAGTTTTTTCAAAACAACGGCCAAGGTCTTTTACATATAGTGCTATTGCCTTATTTCCGAGAAAAAATATACAAATTTTTTTCCTGTTTTCTTGACTTTAACATATGAAAGTGAAAAATGGCAACGGGAATCACGGTCTTCTTAAGACACAAATTGTTGCAAAATTGATTATTTTTATTTCATTCTCTTTCGTTTCTCATCCTTAAAGTGAAATAAGACCCGCGCGGCATACAGTTTAGTAACAAAAAAATAAAACGAGTTTAAATTTATTTGAGTGAAAATTTCGGTCAATCTTGGAAAGTGATAATAACCTAAAAAATATATAAAACATGACCTATAGTAATGTGATTATAATGAAATTCATGAAGTGATTGATTTATTAGTGTACATGCTATAATAGTTGGAAGGATTTTATAAACGAAAATAGTTCAAAATATTCAGAATAGTTTTTAAATTGCAGTTTCTGACACAAAAAAGGAAATATTCTATATACTTTATATTTTTTGGTGAGTATTAAATTGGGAGGTTTTAAATTATGGACATAAAATGTGTTTATAATATAAATTGTGAATTACATGAAATGGATTGAGGATTGTTTTAATGAGATTGCGATGTAATGGAGGATAACAACATATTGAAGGATTTTTAAACTTTAGTGACCCTCAACAAGATTTAAATAAATTGTTCATTTCGAGTAAATTGAAGAAAACAATTATTTTAGCTTTTATTTTGGACTATATGCGATGCAAGACAGTTTTGAACAGGCTATTATTAAATCTGCGATCTTGAGTTCGCTGGACCTCACACTCAAACCCAGATCTTAAAATAATGCAGATTCAATTAATTATGGGATACTCTTTTGATGAAATTCCTGCTTGTGAAGACTGTAAGCTTTGTTTTCTATTAAATTTCTATGACATTAGTTCAATTCACTTCAAATACTAGTCATAGCTACAACAAATAGACAATTTAAGAACAAAAATGCGTCGTTTAGCTAAATTCAATAATTGTAACACAAATAATAGTACTTTAGTGGGATTATGACATTACTAAAGAATACAAATGTTGACCAAATACCTTATCTATTTCAAATATGAAATAAAGAAGACAATTTTCTTAAAGCCTAACTGTTCAAGGCCTGCAATATTCCATAAGTGTTCATAATAATTTCTTAACATTACATTATCCCGTTGCACACTTTTTTGACAGGACAGTTCCACTTTTAAAACAAAAATTCATCTTGTTTTGAATCATATTGTCCTGTCCCGTACCCGAATGGCACATGTCGTATAATCGATCATTAATTCTGCACCAAGCTGGTGTGATTCTGGCATGGTGCTGTATTTACATCGAAGCCACAACCATGCTAGAGTAATGCCAGCTTGACTTTCGATTTCTATACGATCAACCGCCTTGTGCCAATCGCAATACTTTTCTAAAAGTTATAAATTTGTCAAAAATTTAAATTATTTTCGATTATTTAATAACTCTTACTTTTATAAGACTCAAATTGGGACATACCGCGCTGATTAGCTAAATGTTAATAGACAGGCTACTCATCATTGAACCGTAAATTTAGTTGAATAAATTAAATTTCGTTCTAGAGTCATTTCAATATTTTGTTTGTGATAATTCAGACTCCTAATAAAATATCATAATTTAAAATATTATAACAATTATTTAGGCCACTTCAATCCTAAGCAAATAAATTAAATTAATAATGCACCTTCCAAATCCTTCAAATCAACATTACATCACTCACAATCGCAATCATATAATAACACTCAAGATAAATCAAGAAAAAATAAATTCATAAAAAGCAACAAACCCAGTTGAATATTTTAAATCCGATATCTTTAAAATCTATATCAGTTTAACATGCACGAGACTATCTAACTGTAGAGTCATAAATTTAAATAAGCCTCATCGATGGCTCCATGGCAAAATCTTTGAATCCAAAATGTGTGCATATTTTTTTTTTTTTTTAAATATCAAATGATCATGCGAATGATTCGTGTCATATTCCATATTGTATTTCTTAATCATTTATATTGACTGATCATAGCTGCTTCATAAAATTCCTTTTTTAAAAATATGTTTATGAATAAATTTTAATGACCGACTTATTCCTTAGATTGTGTAAATTAGAAAATCTAATATGTATGAAAGCTCGTGTTCATATCAATCTGCTTTGGACTTAAAGAGAACAGCAGTGTCACCGTCAAGTTCAATTATAAAAACCGAAGATTTTGGGTTTGGTCAATGTGCAACAGATTGGTCATCATATCGCTTTCATCAATCAACATTTGAGCAATTGAAGCAGAGTGTTGAGAAAGCGAAAGCAGCACTGCAAGATCGAAGTTTCTTGGGCACGAGTAGCGCATTTAGGTATGAATTGCATCGGTTCATTAAACTTTAATGTCAATTAATATTACTCTTTGTCTCTATAGCGACTTGTATTCATCTCAACGAATTAATGACCACAATGAAAATGTTTCTACTTCACCATTAAGTAATAATGTCATTCACAATGGAAACAACAGTAATAACAATAATAATAACAACAACAATAATAGCACAAACTCTTTAAACTCAAACACCATCAATACATCGCCAAATGGCACAAATAGTGTGTCTCAAGCAAATCACAATCACTCTCAAAATGATGGACTGACAACACATAGACTTAATGCTACATCACACATTACTGGACAACCATTGAGCAATGATTCATCAAATATAGGTACATCAAATAAAAATAGACATCAAAGTAAGTAATGTGCAAATTACTTTTTAATGCGCAAAGCTTTATTATCAAGTTGAAAGAGAATCTGATCATTAAAATAAATTGGAGAGAGGTGTTAATAACAATAATGCGCAAATATAATGTGATTGCAACACATTTGATACTTTTTGATTGATGGTTGTGAATTTATTGAATTTGCTATTTTAATTAACCGGTGTGATTAGCTTTATGATCATGATTAAATTTAATTCGGAGGATTAAGTCAATTGGTATGAGTTTTATTGATGCCTTAACATAAATTCATTTTTTTTTGCTGTGCCTGGATATGGCAAGAACTTAAGTAGTTGTCCATTCAACATTTACTGCCATTAAACCTTAACTAGTTTAGTTATCACTCGTTCTTAGTAGATCTTCAAGCTAATGTAACATGTTAAAAGATTTCAACTTACCAATTAAATTATTAAGGTTGTGGTTCCTGATGAAATGATCAAAAATGATCAAAAAAAATGATCAAAAATGATCAAAATTGATCAAAAATGATCAAAAATTATCAAAATGTAATTCTTCAGTTCCACACCCTTGGTAAAAAATTTATGATGTGTCTTAACATACAACAGACTTTAAGGTCGAGCCGTTTGTCAATCTCATTTCGTAGGAAATCTCCTTTTCCTTTATTCATTCAGCTATATCCCCTGTTAAAAATATTCATCGATTCGTCAAGCAATCGCAAAATGCAACAATTTAAAAAATTTCCATTCAATCTTTTTTTTTTGTCTCAAAGAATTGTCAAAACGGAATCGCAATTATGAGAAACGACAGAACAGAAAAATAAAATAATTTTTTTTTGATAGCTGAACCAAAAAAAGAGAACATTTTTAATTATTTCCGATATATATCGACATTACCAACAGTTCACAATTGATATTTCAAGGCTGCACACTTTTTGATTCGATACATGGCAGGAAGACTACTTGAAAGAGTTTCCAGGCATAGCTAATGAACATTTATTTGTTGATATTTCTTGTACCATGAATAATTTTGATTTTATTTGCGATGCGATAAGAATTTTTCCATAATTGTCCATTACTTTTACTTTTTTTAAAAATCATTTAAATGGGAAAAGACCATGAATCACGTCACTGAATGAAATGAGCAGTAAAAAGCTGCTTCATTGAATCGAAAAGAAACTATAAATATAAATAAATAAATATTTACATTAGGGATGATATCGCATTATTAGGAAATTACTTTCCATTCGCTATAAACAGATCATCATGATGATGTAAGTACAGAAGAGTCAGTAAATTCGAAGGGTGTATCCTTTTCAAATTGCTTAATTGGCGTGAATTGTGTGTGCACGCGTGTCATTAATAGCATGAGAATCTTTTCCCATTTACGTCCATGCCAAAAATAGACAATTTTTTTCAACATCATCATGAATATTGATGAATAAGTATGAGAAACTGTTCCTTAATTCCGTTTTTTTTCTCTTTACAGTTTCAGTTGTGAGTGATAAGGCATTAATTTCTCAAAATACATCACAAAGTGACAACACAAAGTCTTCAAAATTCCTCCCAGGTGAGTTAAATGCTTTGAGCCTTAAAAAAATTTATTTTCGCGATATCACAGTTGGAAAATTCATGTTCGGAACTGAACATTTATCATTTTTTTTCATGGAGCGAGAGTGAGAGCTTTTATTCGTAGGTATCATCCGTGCACTGGCTATAAATTAATAATGCCACATATATTTTTTTCTCGCAAATATGAATTACGATTAAAGTCAGAATAAATTTTTTTTATGTCTTCAAAAACAGTAAATTTACTGTGACACCAGAAAATTTATTATTAGTACACAAAAAATATCTCACTCGCCCCCCATTTTTCTCGTTCATTTAGTGGTTTTAAATGGAAAAGTATCGATTTTCGAGTAATCGAGGTTGAATGTTTTTTTGGGGTTCCTTTGAAGCATCATTTCCTGTTTAGTATATTGCTGGAATTAACACAGTTTATTTGGTTATTATAATTTGTGGTATATTTAATTGATTGAGATTATTAGAATAAGTCTATAGCTTAATTTTGGGTATGAAGTAAGTGAGGATCTAAGAATCATCTTCCTCAATGTTACATCTTCAACGTAACTTTGTAAGAATTGTGTGAATTTTTGTCATATCGACAACACTCTAGACAATAATTAAGAGATCGGTCTCTCGTGGGAATCAAACCCGCGTCCTTACAAAAGAGAATTTCAGATATTCGATCTGTTGTCTAACCACTTGCGCTGCAGATTTTTCACTCTAATGCTGGAAGATTAGCTTATTAATAGCTTAATACCACAGAACTCTGATGAAACACCACAGCTAGCTTAATTTACAGCATATAATCTTCATAAAGCATTTGTATTTTCAGCATTTATTTTAAAACTATTTAAATCTTAAAAGTATCTAATCGTTTGAAAAATCACTATGCTGATGGTGAGTTTTGAACCTAGAAGTCCAAATTTAATACCAACTTTCGTGACCTATCCAGTTCCAACTGAGCAATCAAGGCAGTTCTTTTCTTCATATCGACCACTGCACAAACCTCATTTAAATATGTGGAGTATGGATCAGTAGCTGTGATTCATGCAGTTTTAAAAAATCTCAAATACGTGATGCTGCTCAACACTCTATTCAAGAACATTCCTATGTAAATCCCAGAAAAAAAATTAAAATTGATATGTTGTTTGCCAATAAACTAGTTTTTCTCCGTTATCGAATCTGATTAATATATTTCTCAGTCATTTGCAATAGTGCCGAATATTTAAGCTGACCGTGAAAATTGATTATGCATTTTTTGGAATTTATTCAGCATTAATTTTACGACCTAGCTGAATCGAGAAAAAAATATGAATTTCAAAATATTTTTATAGGTGACATAAAAAAGTATATTTTTGAAAATTTTCCATAGCTTTTTTGTAGCTACTGAATTAAAAATTTGACGCAGAAGAAGACCATGGAAAAGTCAATGTCGAAGCTGAATTTCGAGTTTTTAGAGCCTCTAAAGATTTTATTTATAAAAAATATTATCTGAACTTTTATTCAATGTGCCATTTTACTGCGACCGTACAGCACAAAAGTTAAAAAGGGGGAAATTTTCATAGTCCACAAAAAAAAATTAGCATGCCATAGATTTATTATCATCATTGCTGTTTCTATCTGCTCTGTCTCCATTTCACTCTCTTCATTTAACAACAGAATTAAAATTCATACATTTGGATTATGTAATAAATATGGAAACAAAAAACCATTAACCAGACACGCGCATGCATAAAATTTGCATACAACTCATTCAAACATGAAGTCGTTCCTTTCAAAATTCAATTTCTTTTTTGAGCTTTTTTTTACTTATTTTTTTTATATCTTGATAATAATTCACTTCCATTGTGATGAAATGTTCAATTTTACGACACATTTTTATGTTGTTTTAGGCAGTTAACATCATTATCGGACTAAATTTCATTAAGAATTATCGTGATCAAAACAAAAAAGTTATTGAAAGATGTCATAAAAAATTTAATTCCATTTACTTTCAATAGATGGCACTAGGAACAAGTCAAGAGAATTTAATATTTTATCGATGTTTATTGTGTGGATCTTTCTTCCTTAATTATAGAGGCTTGTGTGATACACAACAATGTGTATGAAGAAAAATTTAATTAACTTAAGCCATTCCAAGGATCGATAGTAAAAAAATAAAATATTACTTCCTCAAAAAAATGTTCTGTTGTGCTTATGCACGTGTCATGTCATTATTGGCACGCTTAATTTTTTTTTTGTTCATTTTGAAGTGTCTGTGATTTCATGACTGCTCATTTCTATTGAACATAAAATATGTTTTATGTTCTTGAGATATGTTTCGTATGATAAGGTTTAGAATCAGTGAAATTTACACCAAAAATCATAAAAAAAATTTTGAATATAAAATTTTTAAAGCGCACAGTAAAAAGATTCTTATGAAGGGGACTTAAGCGCAACTGTCGTTATGGTTTAGATTGTATTTTTGTGTTTCTTGGTAGGGACCATTTACTTACATAAGGGGAATGGGGGTGGTCGTGTTGGATTTTGTGATAGTTCAAATAAAGTATTTTCTTACAAAGGCGAGGAGGGGGAGGGGGGGGGGGGTGGGTTATTAGCAGCGATCTAGCAAAGATGCCTCAGTCTTCAAAAAATGTTCACTTGTTTATATGAAATTTTATGCAATTTTGGTTTCATTGGCACCAAAATTTCAAATACTATGCCAATGCTAATGAGTTATGTCTCTAATGTTGTGTACATGAAATCCTATTTCTATTTTAGTGGTAGATAGGTTTAAAATTTAGAAAGAAAGCAATGAGTTTTAGTAGCAGATAAAAAACTGGCAATCTTTATTATAAGGATATGTTCACCCTATTTTTCATCTTTTTGAATAAAACTTTACCACTTCGTCGAAGAAAGGGTTTTCAATCCTGGGTTTAAAATGTACTGAATCCCGGGTTTGATTCCGGGATTCCATATATTTCAATTCCGGGATTGAAAACCCGACTCGAACTTGCCACGCTACGTCATAAAAATAGATCTTAAGAAAAACTTCATCTTTGATGTTGTCGATGTGAAAAGATTAAAATCAATGAAATTTATGGTTGATCAGAATCACACTGCCTCCAAGTCATCGCACCTTGTGGTAATGCATAGCTGTGCCACAATCTTTTTCATAATAATAACCATTTCCGATTCAATCAGGTTAAAAATGCAATTTCCGTCTAAAAACACAAAAGCAGACAAGCAAAAAATGTCCTTTAAATTTTTAAAAATCACATAACATGCAAAATTGTCAATGACCCTCTTCACATTTTAAAGTCACGGATTAAAAACTCTTCCCAACATCAACATCAACACGACATAACAAACAAACAACAATAATAGTTCACAAAAACTACTTCCCATGCAATTAAAATCAATAAACAGCTTTAGATTTATGTCTTTTATGTCTAAGGTCCTTTAAATGCCAATTTCCACCGCTTCACATTTTCAAATCAAACTCATTCCCATGAAAATAGCAACATAGAACCGTGTAATCCGATATCATCCTCATAAAAAGTCAACTGAGCAATTGATCATAGATAGTTTTACCATACAATGCACACACTTACTTCCGAAAAGATCCGACAAGGATGAAAAAAAAAATCAATTAAAAAGGCTCAAAAAGAGAAGTGAAAAAAAAGAAATAAATCGAGAGCAATTATGAGTTGCATTGTAATAAACCACTGAGGAAATAGAAGTAAGGAACAAAAATTTGTGAATAGGGAGAAAAAATATTATTTTTTTTTTTGGCACGTGAAGGGTTGTTGTGCAGTAAATGTTTATATGTTTTAAATGTACTCTATAGCCTGACAACATTTATCTATTCATTATCTAGGAATGTCATTTACGCATTTTTTTTCTATTATCGAATTATCTCATTTCGAGTGGGGTGACGTGCAGGGAATATTATTCTCTCAAGCACTTGAAGTTAAGCTCTCTTTTATGCAATTCCCGTAGTAATATGAAGCATAGCATATTGTATACAACTAGTAAATGATACATGTGATTGCTCTCATGATAATTCCCGTCTATAGTAAATCGTGGGAAATTAAGCCCTCGAAATGTGTAAACAATAATTGTTAAAGTCATATTTGGGATTTAGTCATTAAGTGACACTGGTCCTGTGAGAATTGCATTTTATGACTTGTAGATTTTTATCATTGCCTTAATTGATGTTTACTTGACTTTTGTGTAATGTTTGATTTCATTTCATGAATTTTTTATGATTATTTGTTTACTTTTGGTCGAGTGTTTTATTAATTTTGGGTTCTGTTGTGCTGATGATGAGGGCGGTTTAGGTAAATTGGGACATAGTAAATATTGACAATTTTGATATTTGCTAAAGGATGATTTTTTAAGGAGACAAAAGGAAATTAGCACGAGCATTCTTAAGGGGATAAATAATTTTAGAAAAGATGTTCGACAGAGGAAGGATGAGTTAACATTTTTGTGTCATGTGCACAATGATATATTCCTTTTACTTTACTAGGATGTAGTAAATGGTTTATGCGCAATGATGATTAAATGTTCGTACATCTTTGCGTACCTGATGAAAGAAATATTTTTTAATTTTATATGAGCTTTAGACTATTGTTCTCAAGCTTTCTTACATCATTGGACATCAGGCAGGTTTTTGTCAATTTAGTGGGACATTTTGCATAACAGACACGGGTTTTTCTAAAGAATTTTTATCATTTAGTCCTGATTTTTGAAATTCCCTGGAATGGTGAGCTAGGTGAGCTAAAGTTGCTCGGTGGCGGAATGGTTTAGTGCTTCGGTACCTAATTATTGCAATACTGACAAAGCGATCATGAGTTTGAGACTCAGCATGGGAAAATTTTAACTTGTCCTTTTTCGAATCATGTGTACTGAAAATGAGGCTCACAGCCTTTCTTTGTAGGCTACAGGCAGAAATGACATCAGATGAGTGGCTCGGATCCCACAATAAACAGTAGCACTTGGTTTGAGCGGGAGGTCTGGCGAACTCTCTCTCGTTGAACTATCATTAGCCTTGTGACGCATAAAACGCGCAGCTATGGAACTTAAGTCTGAATTAGGGTTTTCAATCCCGGGATTGAAACGTATGTAATACCGGGATCAAACCCGGGTTTCAGTACATTTTAATCACGGGATTGAAAACCCTAGTCTGAATGCTAAAGTTTTTTTTATTATCCGCTTAATACTAATGTAGTTATGATAATCATAATGATTTGGTTCTCAAATGGTCTACTATGAATTGTAGGGATTTAATTAAGTAGTTGACCTTTTTACCACGTTTTTTTCAGTCCATGGCTTAAACAGCTTCTTCAATTGTTGCTCTTCCTCCTTCTTTATGGTCATACGACAAGCTGTTCAACAGACTTATATTTTTCAGCAAGACTGAAACTCTTCAACATTCATATAAACTTAAATCACAACAAATCAAAAGCATTTCAAACATTTCAAGTTCCAACTAAATATTTGACACCAAAACACGATTAAATTCCAAGTAAGAATTAAGTAAATTTTTCAACATTTTAATCCTTCCTATCATAAAAGTATGTAAACGAGCCTATTTCCGATACTTCCGAAAGAAGAAAAAGAAAAATAAAATCGCAAACTAAACAAACAACAGAAAATTTATTTCAACACAATAACAAAATGAACATTAATCCTTAAGCATTTAAAAAAAAAGGAGAAAAGAAGAAGTGGAAAATTTTCAAAGAAAACCCAAACACAAGTTATAAATCATGTTGAATGAAAAATTTCCTATCTTACGACTGGTGGTAATTCAATACTGACAATAAACAGGCACAAATACAGACAAATAATAATATTTGTAGACGAAGCAGCTAAAGCTTTTTGCTAGAAAAATTGAGGAGCATAAAAAGCAACAAATACGTCCTTCCTCTCCTCCACTTCATGTGTATGAGGAGCTTTTCTCCACTTTATGGATGATAAAAGAGACACAAGAAGAGAATTATGGAGTGTGAGGGAACGACGAAGAAAGTAGGGTATAATGACAAATATCCTTCACGTGAAAGGGAAAAGGAAGTGGTTCTTTTGGGTTCTTCTTCCGTCTCTTTCCTGCCTTCCTGTGTATGCAAAAAAAAAGTTCCGTCTTCGGAGTTTGCTCATGTGAGTACAGGCACCGACCCGACGAGTGTGAGCAATTGTTTAAAGTAACAACAATGAACTGAATTGGATGTGAGGAAAATATAATATCATAACGCTAATGTTGGGAATGAAAAGAAGCAAATTTTCCCTTGCTGCTCATCAAAACACACCCACCGTACGATATGATTGGTCGTTGCTAAGGGTTGAGTGCTATGCATGTATTAGTAAGCTCAACATTTTCAAGCAAATCTCTCTTACTCAAATATGAGTGTGTATAATAGGACAATATGTATAAAGTTTAAGTATTATCCGGTTCTCGACTCTCGCTTGAACTCGTGTAGCGGATAGTTTAATAAATTTTTCCAGGATATATTCGATTACAAAACGGGAAAAGGAAAGGTTTTGCGCTCACCGAAAGTGTTTGAAAAGGAAATTTATACAATTTCTGGCATTTTTTTCATTCATTAAATGTCTGATAGACGGAAGAGGAAAAATTAGCAATACGAAGACGACTTGCTCTCTCTCCTTTAACAAATTTATTGTGATAAAATTTTTATTATTATCGATTAGTGACTGCGAACTTAACGGCAAAATAAAAATAAATAAAAATTTTTTTGCGGGTGACACATAGGAAAGAGCAACAAATAAATACGGAAGTATATTTTATAAGTGCTGCATTAAAAAAGGTGTCCGTTTGCCTACCCTGGTTCCGTTTCCTTCCGTTAAACATCAGTACCATCATTGTGGACTAAAATAAAGAAGTGCAAAAAAAAGACATTCGCACAATGAAAAATTAAATAGAATAGAAAATGGAAATTTAATGTGGCTGGGTGCTATTTGACTATAAAGTATAATAAGCATTAACATTAATAAAATTCTGTGTGTTGCTTCCCACCCGTCATATAATAAATCTTAAGAATAAGAATAATAATTATAGTGAGGATAATAATTGTGAATAATTAAGAATGAATTTAATGTCCTCGTGCAAAGTGGACCGCTATTAATTCAAAAAAAAAAATTGAAACATTTTGTGTCACATTAAATAAAAATTAATTTCCTACGCTCGTTTGGATGCATGAAGAGGAAAAAATGAAAAGTAAAAGAATGTTAGAATTATATTAAGAAAAAAAATAAGATTGCTGTTAATTAGAATATTTTTGGATATTAAGAGATTCCGGGATTTGTGGATAAGAATTTAAAAATAATAGCAGATAAACAAGATATATAGGAACAATGATTGATATTAAAAACTCTTCAACTGATTATTTACAACGATCATCTGGCACGTTGAATAATATTTCCATGATTTTTGGTATGATTTTTATGAGTTGAATTTTCTTTTTGTTTTTGACTTCTGTTCTGCCTTTTATTTCATCAATTTGATTTTTTTAATAATCAATAAAATTACTTAAAATTGAACTGTGTATTTAAACGATCGATACTGAAATGATAAACTAGCTATTTAATTTATTTACTTATTAATGAGTGACAAATGTCTCAAGAATATGCAATGATTAACAATTTTTGAGGTTTCAAACTTATTTTGTGTGATAATTTGAATGACATTCAATGCCTTCAATTTGAAAAATCATTAAACTTATAGTTTAAATGTCTGCATGATTTAATATTATGAAATAGAAACCTAGTCGATCATCAATCTATATTTGAACAATCTTAAATAAGATCCAGTTTATATAAGAATCTTCGAACTTTTTTACGGAACTGAAAAACACTCAACCGACTTAAAGTGTAACAAAAATTAAAAATTCAACGCCAAAAATAACATAAACTAAAGTGCTTCCAAACAAATTTCATTTCTCGTGCATTCTTAATTTGCTAAGTTTGAGTAAATTAGAAGGCTAAATGCAGTTAACAATGCAGGCGATGGATAACTGGACGGACTATTTGTTAAAAAGAGGTGAATTGTGAAACTCAAAAAATATTAAAACATGCAGACATAAATCTTTCGTCTATGAATTTATTTAGATTATTATAAGAATTATTTTGATCAAGTTTTGGGTATTGTGCAAAATTGTGATGAACGGTTCTTCGTGCATATGTATATGGAATTTTTGGAGCTTTCTAGCTAAATGGTTTACTATTAAGTGCACACCAAGGGTGTGGAACTGAAGAATTACATTTTGATCATTTTTGTTCAATTTTTGATAACTTTTTGGATCATTTTTGATCATTTTTTGATCATTTTTGATCATTTCATCACTACCACACTCTTGATATACACTTAGCCTAAAAAGATAACAATTATTCTTCCAAAAGGTTTGAAGTTATTGATTTAGAGCTATTACTTTTAATATGGTTAAATCTATTTGAATCTGTTTGTGGACACTTAAGCTTGACGTGTTGGTTGCAATTCTAATAAAAAACAAAATATATTCTATTTGACTTGTGATTTTCTCTGGTAGATTCTGTAAAATTTGTCTTTAGTCGACCGTTGATCAAGTTATTAACTAGACACTAATGTTAAGTGTCTACTAACCCTCAGGTATCGGTTATTCAGGATCCTACTTAAATCTTATATTTCCAATGCTTTATACTCGATTCTTAATATTCATTACTATTTCAAAGAAGGTCCTAAACTATATCCAAGAAATCTTCAATTTCTCAAATTCATTCTTGGTCATAAAACATATAGGAAACTGAAAAATCTTACTAGGTGGACAACGGTTCAGATGTTTAAACCATTTGGTCTCCTAATTCTTAAGTCAGTCTAAGAATCGAAATAAACTAGAATATTTTTTTTTTAAAAACCGATTTAAGCTTACAAATTGACAATATTTTTTTTAAAGTGCTTAAAATTGAATTTTTATCTATGTATTATATATGTAATAGGCTTGTTTATCAATTCAACTTATTCATCTTAAATTGTGCAACAGCGTTCTCAAACCTTTAAGCAATCTAAATTTTGCATTTTTACCAAAACTTGACTTCAATTCTTACATTTATCATTTTTGATTGAATTTCCAACTTGATATCGAACAAATCTTTGCATATTCTTGAACCATTTATTTTTCTCATCTTTTGAAATAACCATTAAACATCACAGACAAAAAGTATTAATTTGAAAATTGAATCTTCTATCTTTTGATCCAGAATCATCATACAAAACATCATGGACGACTCACACATCGCAGGCACAAGGTAATTATTTTCAATCATAATCTCTATAATGAGATTTAGCACCAATAGAAATCCTCATTAAAAACTCTGTTTGAGAAAGCAGGGTTGATAAATAAATCCCAATTACTAGCAGCAATGTTATTCCATCAAGTCTCTTTAATGTCATCATTTAACAATAAAAACTTTTTTCACACTCGAATGCCTTCACAAAGTGAAAAGTCTTTTATCTTCCTCGTTCTCATCTCGGTTCTATTTTATTTTTTTTTTGACAAGCACAAAGTTATCTCAAACGATGGTAAAGTGAATGCAACCGCAGGCATTCTTTACATTTGTGTAGCTGTCATTATAATCAAAATTTCATTTGCATCATATCTCCTTCTATATTTTTATTTTTGTGTGTTCTCGTTCACACATCTATAGCGCTTCAACATCCTTAAGCGTTTGAGATACACAATGATGATGGTTATGATGTCTCTCCTTTTAACATATTAGCATCTATTTCTTTGCGATTTCAAAAACACATTATGACACTCGCTTCTAACACGAAGCTAAGGCAATTTTAGAAAAAAAAGGGTGAATCTTTGATAATAATAGCTTTGCTTGTGTAATTTTGCTGACACATTGAGGCGCAAACAAAAAAGTTAACAGAGAACATCTCAAAAATGCCTTCGAGCGATAATTTAGCAATAAAAACTTTTCATGCACAGATTTTGCTGTGTGTTTACTTGGAAAAATATATCTCAAGTTGAAAAGCAAATCCCTTTGTGCTGCTAACGAAGTGTGATTTTTCAATAACCTTTGCTGCTCTTTTTGTAGTTAAATGAATCTTTGATATATTTTTTATTTCAATATTTTCTTTTCTTTTTTTCTCTTTGTGCTATTTTAGCAGGATATACTGCAAACGCCTTGACGACTGTGAGCGTCGGAAAGACTTCATTAGATTCACATTCACACTTCAGACAACCTGGTGAGATTATAGATATGAATTTACTACAAATTTTAGTGTTTTTATTTCCTATGCAATATTTTTTGAGTGCTATTTTTTATTTATATTCGGGAAGTGTTTTTATGAGTTGGAAATCTTTTGGTTGTAAAACAATAGGGTTCAATGTCATAAATATTCATGGCAAGTTTCACGGTAGACTTGGGGTCAAAGCATTCAGTTATGACCAGTAAATGTTTGTGAACGTGTTGACGTTTGGCTGTGTTTTGTTGGGATTAAGTGCTGGTTATGTGGGATGGGTGTGGAGTTGGCAGATGTATGCAATTTGTTATAGAATAAATTATTTTTGAAGCTTATTTACAACAACCGTTCCTTTTTTACTATCCTATATAATTTTTATTATATAATCTATATCCAGATTCTCAATTATTATCCCTAAAATAATCAATCCTTAAAATAACATCAAAATCCAAGATTAATAAAGAACAAACGATAATAATTTTTCTGATTGATAAAAAGAACCAATAATAGAAAATCTACAAAGTCCAATAGCAATCAAAAACTAATGCAATTACGGATAAAAAGAGATGAAAAATCCAGAATAGAAACTAATAATCTACAGAATAATATTGATACGATAAGAACTATGATGTATGTAGAGCTAATAAAGCATAGAATTGAAGGGACCGAGGGTGTATGTATACATTTGGACATATTTGGCATAGGAATGGTCAATTTAACATCGATAATATTCTCTGATTTTTTTGGGTCTTATTTACAAATCAAATATTCTATCAATATTAGGGCTGCACAAAAATCACTCATTCATATTCAAAAGATTTTTTTTTACATTTGCTTTATTTTCCTTTTAAATCGGTACATGTCACTTTCATGCTTGATTAAGCAAACACTGTAACACATTATTATGTATGCTGTTGCCTTTTTTTACATCAACTTTTTTTTTTATATTTTCACATCATCATCATTGTTAGTTTTGAAAATCGCTCAAACAACAACACCCAACGAAACATCAATAAAGATGACTAAGGGGTAATCCTTTCCATTACAATTCCATTTACTCTGTAAATTAGGTGCTGATTTTTTTGTGTTGTAAATTTTTTTCCTTTTTTTTGTGTCGAAAATTGGCTTAAAAATTTTTTTCCTTTGAAAATTTTCTACCCAAAAAAATCTATAAAAATTGTTGAAAGAAAAATCACTTGATTGAAGGCAATAAAAGGAAAAATCCGAAAAAAGGAACATGATGATGGGAATGATTGAAATGCACATAATGAAATCGCCTTTTAATTTGTTTGACAAACACATCAAAATGCTTTTGCTGACTTCTTTGTTTACCAAACACACATATCAGAATGTCTAATGAATGAATATAATGAAAATCATGAAGAGAGAATTTTTCTTAATTTTCTTATTTTTTTTTTCTGGTCAGGCTGGGCTATTTTGTGCGTTTTTCTGATTATTTATGCGATTTGGAATGTTTATGGACATAATTTATGTGCTGACCTAGTTCTTATGAAAACGTAATCGAGAATTTTTGGTGTAAATTGTGTAATTAAACTTAGCTGGAAGTTCATATGACTTTCTTTGGTAATCAACTAGCTAAATTTCTTCTAAAATGAGAGTCAATGAAGAGTCAATGAATAAAGATATTCTTTAGAATTTCATAACTTGATCTAAAAGTGAGCATGATAATGTCCAACTTCAAGGTTAAGCTCATCGATCTGATTTCCCTCCTTGGATACTTTGTAACGAGCTGTAGACTACCCTAGTAACAAGAAAATTGAAAAACGAGTCTAAAGGAAGGTTGAATTTATATAAATTAGCTTGAATCTAGCTTAAAGTCAACTCTTTGACATTATGGTTTCCTGATAAGGGACTGCATTTGTTAAAATTAAGCCATTTCAACCAAGGCATTAGTTGTATGGTTCAATCTGAAGATGTAACAAATCTAATTCCATTTTTGATTGCTTTTTTGTGCAACATTCTCTGATTATCTTGTAATAAATTGGGTTGGTTTCTTAAATAAATGCCCTGACTTCACCTTTAGCAGTTATGAATTGTTCAATTAATAGTCCACCGAGTTCTATAATTAACCATTGGTTTCATGATCTTGTACTTGATCGAGAAGTAATAAAAAATTAATAAATCCTTTAATTCTGTTTCCGATACCAAAAACAATTCTGAATTACTAGCAAATTTTAAAATAAACCATTCTAAAATATTCATCAGTTCCTCATCACATGCGCCCATCTCTAAATTCAATACAGCACAATAAATACACAAAGGGAAAGGTCACTGGTCAATTTCCTCTCCTCCATTCCAAAAAAAATCTCTATTGACCATCAAATACATCTTCATTAAGAATAAAAGTGAAGAAATGAGAGAAAATAATGCGAAAATAGTTTCAGCAACTGGTCAACAACAACAATAGTCATTTGATGGATATTAAGTTTATTAAGCTAATGAAGACATTTAGTGATGTATGGAATTTCAATAATTGATATTCCCTTATCAACAAAATGTTTATAAATTCATGCATAATTTCACCGTAAAATGTCACATTATGTCAATCATTCATCTCATTTCCACTTAAATGGCACAATTCCATTTTTTGAGTAAAATTCCATTGAAAATTTAAAATACCGTCGAGTGGCTCTACTCTTTAAAGTAATGTGGCAGAAACTGTAACAATGATAGAGACTTTCGATTTAAAAATAAATACAGAACACGAAAAATGTTTCATATGTATGAAAAAAATAACATTAGTATGATATTGTCAACGACAGCAACCACCCCGATGAATATACACATCAAGAGACATCGAGAGTATGATGATTTTCAAGTGCTGCATTAAAAAATGTTGTTCACTTTTTTTTTATTTATTTCGAAATGAATTTCAGGGATTGAAAGCTCTTCATGACTAGTGCTGTTGTTGCTCATTGTTGTTGTTGTATTGAATTTTAAAAAAATATTTCGTCTTTAAAACACCCGCTATGATTTTTATTTTTTATTATTTAAAGCTAGTCACTAAACATATAATTCTCATTGTTATAGTATCAAATATGAATCTCAACTTGTGTGACATGTGCAACTCCTTGTGAATTATTAAATAATTAGGATCGCAATTGTTGGAGTTCAATGATTTAGAAATGATTTCAACTGATGTACGTGTGTATAATACACGAAATTTTTTATAATGGATAGAAAATTATCCTGAAAAGAATTACAACTTTATGCAAAATAAAGAATGCCTTTACTATTTTTTCCCATTAACACTATTCGCATGAGCCGACGAATAGCGGTCAGCAGCAGCCGTAAATGAATATAAAAAAGCAGAGCGTTTCATGCCAAAATTAATTAAAACAAATTAAATTGTTGTATCCGCCAGGAAGAAAAACATTGAATATTTTAAATTTATTGTTTTAACAAAATGGAGGAAATATCTCGCATTTTTCCATAACTAATACTATATAATTTTTCTATAAGTAACTTTTTCCGATTAGACACCCAAGCAGCATGTTATTTTATCACAATAAAGCTATGGCAATAATAATAACAATAATACAGCAAAATAATTTTACCACGACATGTTTTATTCGCATTAGAAATTTCCTTTCATTGTTCTCAACTCGAGTCTGGTTTATTTATATGCTCGTATAGAGGTTCTTGAAAATTGGTCGTTCAAGCATCATTAATGCGTGTAGTTTATGGAATCTGATGTGGCACTATTTAGACTAGATTCTGTGATATTCTCTACAACTTAGTAATATTTCTAATGCATCTAATGTTTAAAGCTGGTTAGAGCTAGCTCCTTTTGACTTTAAAGAGTTTTTAACAAGAGATGTCAGAAAAGTGATCCAAAATTTTGATTAAAATCCAAAAATGCCCTCATATTCATCAAAAACGTCTCAAACCAAAATCCCTAAGCCTTAAAAAATTCACTAAAACGCTTTGCATCATAAACGTGACTGAGTGAAAAGCATAGAAAAAGAAAACATGAATTTGTTTTATGACCGCAACTTGCAAGAACAAAAACACGATTAAAACTGTGTGGGGTGTACTTTTTATTATTCCTTCTCTCTCCTTTTTAGTGACACATTTTGAATGTATTGCGTTTAAGAAAATAATGAAGTATAAGAAAAAGGAGGAAAATTAAAATTCAAATAGCGTGACCAAAGCAGGACGATATATAAAAAGTAGTAATAGAGGAGGAAAGAAAGCTTAGGTCTATGAATGAAATACCACATAAAGTATGCAATTGATTTTTAGCAGGAAAGGCATTGTTTGTACGAGTTGATCTCATTAGAAAGCCGGAATTAGCTGCTGCATATTCGTCTTATATTGTGGAGTGGCTATAATTAAGCTCTTTCTGTTAATATCAAAAGTCTCGCCTCATGAATTATTATATAAATGCTACTTACATTCCTTTTTGATGTTGAACGATCAAAGGAAATTTAGTAATTAGCAGTTTATAGAATAAAATTAGTAATCATTAGAATTATTTAAGAGATTCTTTATGCTTTTGTTGCTTTGTAATTCTGATTTATGGCTTATGTTTTAATGTATGAACTTTCTTAGCTAATTCTACACTAATTTTATGGGATAAAGAAAAGTGGATGATTGTTTTCTTAATTTTGGGGGTTTGATGGGAGTCAGAAGTAAGACAAACACTTAAAGCATTGAAAAATAAGGATTTTCAATCAAAGTTGACACTTTCTTAAACATCAAAAAATTCTTAATTTTTAAGGCAGAAATTCTAAAATTTTAGATTCATATTTCAAAATTAAAGGAATCAGAATACTTATCAGCTCTTTTGTTTGCTAATATTCACTTGTATTTCATTTTTAATCAATTTCTAAAATTCACAATTGATTTTAAACCCCAATGTTAGCAAAGAGAACAGAGTCCGTTACAAACAAAACAAATTCAAAATTTTCGCGCGGTATTTTTTTAAAATTTCAAAATAAGAAAGTCTGTTACTTTTTATTTGTTTTTAAACTAGGTATTTTTCAAAGCATAAACATTTAAGGAATGCAATTTCATCACAGTGATTATCTCAATCATAAAAACTAGTAAGAATGTTCACTAAAATTACAACTTACACGAAAAATAATAATTCACAACGAATTTTTTTAAAAATAAGAACTTCGAAGATTCGATTTTCGAAAAATAAGAACCTCGAAAATTCGAAGTTCGAATAATAAGAACTCAAAAATTTCTGTTTGCTAGCATTGGTTTAAACCAAGCGAATATTCGCATCATTTTCAAAATCATACACTAGTTTCGCATCTTTTATTTGAATTTTAAATATACGTTACATTTGCTGTGAGACACTAGTCAGCTTTTAATAAAAAAAATTAAGTTATAATCTCTACTCAAAGTAATCCATATCATTCTGAATCCCAAATTAGAGCATCAACAATCCTTTCAAATTGCCCTCCGAATTTAAAATCGATATAAAAATAGCAAGACTTGAGAAAAGGAAAGAAGATAGTTGTAAACATTATGCGATTTTTTCATGGTCACAGTTAGTTATACAAATAACAAGCATGACAAAAACATGGAATATAATGTAAATAATATAGTTTTATGCAAATGAATAAATTAATGAAAATGACTTCATGAATAGAGAAAATAGAAAAATTATTTATACTGTTTTGCATAGTCATAAATATTTCGGTGCTGCCTTACGAGATATAATCATGTGAAACTGAAAGGAAAGCATTGTTCCCTTTAATGCCAACAAAGGATTTAAAGTGTGGGGTGAATAGTAAATCTCGCAAAAGAAAGGTGGTCAATGGGAATGAAATGAATTTTTTTTTTTGTTAATTATTAAATAACGGCAGCAGCACTTGCGAGAACTATAATTATAGCGACACGGTCCTAATATAACATTAATCACTAAACCATAAAAAAATCTTAGATAATGTTTTTTATTATTTGAATTGCCGTGTGGAATTAAAATTCAACTTTTGACCGGGATTAAAAATTTATTTTTTCAGATCCATATCAAATGTTTGGAGCGACTAGCAGTAGACTAGCAAGTTCAGGTGAGTTTAAATATTGTTAATTAATTCACAGCACCTGGTGTATTCTTGAAAATAATTCTCGTAATATCTCACATGTGCTGCGACTTAATCAAATCAGAATTGCAAATTGCTCATTTTAAAAGAATTAAAAAATGTTTTTAACCCTCCCCTTAAAAAAAATGTACAGCGGCATTGATTCATTCATGGAAAGACAATAGGCAAATAGAAACAATAATAATAATTATGAAGCAGTTGCAGACAAGTTACTTATGGCAGTAAATGAAAAAAATTGCCACGTGACCAGCATCATGCATTGTCACGTCAAATATCAAGTCATAGGCTGTCATGCTACTCACTCATTTATTTATTTTGATAAAAATAATATTTTGAAAGAGAAAGTTGAATAAGTTTTTGAGGTTAGAGCGCATTTTTTGAGGTTATGTTTAGAACTTTTTTTGCTATTTAAGCAGTGTTATATTCGGCTATTTTGAGTTCACAAGATAAAATGACTCGACAACGAGAACTTCGGTAATTTATTGTAGCCACAATGAGACATCAACCAAAGGTTCGAAACTCAACAAAGCTCGTTTTTCAATTTTGTTGTTTTTCCTGGATTTGATTCATTGCAAACCTAATGTTTATTTTTAGAATGCTAAGTCGCAACATAGCAACATTTAAGCTGGTCTGAGGCTTAAACAATAGCTTCTAAGGTTTGGGATCAGCTTCTAGAGCTTCTCGGGGAACCCTACCTTTTTTTAATTTTAATTGCACTTTATTGACGACATACTGTCCAGTACCTTAGTCTCAAATTAACTTGGTTTGTGTCTCATATTGTAAGACAACGAATCTACATTTCTAGGATACCTAAGATATCTGGTCAGAGTTTAAAACTTTACTTCAACCTCTGCCATTTATTGTTAAAACTGAAGACATTCAACAAGACTTCAAGTCAAACTTCATCCATTCCCACTCAACACCCTCAAAAATCCAGCTCAAGAAACAAAACAAAAATGTGAAATGATTGTAAATACATTAAGAAATTTAATATACGATTGACTTCTAACAATGAATTTTTTCACCTTCCATTAACTTGCACTATTTTTATTTAAAAGTTAACTTAACACACAGCAATTATTTCTTTCAAACATACCGGAGGGGTTATAAAGCAATCTATGCAGCCCTTAATCTTAATTCACAAAAAATAAATTCAGGAAGGCGAAAAAAAGAACTTCAGTTAAAAAAAAAGTCATAGCTGACCGAAAAAAAGAATGTTAAACGCTCAGAACTAACAATGGAAAGGGTCGATATGAATAAATTAAGAAACAATTTATGACACGACGTATGGAATTTAGTCGTTCTTGTAAATAGGAGTGGTAATGAATGAAATTCGCTTTTTCATTCCTTTTTTAAAGTTAAATTGAGGACGTTTATGATTTATATAAAGTGTTTTAATAAAAGATCATCAATTAACAGTTAATGATGGTAGCGATAGGTGTGATTCATCAAAAAATTATTACTTTGTTGTGTATTGAATTGAAATTGAGTGTATAAAAGGCTCAGTTCTTTTTGGTAAATATGAGAGGGGTTAAAAAATTCCTAGGAAGTCGTTTTTGGTTCTTTGTTCAGTTAATGATTATTTTTGTAAACTAGATTAACAGTTCTGAGTGGAAAAATTATGTCTAATTTGGTTTTAATAGGCAGGTATTATATGTTAAGGCAGTGATGTCCAACCCATGTGTCCATTAAAAATTTTTATAAAATTAGAGATTTCAGTACTTAAACTGATTAAAAAGGCTTAAAAAACCTTATAAATTAACAATTACATAATATTAAGAAGAGTTTCGATTTACAAAATACCTTAAAGACTTATCAAAAACAAAAATCTCAAGAATATAGATCAAATCGAACCTAATCAGTCCCAGAAAGCCAGTTCTAGAGCTTAATTTTTTTTTAAAAAAAAACACCAAAATACCCATTGTCAACCAAGACGCAGATAATCTTCAAGAACTCAAAAAAATCCAAATCTTCAAACTTAGTTCCATCCGCTAATTTTCAAAAACATCATAAAATCAGTCAATCCATTACATCATCTCTTTAAAAACCAATTTTTTCCCATTATTTTCTATTATTATTGCAATATTTTTCCACGCTCAGCGAGAATCCTCTCACACATGATTAAATGATTTATTAATTTTCTTCACCCAACAACTATCATGCTGCAGAAGCAATCCAACCCTACATCGACAATGAATAACAATAAATTTTATTTTCATGAATAGAAGTTAGTGATTTCAACATTATTAGACGCAATAAAAATTACGAGTCTTGATGCAATAAAAATAGTGACTTAATGCACGATAGAACGTAACGCAGCAAATATTAAAAAAAATTGTAATAATATCAAGAGGGTGAAAGGCTGAAGAAGAAATCACAAAAATTGACTCCGACTTTTCGAAATGTTTATGGTAATAATTTTCACATTTTTCCACTCGACTGACAGGGAAAATATGTTTTGATTATCTGCTTTATATCAATGATTGATGATAGTTTTTTGACTTACATGCTGTGTGTATGTTTCGGTCGGAAAAGAAAATTATTCGAGGCCCATTTTCTCCGATACTCTTCTTCTTTTTTGTTGACTTAGTATGAGTTTGCACAAAATATAAAATGGAAAAACTTTTTCTCATCAACATCAAGAGCAGAAAATTCTTTCATTTAAAAATAACAATAACAAAAATTGGGCATGAGCTTCCGAAAATAGGAAGAACATGAAATTGCATGATGAGACGGTTTTTTTCGCTGGGTTTAAAGAAAACTTGTGCTTATGGTTCTAGCTTGGTTTTACATTCACAGATGTTTATAATGATTAATATAATGATTGATAAATCAGTCTCTGGTGGGAATCGAACCCAAGTCTTCACAAAAGAGAAGCCTCTTTTGATACACATTATGTTGCCTAACCTATCGCGCTACAGAGGGCTAACTCTCACACTGCCAAGGTCGCCTATATATGGCTGGATAACCCAAATTCTACTTTTGCCAATCTGACCAGTCTTGCCTACAGAATTTCATATCTTGTCTTACTTGAACCTTAAAACTGTAGAGTAAATTAGCTTGTTTGCCAAGCAATCTTTAAAATTCAATGGAAAATTTTTATCTCTGTTTATCCTTTTCATATTTCACCACTTTGTTTGCCTGTACACTTAAAGTATTATTTTTAATCAAAACTTAAACATCCTGCTTTATATCAATCCAGTAAACATCTTACAAAAAGATTTTTCTATCGCTATAAATAAGTTCGGCTATAATCATTTAGTTTTAATTGCTAGAAGTGCGCAGAACAAAATTGAATATTTTGGAATATCAAAGATGAAGCTAGTCTTATTCCTTGCATTCTTAATAAGTTGCACTTTTCAATTGCAAGCAGATAGATTACCACTTATTGAAAAATGCGACTATACTAAAGATTTATTTGATGATGGAAATTATTTAAAAACAGCATGTGTTGTCCATGAATCGGTAGAGTATGAAAGAGCTATTGGCAAATGTGCGGAGTACAATATGAATCTATTACGTATTAGGTTCGAAACCTACGAAAAATCATCAAAAAAAGAATTTTTTTGCGTCATAAAAAATTTTGTTCTAAATTTGGCATTTGCCATATACTTCACAAGAGCGCGCAGAAATCACCATTATAAGATTGATGTTTGATCAAGTCTGCTTAAGTTCGAATCTTACGAAAAATCATCGAAAAAAGAATTTTTTGCGTCATAAAAAATTTTGTTCTAAATTTGGCATTTGCCATATACTTTACAAGAGCGCGCAGAAATCACCACTATAAGATTGATGTTTGATCAAGTCTGCTTAAGTTCGAATCTTACGAAAAATCATCGAAAAAAGAATTTTTTGCGTCATAAAAAATTTTGTTCTAAATTTGGCATTTGCCATATATTTCACAAGAGCGCCCAGAAATCACCATTATAAGATTGATGTTTGATCAAGTCTGCTTAAGTTCGAATCTTACGAAAAATCATCAAAAAAAGAATTTTTTGCGTCATAAAAAATTTTGTTCTAAATTTGGCATTTGCCATATACTTCACAAGAGCGTGGAGAAATCATCATTATAATATTGATGTTTGATCAAGTCTGCTTAAGTTCGAATCTTACGAAAAATCATCAAAAAAATAATTTTTTGCGTCATAAAAAATTTTGTTCTAAATTTGGCAATTGCGATATACTTTACAAGAGCGCGCAGAAATCACCATTATAAGATTGATGTTTGATCAAGTCTGCTTAAGTTCGAATCTTATGAAAAATAATCGAAAAAAGAATTTTTTGCGTCATAAAAAATTTTGTTCTAAATTTGGCATTTGCCATATACTTCACAAGAGCGTGTAGAAATCACCATTATAAGATTGATGTTTGATCAAGTCTGCTTAAGTTCGAATCTTACGAAAAATCATCAAAAAAAGAATTTTTTGCGTCATAAAAAATTTTGTTCTAAATTTGGCATTTGCCATATACTTTACAAGAGCGCGCAGAAATCACCATTATAAGATTGATGTTTGATCAAGTCTGCTTAAGTTCGAATCTTACAAAAAATCATCGAAAAAAGAATTTTTTGCGTCATAAAAAATTTTGTTCTAAATTTGGCATTTGCCATATACTTCACAAGAGCGTGCAGTAATCACCATTATAAGATTGATGTTTGATCAAGTCTGCTTAAGTTCGAATCTTACGAAAAATCATCAAAAAAAGAATTTTTTGCGTCATAAAAAATTTTGTTCTAAATTTGGCATTTGCCATATACTTCACAAGAGCGTGGAGAAATCACCATTATAATATTGATGTTTGATCAAGTCTGCTTAAGTTCGAATCTTACAAAAAATCATCAAAAAAATAATTTTTTGCGTCATAAAAAATTTTGTTCTAAATTTGGCAATTGCGATATACTTTACAAGAGCGCGCAGAAATCACCATTATAAGATTGATGTTTGATCAAGTCTGCTTAAGTTCGAATCTTACGAAAAATCATCGAAAAAAGAATTTTTTGCGTCATAAAAAATTTTGTTCTAAATTTGGCATTTGCCATATACTTCACAAGAGCGTGTAGAAATCACCATTATAAGATTGATGTTTGATCAAGTCTGCTTAAGTTCGAATCTTACGAAAAATCATCAAAAAAAGAATTTTTTGCATCATAAAAAATTTTGTTCTAAATTTGGCATTTGCCATATACTTTACAAGAGCGCGCAGAAATCACCATTATAAGATTGATGTTTGATCAAGTCTGCTTAAGTTCGAATCTTACGAAAAATCATCGAAAAAAGAATTTTTTGCATCATAAAAAATTTTGTTCTAAATTTGGCATTTGCAATATACTTCACAAGAGTGCGCAGAAATCACCTTAATAAGCTCGATCCAAATTTGTACCCAGTTTTTTTTGGATCACTAGTAGCTTAGTAACGAGTAGTAGCTTATAACGAAAAAACAGGGTATGTAACTTTCAATTAATTATTTTTCTTCCTATTTGACTAGTCAATTAGCAAGTGAAAATGCGGTTCTTTGGCGATGATTTGAACTTGGATTTTGACTAGTAAATAGCAAGTAGCGAATGGAAAGTTATCCAGTAAATTACTAGGAAATTACTAGTAAATTTCTGCTACGGACTCAATTAATATTCGAAATAAAACTATAAATTTATCAAAAACAACACAAGGCAAGGACTTCAACCCATTAATTGAATCTATAAAATCCAATCGAACAACTATTGACAATTCCAAGCAAAATAAACTGCTTAGCAATCTAATGCGCACAAAATCAACCTTCAAAAGACTTAAAAACTTTTTCTTTCATCAAAAAATTTGAAGTTTAATTTAAAAAAAAAGTTTTTCATGTTTTTGCACACAGGACAACAGCTGCTTCAACTTATCGCCTGTAACAACGAGAAAAAGTTTTGTACATTTTAGTTTCTTTTCTTTTTTTTTGAACGTAACAAAGAAAATAAAGTGTTATTAGTTCTAATCACGCGATACTTGAATTAAATGAATTTTTTTTTCTTACCGAAACTATTTGCAGCATTTTTCGTCCGTAATGAATGAAAGTTTTTATCTCACACTTTAGCTTGTAAGAACATTTTTTAAGGAGAAAAAAATTACTTTTTGATTTATTAAGCAATTTGCTTTGGATAGCTCAAAAAAACTAGTTTTTCAACTTCTAATTTTTCTCCATTCTTTTTTTTACATTCTTTAGGTTCAGGACAAATTCAATTGTGGCAATTTCTACTAGAACTACTTAGTGATTCAGCAAATTCAGGGTATTTAGTTAATGTCTTCATTTTATGTACGCGATAATTAATTAAATGTTATTTAACTTACAGCTGCATAACTTGGGAGGGGACGAATGGTGAATTTAAGTTGTCTGATCCTGATGAAGTCGCTAGAAGATGGGGCGAAAGGAAGTCTAAACCTAATATGAATTATGATAAGCTGAGTCGAGCATTAAGGTGAGTTAAAGTTTTTGTATTTTGGTTCCTAATTTTTTAGAGGATTTTTAAGAACTGATTTTTAAAAATCAGGGTGAATCGATAGAATTAAGGAATTGAGTTTGATTTATTTCATATGCCACATAATACAAAGAATGAGGTCATATTCTTATTCAAGATGATCGTAGCTGATCATTGTGTTCTTTTTATATTGAACTGTTTAAAATCAAGGATATGGAACTTATGAATCTTATTTTGATCGTTTAGCAGGCTAATTCGTACACAATCTTAGAAAGCATTAATCTCTCCTTCTAAGTTCTCATAAGCAAATTCAAAATTATTTAATAATCTTCATAAAACTAGGATAAACAGCTTCTATGCATTAAAAGAATTCCTCATTCACAATTCAATCACCAAAACAAAATTTATCACAAATATTCAACATGAAACCATAAAACACCAGTAATGAGATTTTAATTCAATCTGAATTACGCCCATAAAATCTTCATCGACTTTGTGTATTGACAATTACGTCACATTAAAATCACCAAAATGTTTTGACTTTTCTTGACTCTTTAAATATTTTTTTCATCGCCCATCAAATAGAATTCAGGAATTTTTAATGAAGTTTACATTATTTCATGGCTACTTTCATTTGATTCCTATAAATATACAGCACAGAAAATTGATAATGTATAAAGATTTTTCAACCCTCACAATAATCGACAATCGTTGTAGATCATGAAAAAAAAATCTTTCTGTTTCTATTATTGTGCCTGAATATATCTTCTATTGAAATGTAACAATGCGTTAAGGGTGTTCTTTTGAGACGACATTCATCCTCCCTCCTTAGTTTATGAACAAATTACGACATTAGCTTAACGACAACTGAATTGTAGAAGAAATTTCTATTCATTCATTCATTCCTTAATTTTAGAAGTTAATTCGTGCGTAAATTTTATTTTAATTTCTCGCTTCTCGTTTTTATATAAAAAAAGTCTTGCTTTTGTTCTACAAGGATTTATGTATTCTATCCACTACTCTAGCTTACTAGGGGTTGTGACTTACCGTGTATGTTAATTTTCTTGAATACTTTTTGATTAATACTTTAATTTTTTTCACTCGCGAATCTTCAAAATTAAACTCTGTTGAATTTCGACAAAATATATTTTCTTTCAAAGGTTGCTTTGATTTAAAAGACGCATGTTTGAATTTTCAATGATGCATTACGTGATACTTTTAAGTTCGTTCCATTAACAACGTCAGGAAGAAGTGTTCAAACAGGCTAGAATCCCTTGGTTTTAGATTAAGACCCTTCAAAACAAATCGGAATCCATGAATTATAAAATGGTTTCAGTTTAATCTTAAAATTAAGATTCATTAGCTTTGTATGAATTAAAAACCACATCCATTCTTAACTTTGATTCTTAAACTCCTCAAACTAATGAATGAAATTTCAATAATTATTCCACAGTAACTTACAAAAAAGTAAGTCAATGAACAATTTCTTTTAAAATCGGTGCCCACCCCTAGCCAAAAGATTGCAAAAAAATAACTACATAACGATTATGTCTGCATATACATTCCTATTCCTACATAAAACAAAAAAAAAAGAAATAAGTTTCATTCTTCACAAATAATTAATTTCTCGTTTCGAAATGTATTTTTTAAGTCTCGCAAAATTCTTCTATTCAGCCATCAAATTGCAATAAAACAGACTAAAAGGAGAGAGATTTTTTTTTAACAGAACAGCAGTAAAAACAAATTAACGAGATAACGACAAATGTTTGAATGCACTGAAGCGAAGGGGAAAAGATGGAAAAAAGTCAGTACAAATTGTCAGTCACAAAATACAGCAAGAGACGATATTTGCAATCATAAAAAAATTGTTTTTAGATTGAATTCGTAATGAAATTTCATTCATTTATCGAAATGTAATCAAATCATGCAGCAACATTTATATATCTCAAAAAAATCTCGTCTACGACATCTGATGAATAGAAAGGATAGAAAAATGAATGAAAAATTTCTTCATCGTATTACACACGCCCTATTTTCTGCTTTTGCTGTTTAAACTCGACAGCTTTAGCCTTGCTATGTTCTGTTCATGTGAAAATATTCTGAATTTTTTAATTTAGCACAACAAAAATTCAATTTATGAAACATATTTTATTATATCATTTGATTGCTGTTTAATTTAAAAAATAATAAAATTGGAACTAGTAGACATGAAAAGGAGTGTAAGGTCATGAGGATTTTAAATCTAGGCACGGAACACGTTGTGATTTGTTTAAAGTTTTAATGAGTATGCTCATGTGGTGATATGTTAAATCCTTGAGCTAGAGGATGCAAATAGATTTTCGCAATTTAAGGACAGTGGCCTGTTCAATGTGTAATCCTCAAATTTGTTCAACTTATTAATTTCTATAAGCAGGTGCGTATATAGCGGGAGGGGTTGAATATTTGTATGAAAAGGGGCAAACAACTATATTACAATAAATGTTATTCAAGTCTCAAATGAATGTTATGACATATTCCTTACGATCAATCCATTAATCAATAACTTTGAAAGCCATCGATTATGCCCCGATCCTTAAAAAGAATGAAATTCGCTCAAAATTAGACAAAGATGATGTCATATTGTTTATCTTGATTTTAATAGAGTGAGAGATTGGTCTCTGGTGGGAATCGAACCCACATCCTCATAATAGAGAATAATAGATATGCGGTATGCTGTCTAACCACTGTTTTATTTGCCTTACTCTTTCACTGACATATTCGACTAAATAAGGTTCAATACCCCAGATTTTAATCTGCTCCAACACTAGACTTTGTACACTAATTTGTGTGGCTTAAATCTATTGTCAAATGACTTCTAGTATAGCACAAACCAAAAATTAGAGAAACACCAAAAATAAGAAACTCAATTAAAGTTGACCTACTCTCTAGTACCGAAATCAAAAGTCACAAGCTGCAAACAATAGTAAAGAAATAAATCAAACTCAATCATCTTTCATGTAATTTCTTCTTATTTGCCAATTTTCCACAATAAATTGGCATAAAAATTTTCCGTTCCTTCTTATTTTTTTTCTTTGAGGAACAATGAACAGCACCGAAAGTAGAGTAGAAAAATTATTTTTACATTAGAGAATAATTTTTTTTTGTTCCTTCATTTCAGATATTATTACGATAAGAACATAATGACCAAAGTACATGGTAAGTCGAACTGAAAGGGAAACTTTTTCTCAATTAACTAATTTATGGATTTTTCTTCTTTCTGCTTGCCTTCCTTACCTTAAACAAAAATTATAGGAAAACGTTATGCGTACAAATTCGATTTTGCGGGACTTGCAGCGGCAACACAACCACAAGCAACAGATGCCTCATATAAGTATCAAAGTGATTTCCTTATGTCGCCATATCATGGAGCAAAACTCAGTTCCTTCATGTCTCCGCATCACAGTATGACATCATCATCTGGTAAGTTAATAATGACAAAAATAATAATAAAGACATCACCCGGATACTTTCCTTTTCCTTCTTCTCCTCGTCGCCTTTCCATTTCAATTCCGACGGCAAACAACACTTTAAATTGCCGTCAATCATCTTTCTTTTCCTCCTTCGGGAAGAAACCAATTCGACAATTTCTGGTAGTCAGAAAATTTTTTTTTCTCTCTGCTTCCATTTTAAATTTTTCAATCTTGGTGCCAACAATGGAAGTTCGCCATTACAGAAAAAAAATATATATTTTATCATTGATCGATTTCAATCAATCGTCTGACTCGTGACTGACTACCATGAGCCGATAATTGTGTACGTCATTGTGTTAGACTGTTTCCGTTCGGGGTACCATTTTTGAACGGAACTTAGGAAGTCCTTCTCGGAAATATGAAGCTTCCATAGCTTGTTTCCCTCACTTTCCTGTTCTCTAATATTCCGTCGTTATTTATTTTATTTTCATTTTTTGGGCACCAAGATTTAAAGCTGTGACACAATTTTATGTTAATTCCTTCATTTTAAGGCAGCAGCATTTGATTGTATTTGTGTGTGTGTAGAACGTCGTCATGTTAATCAGATAATAGCCTACATTTTCGCCCCCTTTCGTTCTTGCTGCCGACGCACACAAAGCACTGCTCGATGTATTTTTTGGGGGGAGTTAATCTCATTCCAAATTTATCGTCAAGTGTATAAATATTCTATCGTTATAAGGAAGACAGAGTCAGTTTTTCATTGGATATTCTAAGACATTCATGAATAATTTTATCCCTAACTTTAAGTTCCACTTCCATTTTAAATTTATTTTTCTGTTTATTTATTTTTAGCATCGATTTTTCCATCGTCGCTGGGTTACAGCAATTGGGGAAGTCCTACAAATTTATATCCGCCACACTCGATGAGTAACCTCCATACATCATCTCATGTGACTCCGCATCTCAGCTCATATTCACATCACTACGCATGACAATCACATACGAATCCTGCAAATCATCAGGTAGAAAATTTTGAACTCTACAAAAAGCTCTCGCCGTATGAATAATATACGGGAATGTAAAAATTTGTATGGAAAAGTTGATAAAAAATTTATTTATTTATTTTTATTTTTTAAATTGAAAATCATCATGGAAAATTAGGCGTTTCCAATATAAATATGAACTACACTTATAGATATATACTCAATACAGATAAAAGGATGAGTTATGAACGAAATAATAAAAGCAATTTTTTTGTTGAAGGATTTTTTGTTTAAATTTAAAATCTGAAAATGAGGAAAAAGATTTTTGTAAATATGAGAAGAATTAATGGAAAGTCACCTAGTTGATTGAACACAATTTTCAGTTTAAAGGCGTTGTTTCCAATTTAAAATAGTCAAGGGATGGACATCTTTGGAGTGAAATTTTGTTGATTTTGGAGAATGAAGTTGAAAAAAAAATTGCAAAAATTCTTGCAAAAAATTAAAAGATTAATTCAAAAATTGTGAAAATTTTTGCAATATTTTAAAAATTCTTACAAAATTCAAAATCCATCTTAAAAGTGTCCAACTCTTGATTCCACCTATATTAATGACAAAAAAAAAGTCCCCAAAATGGCTCACATGTGAAATCTTTAATTTCTCTGTTAAAAAAATTTAAAGCAATCAAAACAAAAATCGATAAGCATTGCCAGGACAGTAAAAGCTCTCTTGACATAACCAAGAAAATAAACTGTTAACGAGAGCAATAAATGTGTAATAAAAAATAATCCATTTAAATACTAAAAAATACTTTGAGATGAAAAAAATTTACTATAAGATGAAATTTACAAAAAAAAATGAAAATTGAAAAGACAAATTTTTGAATCAGTGTATTTATTAGCAATATTTGTGTATTAGGTTGCAATCGAAAGATTCTCTGAAAGAAAAAAAATTCAAATAATGGTCTGAGTGTATAAAAATAAAATCAAGTTTAAAAAGATGTGTATTAGAAGCCAAAATAATCTACTTTGGATTTGAAATTCTCAAATGTTTTGCTTTGGATAAAGAAAGGTTATGTTAGTGGGTTGCTGTCGTTTTTGCATTAATTATAAATAGAGTAGCTAATAGGGTCGAAAATGACGATTCTTCATTTAGACCAAAGCATACTGGATTCAATCTTGATGTAGCCAAGGCTCCCGCAGATTATAATCTTATAAAAATGAAGGTTATAATCTTTGAAGAAAGATTATAATCTTTTTATGGGATTACTTAAAGATTAAAATCTGCGGGAGCCTTAGATAAAGCATGTTTAAGATTATATTATGTGCTAAGACAAAGAAATTGGATTGATTTGAAAGGTTTTCCCTCCTTCATTTTTTAAGAAGCATAGTCAGATTAATAGAAATACATAACCTTAAAATTTTGTTTTTAAATTGGAGCAAGTTTCATTTAGCACTTAAGAAAGCAAATAAAGATCAATCCCAAATTGACTCGTTTTGATAAATCATCAAAAATAAAGTTTGATCTCTAAAATTAATTCATGAGGTTTAAAGGTTAGTTCTGGATAAATTCAATGTTGAAAAAACAAAACCTTTTGAGAATTTCCAATCCAAAAAGACCCTTAAAAAATAAAATTATTAAAAAAATGAATGTTCTTACGATTACGTAATTTTTAAACCAAAGTAAAATTAAACCCAAACAAAATGGAAGTAATTTCTTATTCGATGTCTAATTAAAAAAATACTCATTACAAAAAAATTGAAAAGAAATTTTCCCCATGCTCTGTGGCATTTATAAGAAGTAAAAAAATGATGATATTTCATTGAATGTATGTAAAACTCTTTGTCTTCTAGTCAAAAAACAAGATGTTGATGAAACAAACAAAAAAAAGTATTTATATGAAAAACAAAACTATTTATTCATTTAATATAAAATAAATAATTAAGTAAATAATGTAAATAAGTTTAAATTGACGTGGAAAGAAATGAAATTTAATTAAATAAAATGAGTATCTTGTACGATATCAACAAAAAGTCAGAATATCTTTTTTTTTGGATTTGACACATTTTTAAATGTTTTTATTTGTTTCTTCTTTGGAAATAGTTTCAGGTGATTTTTTGAGGTTAGTTTTTTATTTCAAAGTTGGTTGAATGACTTACATGTAGGATAACTTTATCGCAAAAAATTGGATTCTATTTATTATAAACATTACTGGTCGTTCAACAGCATTATTCAGGGTGCTTTTTGTTATTAAATTAATCAATCCAAACATTCGAGATCTTATTTTACAAACAAGATTTTCATTTTTAAGATCTTGATCTTAAAATTTTTCAAAAGCGAGATTTCAGGAAATCTTACTGTGAACAACTAGTGATTCAAATGTTTATGAACTTAATGAAAACAACTTAACTAATTTTAGCAAGAGTTTGGATTTGAATAAAATTTGTAGAGAAGAAAAAACATTTTGAAGTAACATCAATCAGGTAAAGCAATACTTGTATCCTTTCATCGAATCCCTTCAGATTTACAAACTATAAAAACTGAATCTAGAAAAGTCAGAATAAAACAACAAACAATAAAAAGTCAAACCCCAAAAGTCTCCCATAAGCATTTCCAAAGAATTTTTTCTGTTTTGTTTATTTTTACTTTCAGTAGTTTTTTATCCTCAATTTTCAACATTATAATGAAACATATAAATTACATTAAACATTAATTCTCATTAAACAATAAATAACGATTAATTCATTCATTTTGTATTTTTTTGGTATTTGTATTATAATTAATTTAATAATTTTTTTATTTGAATTTTAAATTGTGTGAAAGATTTACTTTTAAATATTTTTAAAATGGATTTTTTTAATTTAAACTTTAAAGATTTTAAATATAATTTATGAATGAATATATATCCTTTGATTCCTCTGGTTTAAAATTTACTTTTTTTAATTCAATTTAATTTTAGGTGGATTATGGTGACGATGACTTTTTTCAGATGATGATTTTTTGTTAACTCTTGAAAGCTCTCGTAAATTAGTTTCCTTCGGGTTTTGGCCTGTTTGTGTCGTAACATCTGATGACCTCTGATTGTGATAGCGTGCCACCTTCTTCTTGCGAGAAAGCAAATCCATCTGTTTGAAGGATTTTTTTTTTGATTGATTTAAGGAGTTGTTAAAATGGAAGAGAGATAAAGACATAAGTTCATGGTTCTTGATTAAGTTTTAGAAAATAAAAATCGATAGATTTGCTAAGGTTTTTATAGGAATTTTAGCTTGTAGCTTTCAATTGCATTTAATGTACGAGATATGCTGTTCATTTTAAGAGTAGCTCGTTTTTTTTTCATATAAATATTAATCCCAAATAGAACCGGTAAGGATCTAGACAGCTTTCAAGCTACATCAACTATTACCAGTTATTTTTTGCGAATATGAAGGACATCCTTAAGTCGGCTAGTTTTCATATTTTTCATTTTCTGGACGAAATGAATTATTTTTGAAAATGTGAAAAAAATAGGAGATTAACTTTTGAAAGATCTTACTGTTGTATATGAAGTTTTTAAACAGTATCACTGATACGAACAGTTCGACAGACTTATCGAAAGTCTAGGGTAGTTATAATATGCACGTTCGAAAAGTTTAAATTTGAAAGAAACCGTTACAATTTTTATGATTTCATTAGAGTTTTTGATCGTTTTAAAAAAGACTAAGCTATATTGTGCTTATTATAAATGACTACATAATATTTTCATCTGAATTTCAAATAAAACTTGTTTAATTTAAGTTTTTATTTTTTTGTGATTATTGAAAATTTCGAACTGCAGGGTATGTAACTTCGAATTTTGTATGACAGACTGACAAATAAAACATTTTTACAATTTTTTTTTGAAACTGTAACGGTCGAATCTCTTGAATTGTTCGTATCAGCAGTATCATTATGGTCCATTGAAATTGCCATAAATTCGAAATGTCTTGTCAGTCTTATAAACTTTGATTTTTAATGGTTATTTAATGTTTTAAGGATATTTGAGATATCTTATTTCAAGATTATTCAAAAGAATTCTTGAAAAATTCAGCGAACCTTAAAAATATTCCAAAAAAACCTTAGCAAAGTCCATCCATAACATCATAAATTTAAATCCCATAAAGAACTTGTTTTTGAATATAATAATAACTTTTTGATTTGTGAAATAATTTTTTTTGGTGTAATTTTTTTAATAATGATATTGGAACTGATACAATTAAAGAAAGAAACAAATTCAACAGAAAGTCAAATTATAAATAAAATTCACAGGATTAAAAAATAGCTGATTAATGTTATTTAATTAAATTAATCACAAATTCGATCGTGTTAGTTATTCATCATTTTAGAAACTTTAGATTTTTTTTTTTTGGATACAAAGCATTATTTCCATATTTACTTATTGTTCTGTCAGTATTTTACCATTTTTATGTACTTACGCTTCAATTCCATTTCTCGCTTTTCAGTTTCAGTCGTGTGTGACCGACTTGTACCGCCAGTGCCAAAAACACGTCTTACATTTGTTCGGACAAGGAGGCGAGCCGTTTCAGTTAATCTATGTCAAAAAATTTCATATTTTTTTTCGCCATAAAATTTTTGGAATTTATTTTTTTTTGCGGGTTATCGGCGATTATTTTTAGAGACAGAAGAAATGGGAAATGGAAGAAGGAAAATTGAATTCTTTGATTGTTTTTTTTTAAATCTCTGCAAAAAGGTAGAGTTATGGTACTAAAAACCGTCACCAACAATAATATTAATACTATAAGAAATTACTATATTGTAAGTAGTAAAAGAATGTAACGAAAAAATTAGAAATAGAAGAGAACTTTCTAGATTTAAGGCTAGCAATAGAAAGTAGGCTGGGAGGTGTTGAGGAACTCAACCAACTTGTTAATAAATTGTGAATATAATAAAAATTATGAATTAGGATTTTTAATACCTTCGATAGGAACAAAATAGTAAAAATTATCGAATCGAGAATATTCATGATAAAATATGTAATTTTTATGTTCATTTCCATTTTTTTTTGTGATTTATTAAAAGATTAGAAAAATTGTGAATTATCAACCATTACCATTACGTGTTTTATTATGTTGAATCACTGGCATATAATATATTATTATGTTTGTAATAATAAAAGTTTAAGAATTATGGATTAAGGGTGAGTTTTTTTTTCGGGGGATCTAAGCAAATAAAATAGTTTAAATCTAAAATAAAAACCACTACATAAAACGTAAATCACTACAAAGATTCAATTTTGAGAATATTTAATCAAATTCAGGATCAAATTTATCCACAAATCATGTTTTTTGACATTTTTAACAATGTAAGGTTTGATTCAGAATTTTAAATTGACTTGATTTTTTTTTTTAAAGAGTCAATATAGTTCAACTACACATAAAGATTGTGTTTAACTTCAAGTTCTGACAATGAACTTAAGCGTTCGAAACTGATAACAAAGATTTTGATCATTTGAGGTTCTAAGAATAAGAGTTGATACTTTTTCGGTGACAAGATAAGATTCGAACTAAAGAAGGATCGAGAAAATAAAAATTTATTCTATCCACTCCTACATTGCTAATATTTTACTGATGTTTTTAAATGACAAATCCTAAACATAAATTTATAGTGCCATTTTTTTAAGTTCAATATCTTAATGGTCTAAACACTTGACCGACAATCGAGAGGTGAGAGTTTCAATTCCTGTTCGAAACGAATTATTGTGTTAAAGATTGAGAACCACTGGCGTATAGACTCGGACTCAATCCCGGTACTTGCTGATATGAAATATCGAATCTTGATTGAAATCCCTATTCTAATAATCAACAGAAAGAAATATTTCAAGTGAAAATAATTTTGAGTGTACACGGCTTTGTTAAAGATCAATTTTTCCAAATTGATTTTATGAACACTTTAAACGTTTTCAAGTTTAATTCATAGTTCATTGAAAATGATTCTAAATTCATCAATAATCTACAATTTACAAATTATAGACAGCATATACAAAACAGCATACATATTACATTCGACAACTACTATTTTCCTTTCCTGAATATGATTGTGGCTTTCAAATCAATCGTATGATTAATTTTCGTCCTTTTGATTGTCAAAACGTTCAATTATTATATTTTCTGAGTAATCAATAATTGTCAAGCTGCTGTTATTTATAGTTTATGTAGGATTCATGGTGATTTGAAAATGAAAGTATTGAAAAACTTTGATTGAAGTCTGACAAAGTTTCAAAATAGAAAGCGCTTCATATAAAACAAAAATCCATAAGCTTCAGCAATTCACAAAGCGCTTGTTCCACATTTGCCAATTTAGCAATGTAGAAACATTTTCTAGGTCAAATATTGACCCAATGACTCGAAAGAATGAAAGAGAAAAAAATCAATGATTGTAGATAAATTTGATTGAAAATTCTAACGTAGAACAACAGTTAATGAATTATTAGTAATCATGCAATAACAAAGTTATACAGAAATTATAAAATAAAATAAAATCAATAAAAATAGTGTAGAAGTTATTAGAAGTAGAATTAATGTGATTTAAATTAATATTTGTGATTGATGCATATTTTGATAAAATAAATAAAATTGAAACAAGTTAAAATGTTCTTTAAATGAATGTGTTTTTTTACCCAATTATTTTTTTTTATGGTAAACTTACATCGCATAATTGACCCCAGGGCATGCATTGTTCTATTCGAATGAATTTTGCACATTTTTTTTCATTGATTTTTTAAATTATTTTTTTTTGATTGAAAGTTTTATGATCAGTTTTTAAGATTTTATATATAGTCCATCACAAGAAGGAAAGAAAATATGAAAGTAATATGAAAGAAAGAAATTAGGAAAAATACATTTAACAAATTTGGTTCAATAGAATATAAAAATTGTAGAAGAGACACATCAATAAAAAAAATTAATTTCAGGTTTTTAAAAGGAAAGTTTAAAATTCAAAAAGGATCAAAGGTGGGGAAAATAATAAAAGCACCATAAAAAGGGGAATTTTGAAGAGTTGTCATCACGATTCAAAAATAATTGAATAAATGCTAGTTTTTAAATATCTAAATAAAATAGCTATGATTTAATATAAACCTAGATACGTGGACTAGTTTAATCTATTATTGCTACTAATTTTGATTTCAGCCTATTCCAAAGTGTTATGGATGGAATCAATATTTGAAAAAAATAGTTTCACAAAAGATTAAGCTAAAACAAACATTTTCACAAGTTTAATTGGATACTGTAACGTCCAAAATTCTTGAATTGTTCATATAAGTTCATATAATTTTAAATCAGAAAATTTTCTAAAGAATTGTCATTTTTGACAATTTAAAGATTTTAAATCAGGAGGGTTTGGACCCCCCCCCCCTAAACGTTTTGAGCTGTGCTCTAGCTGCGTTCTAAACGTTTAGGGGTGGTCCAGACCCTTCTAGCTACGTACATGTTCAAAATTGATCAATATCATTTAATTTGAACATTTTTGTTCTCAGTCAAATGCAAAAAATACCACAAAAATTTCTTATTAAAGGTCAATTTAACTGATTTTCTAACCAAAATATCAAAATAAGTCCTAAACTCCATGATAACAACTCTAAACCATTATAATAAGAAACAAACACAGAAAGCGCTACAAAAAATACAAAAAACAAAAATTTCAAGCGTATAAGTTTAATTATTAATTGTTATGTATCAAAAATAATTCAATTCGAAAACAATATAAACTTTATGTTTATTATTCAAAAATAAATGAGATTTAAAAAACAAAATAATTAATTATAATCAGACATTCGGTATAACATCAATTATTTAATTAACTTTTTTAACATCTTCGTTATGGTTTTGTAAATTAATTTAATTCTTTTTTTTTCGAGACAACATTTTTTTTTGATAAATGAGGTATAAAAGCTTTTAATTAATTTATATTGAATGACACTGCTTAATAATTGACTCAATGAACAAACATTTTTACATGCAATTCTATTTTATGTGCACAACTATTCTAAATTATTATGTAAGTCTTTAAGCTATAATTCTGGGTAGTTTTAAAATAAATTTTTTGATCTTTAATTGGTAATTAAGAAATGACAACTTTTTGAGCATTTCGTTCGTTTTTATTTTGAAAGGAATCCAATTTTGCAATACAACCTAATTATTTCAATTCCAATTAATACCTTTAAAAATATCAAATTTATAATTCGTAATTTTTCTGGTTCCCAATACTTTAAGACCGTTTACTTTAGTATGTTTTGAGTAACGTCTGAGATTTTCTAACATTTCAAACAAAGGAAATCCAATAATAGATTTCCTTCAGAAAACTTGTGACAAAGGGGTTCTAAGAATCTAGGTTTTTGCGTTACGTAATAAGTGAACAGTTTTTTTTTCAGAGGCGTAGACAGAAGCAATTCTTTTTTAACTTTTTGGAAAAAATTTCTCAATTTGCTAAGATTTTTCAATAAAAAACCCCTCTTGAAAAATTTATGACTATGCCCCTGGCTACTTTAAAGCTTAAATTTTTATTAATTGCTTGATAGATAAATTTATGAAAATTGCAGAATGAGATTTTTATGAATTTTTAAAACTAAAGTTTATGAAGCTCTCTTTTAAATTTAAGATAGAAAGTTTCTTGATATGTTTTATTGATTGTCAAATGATTCACAAACCCTAATTTTTGAGGATTTTGATTAATGGCTTTAAAATTCTCTGTAAAAGTTGAAATGTCTTTGATTTTAGTGGATTGTAGTTTTTTTAACAAAATTGCAAAGCTTAATGCCGACATCGATGTTTAATGTTAAATAGATTTGTAAGGAAAAGTCTAAATGACTGAATCAGACTTGATCATCTAAAATTCATGTCGACTTCAAGCTCTAAATTAGTGGTTTCAAATTCAAGATTCTTAAAAAATTTCTCTTATAAATCTATTGAAATACTTCAATTTTGTGCGATTCTGATTGCAAGATCTTTCAAACTATTTCCTACACCTAGTAATTTCCCCTAAATTAATTAATATATTTCAAAATAAAGCAAAGGAGCTGTTCATAAATGACAATCAGCATCTGAAGTTTTGTGACAGTTCAAACAAAAGAAATTTCTTGATAAGATTTTGTAACAAGACTAGAAGAGTACGACAATTCTGATGTACATCATTTATGAAGAGCCCCAAACATAAAAATAATTGAGAATAAACTTGATTCTATAGTGTAGAATTAACATAGAAATTATAAAATATAATAAACATACATACACAGCCCCATAACAAGAACATAGCATAATACATTGAGATTATTTAATAACAATAATTTTGGGTTACAAAACTTCTTCACATCTACATGCTAAACTTAACAATAGTCTATCTAGTATTTTAGAATGTCTATAATTTGTGCTTTTCGTCATTTTTCTTGTTATTATCAAAATAAATTTTTCTTTTGTGCGTGTTAATTTTTTTTTGTTTTTTAATTTGCAAATGGAATCGCGTATGGATTACTATAATAATAATCAGAATCGAAATGAATGTATGGAGGCGCATTTCTCCGTCACATATGAAGACTCTCATCTTTATGTCGCTTCTCCAATTCATCATCATTTTGTGTCTCAATATCATTAACACGAATTTGTGTTGAGCTTATAACTTTTACTTCCGAATCTTCTGATGGCGCCACAGAATTTCTATTTGTTGCTCGTTTTCGTCTTGGTGGTCGCGTTGGAGTCTCATCATATTCATTAATTATATTTTCAGTTGATCGATGTCCGTTCACAGGATATTGGTCTCGATTCCATCCCAAAAACTCCTTGATTTTACCAATATTGTTGCCAATTGTTATTCTATTTGTGCATTTTTATTCACACGATTATTTTTTAATTTTTTTATGATTTATGAATTTCAATTTCAAGCATTTTCGTTAGTTTTCAATTTTTTTTCAGAAACATTTTTTTTGATTAGTAATTTGCAAGATAAACATAAAAAGAAGAAGAAAATGGAACGGAAAAGAAGAATAAAATTCAATTTTAATTAAAATTTGACCATTCGTCGCCAACTCATCAAGTTCTAGGACTTTTTTTTGTTCAGCAAAACTCTTGCAACTTGTTAGTGTTGAGATGGAAAAAAACACACAAACACACACACAAGATGGTGTCACGTCTTGAGAATTGCGCAACACGTGCGTTTTTGGGCATAGAAAAAAAAGAACTCCGTCATGCTGCATATTATGAATCTCACACAAATAGATGATGGTGAAGAATAGGAAAGAAATAAATCAATTCAGTTTTTTTTTAAATTATTAATTTATATCTCAATGACGGATGACAAAAAGCACAATTTACTAGTTTAAATATTATTTATAGAAAGGACTAGCTAGGCTGTAATTTTTGATGGAATCTTATTTGAAATTAATTTAGGATAAATGATTGAAAACTTTTTAAGCCAAAATTTGAATAAGGGTTGTTCAGTTTTGACGTCTAAATTTAGTGGGGGGGGGGGGGGGAGGGGGGGGGAAATGGGATCTGTGACAGTTTTGTGACATGGAATTTTATAACGAACGTCGAATTTCTGAACTACACCATAGCACATCTTATTTGTTTGAATTTGATGAAAATTAATTCTGATATAATTATGAAAAAAAAAATCGTCAATATTCAGTCAAGAAAAATAATCCGCTGAAATTCTGGCAGCAAAATAAATTCTTTAAAAAACTTCGAATTTCTGGCTTGAAACTCTTTATCTTATGTTCATTTAATGATAACTTTTCAAACCATTTTTCCTTAAAACTTCCATCAAATCCATTTCAAATTACGACCCAGCCTATAATCTACAACTAACAGAAATTTCAAACTGTGCAAAAAAATGCCATAAAACTCATAAAAAAATTAAGAAAGAAAAAGAAATTGAAAAAGTATTTAAATCAGTGATTATTATTTTTTTATGGTGCAATTCTAAATGGAATCGTCTGCAAACATCATCAAATTTGATTGACTCTGTTTGCATCATTCTCAGTCTTTTAAATAGTTTCTTTTGGAATTACAAATTTTATCAAAATAGATATTCTTCTTAACAGTTTCAAGGGAGAAATTTTGCAGTCAAGGAATTGAAATAAAAATTTTTGGAACCAAAGAAAATTTCGTGTTAGACAAAAAAGGAGAGAGACTTCCTTAATTTGTGATTATCAAAGACTTTAACACAAGGGACAAAACAAACTGACGGCAGAAAAATGGTAATTGTGGTTTTTGTGCTAGAACTGTACAAAAAATTTTGATTTTTCACAAAACAATAAAAAAAAAATCTACAATCACAAATTTTACGAGTGAATATCGTCAAGAATCTATAAACAAGCCATAAAACTTGTCTTTCCGATCAATATTTTATCACAATTACCATTTTTCAGTTGATAGAAATAAAATTAAGAGACATCAAGATTTCGAAAGAAGTAAAATTTACAAAAAATGTGTCAAAAATTCTACTTACGATGCTTTCGATTCCTGTCTTGGTTGAGACGATCTTGGTGTATATGTGGTACCAGTCTTATGACGATTTTGAATTCTGCATTAAACACAAAATAAGAAAAACGTGGTAAAATAATTTTGAATAAATTTGATTAGAAATCTTGAATAAAGTTTGGTTTTGAGCATTAAATCTTGAATGGACGCTCAGTAAACTTGATTTTCTTGCTTGTTAAGACAATTGGAGTGAATGAGAGATGCGAATTGACAAAACTTATTTCATTTTCATCTGGATGTGCTACCATTATGCTGAAGATTTGTATTTTATAAAGGAATTGTGATTAGAAAATTGTTCCATGTATAAAGTATGATGAAAACTTATGAATTTAAAATGCAGTATTGAAGTAGCTTTTGCTAGACAGATGCAGTTGTCTACATTTCAAAGCCTTATTCTTAAGTTTAAAGACATCCTACATATCAGTCATGTCCGAGCATAAAAGATTATTTACATTGTTTAAACAAATATCGTTCAACTTACACTTTAATCACAACATCAAGAAGCAGTGCTGCTACTGGAATTAAAAATAGTCCAAACCAAAAGGCGGGTGTGGTAAATATCATGTGATGCATTCCTGAAAACACAGCGCCCACTCGAATGATTGGCCAAATATTACTGTAATTATAATTAATCATTAAGTCACACACAAAATAATCAAATAAAATAAGCCTTAATTTACCTGTAAATTAGCATAAAGAGGAACCATAATACAATTGAACCCCAAATAGCACAATGAGTTAGCCATGTCCACGAATTTGAGATTAAACCGGCCTTCAAACAGACTGTTACGACAACATACTGTAATTAAAACATCATTAGACGTGATTTTGATAGAATTATAGGAAGATTGAGATCTTACAGTATACACCATATTTCCCAACACTAAGTATCCTCCTTCACGGCCATTATCCCACACAATACCATCAAAATATGAATACATTGGCATCCAATATAAAATGATTGAATGGATCAAGGCATTTCCGATCCAAATCCTATTGAAAAGAAATCAATAAATCATAAATTTCAAGTCATTCAGATGTCACAACTTACCAAAATACTTTTACGTTAAATAATCTGGCACTTTGAAAGTTTTCATAAATCTTTGGATTTCTGTGAAATAAAAATTGACTAATTAGAAAAGACCAACAAAGTGCATTTTTACATTAAAGATACAATGTGATCAATCAGGTCACAATCTTCAATCTTTAATATAAATCTTGCAAATCAAACCTAAAAAGTGTGTCTGCTGAGTAAACTTTATCAAAAATTCCGATAGCGAATGGTGGTAAAGCAGTAAAGAACACGTTGTATAGACCAATAGTCCATCGCTCGAAAAGAATTTGTCCAGACCAACCTAAAGGATAATAAACAGGACATTAGTCTAATTGACAAAGATAATAAAATAATTCTTTTAGACTTGCCTGAATAAATTGCAAACCACAACTCAATGACATAAAGACAAATATTTTTATAGAAGCTATATAAAATTAATTTGCACATTCTCGAGTAATTCCACGCGCCGTGTACGAGCAGTAATTTCCTTAAATATTTAAACTGTGCTATCGAATAATCTGAAGCGCAAGCGGCTTGTAATCCTTCAACTCCTGAAATTCCAACGCCAACATGTGCGCGCTATATAACAAAAACAATGCATAAGACTAGCTATATAATATGTAATAATCATGTGTGATTTACCTGAATCATCGCCACATCATTGGCACCGTCACCTGTGGTTTTATAATGGAAATAAATTATCAATGAAATAAACACACAAAGTAATTTAGTTTATTCTCACCTATTGCCAACGTCACACAGTCGTTTCTCGACCATAGCTGGAAAATATAATTAATAATGCAATGAATATTTCAAGAATGATATATGGAGGCTAGTCACAGTCTGTTAAATTGACTGTTTAATTGCTTGTGGGAATATTTATCATTTAACGGAATTTGGACATTTGAATTCCCAATACACAATTATGAGTTTAATTAGTCAAGACATGAATCATCCTTACATCTTTTGATTTTGAACACTCTCGGACCAGCATGATACAGTCAGCTTTTTGTATTGGAGAAACGCGACAACAAATAACGCATTTACAGTTAATACATAGTTCATAAAATTCTCTCCTTAATTCACAGCTTAATGCATATTTTAATGTCTTTCCATCAATAATTAGTGCAGTGTTGTCTTTCTTAAAGTGCTCATTATTTGCTGAACTGCAGCTTGAAGTAACTGCTTGAAAATCATGACTATGTCTATTAATACTGGTTCTAGTGTTGTCTAAACTATCTTCATTCATGATTATCAGATCCATTCCTTGTTGAAGGAGACGACACGAATATCCAATATTGATTGCCGTCTCTTGTTTGTCACCGGTGAGAACCCATAGCTTGATTTTGGCTTCTAGCAGTGCAGCTATTGTCTCGGGAACGCCTAAAAAGTTATCATAATTGAATAATTATTTTAACGGATATTTGAGATTTGAAAATAATTTGATCCTCTCGGAAATTTCAAATATGTTTTGGCAGTTATTTTTTAAATTTAAAATAACCGTTAATATAAAGATTGATACAAACCTTCCTGCAATTTATCCTCGATAGCTGTCGCTCCCAAAAGCTTCAAATTAATTTCAATTAGACTAGCAGCGTCTTCAACCTTTCGCTCACGATTTTGAATAGCTGTCGATGCTTTATGATACGTATCCTTCCAATGCTCATAAACTTCTGGATCTATGTCAGCAACTGCCAAGCATAAAGTTCTCAGACCTTCACTCGCAAACTCTTCAAGATGTCTAAGCGTAATATCTTTATAATCCTGTCCATCAGGCGCCAATCGCTCAAAAATGACAGTATCTGCACCCTTACAATATAATTTGATTTCACCGCGTGAATTTCTCGCTATGATTGACATTCGCTTTCGTGTTGACGTAAATTCAAGGACATTTAATATATCATAACGTTCTGTGTCGCCGAGTGCATCCATTTCCACATAAGCTGGGGTCCTGGTATGAAAAATAAAACCAAATTTCTTTGCACCATAAACGAGTGCTCGCTCATCGGGACTTGCTGCATGATAAATAATGTCCTCATTAATCACATTTATCGATGATGCATTATCAACATTGTCGTGTGCTGTGGAAGATCCATTTTCAGGAATAACTGTATGACAAATTGCCATAAGTGTCATAAAGTTCCGCGCAACATCAGAATCACTTTTTTCAGCCAAAATATGTTGACTAAGCCTTGACGGTCCTGGCCCGTCTGTGGTTGTAAAGGATGTTGATGATATTTCACCAGTTTCTTCTGCTTCATTTTCTAATGCATAAATTTGACCAGCAATTGAACACTTTTTAAATTCCATAACATTTCTAGTAAGCGTTCCTGTTTTATCACTAAAAACATACTTGACCATCCCAAGTTCCTCATTTAAATTAGATGTCCGTGCCATAGCTGGCGTATTTGATTCCTCATGATACATCTCAATATCAAGATTAATGAAAATGGCTTGTATAAATCTCACAAGTTCGAGTGTGACTTGCAATGATATTGGAATTAAATTATTGTACAGAATTATGAATGTCAGAAGATTATATGCAAAGTTCTTTGTCCAATTCTTTGTGCCCAAATACCAATGATCTGTGAAGTAGTTTAATGTCCATATTTCATTAAAGATTGCACTTGTTAAGCATAAGACGATAAGTATAAAGAAGAGCATTAAAATTTGTGTATTAGTCATTTTATCGACTGTCGATCGTTTAAGTGGTGCTGAGGTAGAATTTCTCATAAGCTTCGTATCATGTCCCGTATAAATGACCATGCCAAAGATCCAGGATGTATTTCGAAGCATTGCACCACGTAATAATACTTGATCGGGTCCCAGTGCCTGAACTTGACGATTAAGTTCCTTAAAGTTTCCATTAAACTCGTATAAATGTCTATTTGGCGGCTCACTTTCGATCGTGCCTTGCAACTGATTCAAGTCTTTCGCCTCAACGATTTTTGATGTATCAGGAAGTCCCTGTCTAATTTTAAGATTCGTCTCTCCATCCAAGTTTGAAGTCTCTATAAACGATATGCCTTGTGGTTCACTTGACGATAATAATATTAAATCTGCTGGAAAGAAGTTATTATTTTGAACTTTGACGATGTCACCGACAGCCAAATGTCTCCACTTTACATTCACCCATAAACCATTTTGTAATTTCTCAATTTCACGATTATTGGTCTCATCATCCGCTCGATGGCGTTTCTGCAATGGACATTAAGGATAGAATAAGTAATTATAGTCATTAAAGACATTTTGTCACGAACGGACATTGTGCAAGGGATTAATTTTTGATTTCCTGCTAGGTTCAGGGATGCTCAAATTGCGTGCTGTGAGACAAAAGCTCGAGTTTGTTGTCGACCGTTATTTTTCAAAAAAAATTAAATTAAAGCTGTTTATTTTTGAATTTTTTAAAGCCGTTAGTAAATTGAAATTTGAGGAAGTGAGCCTCAACAGATAAATTGCAAGTAAAAGCAGCTTAAACCTCACTGAACTAAACGGAATCATTTTAAAATTTCATTAACAAAAAGCCTTCAAACTCACAAAGTCTTCAATTATTTCCTTTATCGCACTCACTGATAATATAAATATTAAAGGAACTAATGTTGTGTAACGTCCAGTCGGCGATACATCAGGAATTTGTTGAAGAAGAGCGATAAATAAGAAGAAACAGTTCGAATATCGTCGAAATTGTTCAAATAAAAATGACGGAATGAAACTTAATGCACTGAAATAAGGCAAGAAACGATTTATTACTTATTCAGCATGTCATTTATGGTAAATTCCAATACTCACCTATATTTAGCTGTCGAAATGTGATTGTTACAATATTTTTGTGGCTGTTGTTGATTAATAAATATAACACGCTTCCCAGCATCTTCCAAAGTAGCTCCCGATGTTGTTGCATCATCTTCATCTGGAATCACATTAATAATTATATTTACCTCATTTTTCTTAATCATGATCTTATTAATTTTGCAAGCAAAATTTGAATGAAATCAAACAGAAAAATCCCAATGAGCAGAATAGAATTAATAGAAAAGTATATATGAAATGTCAAAACAAAATATTAAATGACAGTCTTTTCACCTTAATAACTGTAATTTAATATCCGAACAATGCAAATTTATGAATTAATTAAATCATTACAAGTCATTTTTTTCGTACTCCTTAAAGGACTGGAATTGATTGTGATCAATTGACATTAATTTTGTTTGATATTTGAATGGATAAAGTAGTTATTTGCTTGTGGTTGCTTCACTTTATAATCTGTCTTTCTGAATTAAAGATTCAGCTTGTTTTCTTCACAGTTTCCTTTATTAGATTTCTGTGTTTCCATAGAATAACATTCATTATTGTTGAATTTTCTTTCAAACCTTGGAAATAATTTAATGATTTATTCGTGATTAGATTCTTAAGAGCATTAAAATTGACTGTTGCAGTGTTTTGAGTAAAAAATTGAATGCTCGAAAATATCACAACTAAAAACATTTGTAAGGTTTTAAAGCACAAACTGAATTCATTTGTAAGGTTCTAAAATTCAAATTGTTTTAACCGTTGAATTAGAGTTTTCTCCCGACCTCCGAACAACGAGGTTGTGGAATTGTCAATTTTCCATAATTTAATTATTTACGCGTAGAAACCAGACAGCAAATATAGTTTAAAGTGCATACAAATAACTAAGGAAAAGATTAACAAAGGAGAAAACTCAAAAAAGTCGCGATTTAGTTAAATTTGGAGAAACTTTGGAATTGAACAAAAAAGGTGCAAATTTTTGCACATAACCAATACAAAATATAAAACGGAATTGATCATCATCAGAATACCAAAGAACATTTAATTACATTGACAAATAACGATCGGCGGCAGTTGTGAGGAGAATCAATTGTTTCACGTAGGTTTTTTGTGTTTTACCAACAATCGTGGACAAGAAGGTTCCATCATAACCATAACTTAGACATTGAATTTTATTGGAAACGGATTATCGTCAATTGTGAGGAGAATTTGTCTCGCGATGGGTTTTGTGTGTTTCCCCATATATCGCGGGCAAGTTCTAACAATCAATTGGTGCTGACTGGATTTCAATAAATCAACATTGACAAACAGGAATCGATCATCTCGGAATACAGCAGAACATATTAATTACAGATCACAATCGAGACATAACAAAAATTTGATTTTTCTTTGTGTAAATTTGTAAATTGAACTACCTGGAATTGTGAACGGTCTTTAAATAGCAGTAGGCTGATGGACCATAATAAAATTAATTAAGAAGAAGAAGAACCGTTGAATTATCAAACATTTGTAGGGTTCTGATATTCAAATTTGTTTTAACCGTTGAATTATCAAACATTTGTAGGGTTCTGATATTCAAATTTGTTTCAACCGTTAAATTATCAAACATTTGTATGGCTCTAAATTGTTGAATAACATAAATTTAAATAAATTTTGACAGTTGCAAATCAATCAATCAATTCCAACCTTTCGAATGCATTAAATGGTATTAATTAATTAATCGTTTATGGAATTAAGCGTAAAACGTTTTTTGATGGATATTTTTGAATTTAATATTATTTGTGTAATGCAATTAAGCCATAACCAAATTAGAGAGCGAGAGTAAGGATATGATTAATATAAAAATTGTAATAAATTACAGTAGAATATTGTTTCAAGTTCCATAATCCAAAATAAGTTGTGGGCATAAGGGAGGATTTTTGTGTGTAGGTATGTATGTTATATAGTTAAAAATTGATGAATGAATTATTAATTTGAGTATTCGTAGAGCATCACTATCTATTTTCTTTATTGGTAATTACACATTTCCATCACAATATCTTTATTTTATGTCATAATAATCACAGTATAAAAGAGAGAAAGGAACAAACAAAAAAAAAAAGCACAGATATTATATGTGTATACACAATTTAACGAGCGAGCCTCAAAAGAGAGGAAAATAGAAACTTTTTGATTTTTTATTATTATTTTTTTTTGCCAGGAGAAAATCGATGGAAAATATGTATGAATACGTGTACTTTATATTTTATTGTCCTAATGCTTTTCTTTCCTTCTTTCGCTTTTCCTTCGATTTTCATTCACTCAAAAAAAGAAAAAAAAAGTTTATTGATAGAAAATTTGTGTATTATTCATTGACTAAAGAGGACTTTTGGAAAACTTAAAAATACACGAATTAATCGGTTCCTTTTGAAAAGCATTTTTCCAGAGCTTTTTGAATGATTTTTTTTCGTGTCAATAATTTATAAACTAGAGTACATACGTCATCACACAAAATGTATGTCAACGTCTCATGTCCTAGACGGCTGAGGAACATATCAATGTTTAAAGTAGGAGTCGATCTTTAATGACGTCTGTCAGGAAATGAGAACTTTGAAACCTCCACACTTGTCAGTCACAAGAGGAAAGAAGAACTTTTAAAAGAATTTTAATATCTCTGAGGGCTGTTCATTAAGAACATCCATCACACACGTGATTCTTAAATGAACAGTTATGAGGATAAAAAATTGAGAGCAAAATGTTTTTTTTTTTGAAAAAAAAATCGGAATTTAACGGTTTTTGGAAGTTTAAACTTAACGTGAACTTTTTGTGGGGTTTTAGAATATTTGAATTTAAAAATAACGGTTGTTTAAGTATATTTTTTGAAAGCTCTATTTAAGAGCTGTTAAAAGCACAAATTGATATTTTACTATTTCATTTACTAATGGAATCTACGTACTCACATCGATGATCTCAACTATCCAAAATTAAGAACAATTTATATGAAAATTTTAACTTGTAAGTCTTGAAGAATTTTTTAAGCTTTTTAAGGAACAATTTGTCTATTATATATGTAGAACAAGATCCAGCTCTCTGTTCTCTGACAAACGTCATTCAAGGATAACAGAAAAAAATCATTCAAAATCTGACAAAAAGATTCCAAAGGACCTCAATTTTCACAATAAAACTTACTCAATATGGTAATTTTAAATGTCTTGTATAATGACGACAAAAAGGCCATTTTAAATGACGCATTAAATGCTTTTTAATTCACATATTTATAACTAAACGACACATTAAAGGATGTCATCGAATGGATGTAAATATTCTCATAAAATATATTCCATTAATTTATTCAACTTGATCACAAAATGAGTAAATTTAAACATTTTCGTCCGACTTCCTTAATATTTTTTAAGCACGCAAAATTGTTATTTTTGCCCTAAGTAGAACGTTGTGCGTTGTAAAAGAAAAATCCTCAATTGATTTTTTTTCTTAATTATAATTTTTTTTGTTTTTTCACACACAAAAAATCGTGGCTCTAGCTATTGATTTAAATTAAATACACGATAAAAATATAGAAATTCCTCAAAAATTGTATTTTTTCTTCACTAATAAAATATAATGTTGACGTTTCTAAGTTGAGGACTGATGAAAAACTATCAAATGTGTCTCTCTTCTGGAAAAAAAAGTCATTTCTGGTCGTCGAGAGAGCATGAATGAAAATGAAAATAGAAAGGCATGAGAGTAAAAAAATTGAGCATAACTGTAGCTCTCAAGTTCTCTCAAATCAGCCTGATTGCATGTGATGAGGAAAAATCAATGGAAATAGAATGCGATAGAATAAAAACAAACGTGCTGTATTAGAAAGGGATGGAAGAGATACTCTCACTCTCGTTGGACATTCTCATATCAAGTTCTATTTCTGTGTCAAATCTCTCTATTGAAATTTTTTTAATTTTCATTATTAAAATGTCAAAAGTTCAAGGATTTAAAATAAATCCAGCTGGATTAAACAATTAATCCTAAGATTTAAATTAAATCCTGTCAGTAAAAAATAAATCGCAGCGTATTCATTAGCAACTAGCACGAATCAAACCCAAAAAGCCTATATCCATAAAACACTGTTAGTAGAGCAAGGTGTGCATGCAATTAGTTTAATAGCAGGTTAATCAGTAGCCACCCATAAATGATTATAAAATTCCTGATTTTCACTCATTTGGATGTTAAGAGAGAGAGAGAGAGACAGAGATTAAAGCTAAGCTTATTTCTTCTTACTTGATTCACTGCCTCGCAAGTTCCGCTCAGACGTCGTTGTCGACCAATTACTAGATCGATTAGGTCGATTTTTGCCCACAATGAAAGCATTAAATGCAGATATTTTCTCTTGTACGTAATCTATACTGTGCGATGCAAATGAGCGAACTTGTTGAGTCGTTCTCTCTTGTATTTCTCTTATTGTTGGCATAGTCTTGGAAAAAAATCTATTCTATACTCAGAATTTTTTCTTCTTTTTCACTTCAGGTTCTTTTTTATTCCTGTTCTTGCACTTTTTAAAATGATTTTTTTTTTCTTTTCTTTTCTATGTTTTCTTTTACTATCTCTGTAGTTATGGATATATACGTAAAATATTTTACGGTTTGTAGGATATACAAAAACTAATTTTCTCGATAAATGCTTTTCACATTTTCAGCATTGACATTTGATGAAAGGAGCGCTGAGTTCTGAACGAGAAAAAATAATAATAATAAAATGTATAGGTATAATGTAGGTAGGTATATAATCGTAAATATCATGTCATTTAAAGTTGTCACTCTTTCGTCAAATTTGTTGTTTACGGTGTTTTGGGGAAGTATAATAAAATATTTATCCGCACTTTAGACACCATCTGCTGATGAATTCAATTGACTCGATGTTTTTTAAAGCACCAAGTTTTCCATTGCTGGATGTTATTATAATCAAGTCAGGCTATTAGAAATTTTAATCGTCAATTAAATTCATTGCTGGATGTTGTCAGGCGCCTCGAATCTTATAAAAAATCAGACTAGGAATGGAAAATCGTTTGCAAGGAAAGGAAATGAGAAAACTTAATTATATTTTGCCGACTAGTTCCGATCATATACAGAAGGAATGTTTGAGACACAGGATTTCACATTTCAAAACTTTCCACAAAAACAAAATTGATTGCATTCCTGACTATATATTTTCTCGCTTTCTCTGTCTTCACTCAGATAAATGTATTAATAAATAATCTTGTAACTTACAAGTTGTAAGCCGTAGAAAGAAGAATTTCATTCATTAATTGACATAAAAATAATTTTGTTATTCATTTTCTCGTGAAAATCTTGATCTTGAACGATACAGTTAGACGTTTTGTCTTTAACGAGGCAACTGTATTGAGTTTCTGGTTTTATTCACTTAATTAAAGCATTATATTCTCAAATTATACTTTTTTTTTTAAACAACTTATTCTACTGTAACTTATTAAGCATGTTTTCATACCGAATTTTAAGCTTTGTTTATGGAAGCTGAACGAGTAAATTACGGCTGTTGTACTGAATGTCACTTTTAACCTTGAATTTCTACTTTTAAGTTTGCATTTTAATTTTTTTGAAAAGTTTGGAATAACTTAATTCCAAAAAGAACAGTTTAGAAATATTCAAATTTAGTCATGAATTCAAAATAATTTCAAATCTAATTCGACAGTTGAAGAACATTTTATACTTGACTAAGCTAAAGATTCGCTACGATATTTTCGTGACATAACACCAAAACAAATATTTTCTTCACACTATTCCAAGAAAAAATTGAGTATATGCATCTGTTCCGCTATTTATTTTTATTGGCTTGGATCCCAGTAAAGAAAGATGTATGCCGTTTGCTATTCCGATCTGATCAGATCAAACACATTTCTTTAATGTGCACTTAGCTAGATAGATCTATTGGAGAGCGCAAGGAGAAAAATAAAATATTTTTTTCATTTTGTCTAAAATTAAAATTTTCATGAATGATTCATAATTTTCTAAATTGTAGGTAGAAAGACATTCAGAAGAGGAACGAAAAGAAAATGTTTTTCAGTAAATTAATGAAATATTTATATGTTAATCAATTGAGTGTATCCACTCCAATTTGTCTTTTAAATTCTTATCGGAACTTCACGGAAAAATTGATTATCGCGTGTTTGCCTTGCCAGAATATTTTATGAAGCTGATTATTGATGAAATTCGCGTCGATTTGGGTGGAATGAATTGATAAATTCACTTTATGGCATGAAGCTCAAGTATTGTGAGAGTATTTAATAGATAGTAAAGAAAATAAATGTGACATGAGGTCATTCACTTATCTGACATTAGAAGTTGGGAATCTTGAATTTTGTGGAATCTTCTAAAGTCATAATTAATTCATTGACGATTTTAAACCAACATATTCTATTGACGTCACCAAGTGATTGATCCCCAAAAACAAATGCGTTCTTATCATAACACCTCACATGTCAGTTCCATTACTCTTTACAAAATTGAGTAAACAAACAAACTTTGAAATGAAACACACAAAAAATATAAAGGCAAAGAAAAATATTTACGCACATATTGTGACTTATTAGCATATCCAACAATTGCACACATTATTCTCTTGATTTATTCCCTTCAAATCCAAATTTACACGAAAAAAAAAGATTTAGGAAAAATTATGACGACACTAATGATTTTAAAATGTGGATAGCCACAGCACAGAGAGTTTAGTTTACAAGATTACAAAATAATTTAATACACGTACATATAAAAAAAAAGTGTGAGTTGCCACATTGATGAAAATGTACGAGAGACTGAGATGAATAAGTCCAGAGAGCTACGAAACATTCATTATAGTAATAATAAATTTCATTTAAATGTATGTGAGGTAGCTGGTTAGCAAATATGTGTGAAATGGAAGTGAAAAGCGTTCTTGTGTGGCAATTGAATTTTCTTATCAAAAAATTGCTGCACAAATCAGTCGATGCGAGATAAAAAAAATATAAATACAGAGACATACAGACAGATTATGTGTAAATACACTTGAATTATTATTATTATTTATAAATTGAAAAGCATGTTTGAAGTGGGAAGAAATCATTCGTTTGACAGATGTTTATGAATTATTTATGTGGATATTAAGTAAATTGATTATTGCTCTTAATTCCTTTATCAAATTTTCTTTCGTAGCGCATTTTTGTTGGATGGATTTTTAAGATGCATTTTTGGACTAGATTTAAGTAAGATTTATTAAGTTTTTAGTAGACTTTGGCAACGAAAGATAAGAGCATGACTAATTTATTTATTCATTCAAGTTCGGAACAAATTTGATCGATTCCGAAAACAATGATTCATTCTCCTGAATAATATGCTAATTTAATTTATAATCACAACACCTAATTATGGATGCCCTAAAAGATTCTCTAAGTTTCTGCAGAAAGTACTTCGAAAATTATCTTAATTAACAACCTTAATATGGATACGAGTCACATACATACTGTTGTATTTGGCAGTGTTTGGTTTTGATTTTGATAAAGCTTAATCTTTTCTCAAAAGCTGAAATTTTAAAGAACCTGAGATTTACTAATGCAGAATACTTGTTTGACTTTAATTTCCTATTGTTGACGTGATTTTAAGTTTAAACCAGTGTTACGCCACCTCATTCATTCTCGAAAACTTCGAAATTGATGTCTAAAACTTCGAAATTTAAGCCGAAAATATGAATTTTAATTGTCGCTTATATAAAATGTAAACAAAGGAAAAATTTGAGTTCAAAATCAATGATTTTAGCTACTTTTAATTATGATTTGTCCTAATCAACATAATCTTTGTAATGTTTTATCACTTTTAAATAGTTTACACCACAACAATGAGCTTAAATAAGCAATTTATAAAGGAAATTATAATTTATGAATTCATTTACTAACACATTTACATGTTTTGTTTACTTTTGATATTTTTGTCGTGAAATTTTTTAAATTACAAATGTTTCCTTTTATCTAAACATTTTCAGGTCAAAAACATTTGAAAAGTCTAAAAGATAATTTACTTCAATGAAGTAAGCAGTTTAAAGCTTTAAGGGCAATTCTACGAAAAGGTTTCATGAAAATATTCCGTGTCAATTGCATGAATTTTTTAATTATTTTATTTTCACTTGTGCATAGTTTTTCAAAAATCTAATTCTCATTTCCTTTTCTATTGGTTAAACTGTGAATTATGATTACATCTGCACTCAAATTACTTAGCTATGGCTTAAGAAATTCATGTTTTTAATTTTAATATTTGGTAGTTTTTTTTTGGAATTGTCTCCAAGTTACTCTGTTTCACTAATGAAATTTTTCGTAGAATCCAAATTGCAGCTTAATTAAGGCTTCCACAAATATGATCTTGACATCGTTTTGAAGCTTTTACTTTAAGCTATAACTTTGTATATTTAGTATTACTGGAAATTTTACCACCTTAAAGATATCAATGAAAATATTTTGAAAATTTGAGTGAAAAAATTCATGTGAAACAGAGTATTTTTTCGTAGAATTTAAATAATTCTTTAATTAACCATTTTTAATATATTTGGGTGAGAACAATATGTAGATATCGGTAAAATCTACTATTAAATACATGAAACATAGAGTAATGCAACTGATAAAGAGAAATATAGATTTGGAGACAAATTTGTAGAAAAAATCATTCGTAGAATCGCCCTTAAAATAAGTAAAATTAAAGGTTTTTGTAACGGTTAAAATAAACTTAAAATATTCAAAAATTTCGGTAAAAACTCTGAAACTGTAATTTTCGAGGTGTCGTAACACTGGTTTAAACTGATTCAAACTTTCAAATAGTACTTAGCCTACATCAATTAAACGTGTCTAAACCCTAAATTAAAGCTTGACATTCTCAAACTCTTACAAACTTAAACTGAAGTCAGCATTAAAAGTTGTCAAATTGAAGTTACTAAATGACTATCATTGCAGTCAAAATAGACACTTCTATTTCATAAGATTGATCTTCTGATCCTGTTAAACTTATGTATTAGCTTGACAGTAAAGTCTCAATGTATTACTTTTAAGAAAATTCTCATCTTGTATTAAATATCAATCAGCCGTTAAACATCCCGAAATAAATCATCACATCCCACAAAAATGCGCACTGGACATCCACAAAGCTGACAATAATCTCAAAATAAAATTCCTTTACCTTCATACTCCTTAATTTTTCTTCGCAAGAATGAAGCTTTTAATGTCACTGGTCGTCGTTCAGTTTCTTGCAATGTTATCGATTCTTGTTCATTACTACTCGGTCGACTCCTTTGACTTTGCCTTTTTAATGACTGTCGATTACTATTATGTCCATTGTTATCATTACTATTATGATTTGAGGAAGATGATTGATTAAAATCTACATGACTTGATGACGACACATCATTTTGAGTCGAATGAAAATGAGAAGAAGATTGCTCATGTGAATTTAATTGATTGCTAGTTTGTGCATCCACTTCATCACTAATAGTGCTTATAGATATTTTTTTATTTTGCGATTTCCTCGAGTCTGACATTTTTCTTATTTTTTTATTTTTTCAAAACTTTTACAATATTTACTAAGTTGTGACAGCAATTGATAGTTAAAAGTGCTATGATTCATTCACATGCAATATCTTTAAACACGTAACGAAGGCAAGAAAGTGCTCTTCATTTCCGTTTTGATCTATTTTCACACACAATAAATTTTTACTGTCATGACATTTTCAAGATTACTTTGTTCAATTTAAAGTTTTTATTTCTTGATTTTATTGCATTGCAAAGCTCTTGACTCTTATTTTTTAAGTTTTCACAAGGCACAAAAAATTGTGTTTCCAAAAAATTAACTTTATTCCTTCCCTTTTTTTGCCTCTACGATGTTAACCACACGGCGATATAATGAAAACTATTTAGTACGGTTTGGAAATCACATCAAAAGCAAGTAAAAACTTGCCCACAGAGGGTTTTATCATTTTCATTTTTATATTATTGTGTATGTGTGTGCTTTTTTTTGAAGCAATGATGTCATAAACTATGATAGCGCTCGACTGATAAGATTACTGCGTTGAGCATACATAGAAAAAAAATCATGTAATTGTCCCACCTTGATATATACATGTTGGGGTCGTTCATAAATGATGATCAATGAAAACATCTTTATAAAACCACACTTCCTTATTATCATGCATTAAAATGAAAGCTCAACGGTACATTTGGTAAAAGCTAGTCGTCACATGTGAATAACCTCTTAATTCATAGCTTGTCTTTTGCTCCTTATCTGATGCAAAAACATCATAATAGTAATAATTTTTAAAAAATATCACATTTAAATTGTCAGACGATCCGTACTGTCACGTTATTTATTTTAGTTAATTCAGTAGAATTCCGCATAAAATGAAGAAAATTGCTCACATGTCCCAGATCATTTTGAAATATTTTCCCACGCAAATGAGGGAAAATGTTAATAGGATTTTCTTTATATTAATCTTTCTTTGCTGAGAAAACGACGAGACGCTGAACCTTAGCGATAAATTTCAATTATTTTCAAAATATTGAAATTTCACCATCGGAGAATGATTGAGTTATAGGGAAGTGAATGTGTGTCCGAGAATAAAGTTTAATACAATTTGTTTAGGATGAAAATAAGTCATTGAAATTAAAATCTTATCAAATGGAAATACTAATAAATTTGAATCATCATATCACGCAATTGAATTAATCACATTAATAGATATGCTATCTTATAATTTCCTAGCTAATAAAGATGATCGTCGAAAAGCACAAGGGGGTTTGAACAATTGTAACCAAATGTAACATAGGGGGGGGGGGGTGAAAAAAGTCGTTTTTTTGCGTAACGTAATAAGTGAACGGCCCCAAGTCTATCCGACTTTTTAGGATATCGTCTGGATTATCTGTCTTGTGCTTTTCGGGATTAATTTCAAAAATCAATTAAAACCTTAATTTTAACTAAGATCATAATCAAAATCTTGCTGATTTAACAAAATATGTAAAGAATCTACACGAATTTTCTATATGAATTGATAGTAGGTAACCTTAATTTGAATGAAGAAACCATCTTAGAATCCAGTTAAACTTCATTTGTTTTCAAATAAATCTCCATTTAAGTCTTATTAAATGTAATTCATGACTATTGCGACTATTGCCTAGTTTTAGATACCAAATTTATGTTATTCTTTGAAATTTCTTAAATCAAGTCATAAGTTCTCAAAACTTCAATAAATAAATAATTTCAATTCCAACAAAAATTTTAAACAAACTTTCCGACTCATTCTCAAATCAATTCTCAGCAATTGTCAGCAATCAATAGCACTTTCGGTAGCTTTTTTACAGTAAAATCTACAATAAACCAGCTAACGAGTAAAACCAAAACAATGAAAAAAAAACTCGATAGCAAACTGATTGAATTAGTTTGCTTAAAATAAATTAATCAGTCTCGACATTCGGTTTATTAGAATATCTACAATTGCATATGTTTTCTATTTTTCACAGCATATTATCATGAACTGCTATAGTAAATTAAAATAATTGCATCGTTAAATTACAACAATTAAATTAACATTTATTAATGACATTAAAATCATATTAGCTGTTACAAATGTTAATTCAGATACACATCAGTACAATGAATTTCTCCAGTAGATTAGCTTTTATATTTTGTTAAACAAACAGTCCCTTGGAAAAATTATATTTGCGAAAAAAAAAAATTCCATGACACGACAAACTCATATTAAAGGATCAAAGAAAAGCTTTAAAAACTTTTGACCACACATACTGTGCGATAAAGTCAGATGGATGATCATTATAAGTGACATAATTTGATATGATTGCATGACAGGATTGTCAAGAAAAATAGTCAACTATTAAAAACCTTTAATCCGATTTAATATGTAAAAGATAAATAACATTATAGCATGAATACGAACGATTTTCCAAAGGTGTGTCCTTTTCTTTTTCTGCTAGAGTTAAATGCGTGAGACAAAATAAAAGGAATGGTTTCGCAGGAAATTGTTAATTGATTTAACTCATACTTAGTCTGACTTTTCAATAAATGTCGACGACAACGACGGACGGACGAGATAGAGTGAGTTGTGGGAAGGAAACAAAGTTAATGGGTTGTGAAAAAAATCAAAAAGAATTGTGAGATAATGGAACCGTAAGGTATAAAAGGGCGCGACTTAGTCAGCAAGGTCATTGATAACATATGCTAGCAAAAATGAACTATTAATAATTATAATTTGAGCAAATACAAGTGTAAAATCGCGTATCATTGCGAACAACATGCACTAGCTATATACAATTATAGTTCCAACAAAGGTTTTTACGTAGCACAGTTCCCATAAAAAATTTAATGAAAAATTGTTCATTGCAAATGGAAAGTTATCGAGTGAAATTTATCTACAATATGTTTTATACTTTGTATTTAATTTTTTATGATTTTCCAACTGACTCATTATCAGTTATTGACATTTTGGATTGTAAACAGATATCAATTGTATGCAACAAGTTACGAGTAAAGAGGAAATCGTCTCTGTTTTGGAGACAAATTTTTCAAAATAATCTTTTTTTTTCATGCACTTTCGAGAGTACTTACTACTTTCTAAGAGATTTTCAGCGTCTGAATCATGCTGCTGTTGTAAGCAATTACGATTGGGCATATTCTAATTATGAGTGGAGTTGAGCAAACTACTATTTTTATTTAATTCACGTTCCTAAACTAATATAAATAATTTTTTTCTTTTATTATTACACCATTATTTTCAATAACAAAATTCATGTACTAAATGCAAAATCCGCACGAGTTGGGAAGTCACTGCTGTTGTGCTGTGTGCTTTGAAACGATTTTCATATTAAAGTTATAATTTTTTGATACGGTGGCTTTTGAATATTAAATGATTAATTTTGGAGCTGTTAAAATTTGATAATGAGTCGTTTACTTATCATTATTAACAATCTTTAGTTCAAAAACAGCAGGTTTAATCCGTTGTTGTTCACAAGTGAAACCAAAAGATTTTGTTGATCCATGATTAGACATTTGCAAACTAGATGAAAGTTTCTAGGGTTTCTAGGGTTATCCAAGGCATTCTTAAACTAGTGGATCGGGTAGAACCCAATGCAAATTATATTCACACCGTACCATCAAAAGTCTTATGGATAGACCAAGATTTGTCCAGCATAAGTTTGAAGGTATAAAGCTAGCGAGTCAGCTGAGCTTCGCTCAGCATAAGTTTGAAGATTTAATGCTTAACGAACATTCTATAAAAGTTTTTACAATTTTTTTTTCATCAAAAGTTTAATTTTATAAAAATCACAGTGAACTTTTGTTTTGAAAAATTCGTAAGAAAGGAAAGTTTCTTGCTTTTTCTGAAGCAATGGCTGTTCCTAGCTTGCCCAAAAACAATACAGCTCTTCTATAGAGCAGCACGGATAAAATGTAAAAAACTAGAAGTCTCTACGATGTCTCGTTATTGACATTTGTTGCTGATTAACTTGCTTGCTTGTTTGCTTACAAAAAGCGTATTTTGCGATTTTCTCAGCAATGCCACAACCAATTTGAAATCTGTTTTTTGCAAATGATGTAAAATTTCAGGCTTAAACTTTTCTCTTTCCACATTTTATAACCAATCTATTCGTTTTCTCACAAAATGCGAAAACTTGATTTTCAATCTGAACAAAGCCAATAGATTCACACGTGAAAACGATGTGAATATAAAAAAATAAATCAAGTATCCTTCAATAGAACCCAGCCCCAGTTTTGTGAATCTAAACTGAATGGATTGACAAACCAATTATATTTATTGCTTAAAATCTAATTTGAATATTGGATTTGTAATGAAATTTCGATTTGATTTAAAATCAATCGCAGAAAACTACGAATTACAAATAGTGTCATTTATATCAAATAATTAATTGCAAACATCAGACAAAGTGCAAGTCAAAAAGTGACATTTAATAAATCAACGCTAAGACAAATTGTGCAAATTCTTAGAACAAATGATGACACAAAAGATTCAAATCAGGTTTGTTGCTATACGCGAATAGTTTTAAAAATGCTAATTTAATATTAATCATACAATATATGGCAATCAAATTGTTGTTATACGAGAGAGATGGGAAGACTTTTAGAACAATTTTGAAATTCAGAAGTCCGTTACGAAAAAGTTTTAAAAAACTTTCATTCATTTATGCCATTTCCAGTTCATTTAAATAGCTTTAATTATTTATTTTCTCTTAAAATTGCAATATTTGCAATTATGTCAAAAGCCTGACACGCGATAATTTGCTTAAATACCGTTTAAATAGAGCGTAAGTCAAAGTTAGATCGATGAAGCTAGAAAATCTGAAAAAAGCAATAAAAAGGACGTCAATTATTTAAAACAAATTTTAATATTCATTTTTTCAATTTATTTTTTATCTTTATTTTCTTTTTTAATATTATAAAGACATTTCACAGATAATTTATTTTTTTTTGTTTTTTTAACAGTAAAAAATCATGTTTGTGGTTTTGAAGAAAGTTTAATTTCATTATTTTTCCATGACATATGAAAGAAATTTTTTTTATCATTTTTATTTTTTGTTTTGGGGGGTATATAGCAACTGAATTACTGTTTTCATTTTTTATGAGATTTTCCTCTTTTTTGTATGTATTTTTCACAATTTTCTTCTTCTTTTGTTTTCACTGGACTCATTAGATTAAATAAAAAAAGTTAATTCAAATGAATTTATCTTTGATAAACGCAAAATGAAAGAGAAAGAAAAGAAAGTAAAATATTTTTAAAAGTAATTTGTAAGAAAAAAAATCATCATCTTTCTTCAGATTTTTAAAAAAAGTTAAATTTGAATTTTTAAAAAATTCTTAACATTTTCACTTGTACAATTATATCTTCATATCATCCTCCGTTCGCATTCAAAGTTATAAAAAATATAAAAATTACGAAAACTTATTAAAATTTTCATCAATATTAATTTTAGTTGCAATTATCGACTTCAAAACATATTCATTAACATCACATTGTTTGCTTATATTTTTTGTGATTTTTTTTTCGCGCATTTTCTCGATTTGTTGTGAGGGGATTATGGGCTATCATTAATGCCTTCTTGTCACAATCATGTAAATATTTTTTCTTTGTCTTGTACTCCATAATATTTTTATTTATCAATTTGTTTGTCATTGTTTAAAATAATGTCCAATTTTTTGGTGATATTTGGGTCAATTTTATATTATTGAGGACATCAACATCCTCAAATTTCATAGCTGTCTATCAAATATTATCTTTCTGGCAATCTCATAAAAGCTATTAAGAATGCTGATCTCACCAAATGATCTAGCAGTGATCAAGAGTTCAGCATTCCACTGACTTAATAGAACCAATACAGACAGCCATGACTATACAGGATGTAATGTCCCAAAACAACTGACCACAAATTCCAAATAGATGTTCCGAAAAATTTCACAAAATTCCAAAGACATGAAACTTTTTCATCATATTAGAAAATCTCCAAAAAAAAAATCTATACAGACATTTTCAAAAACTATGAAAAAGCTTCACATCTCCAGCCGAAAAATTCTTTAATTAAATTTAGTCATATCTTATCATCACAAAAGGCTGATGATTTTTCAACAATTAATTATCATTTTTTTTCTTTGAATATTAAACAAACATCAACCTCATGGTTCCAAGACTACCTGAGAATAAAATGGCAATCACTTTGTAGCTTGTATAAAGTAGTTGGACGTGACTACTCTGACGATTTTTATTTTAAAATTTGCACGTAAAAGTACGGATTTGTTGTTGGTCAAATTTTTTGATGATTTTACCAGCATTTACATGATTTGTTTTTTGTTTAAAAATAATTTGAATTGACTTTTTTTGTTTGTTTCTTAGAGATTAATGGATTAATCTCACATACTTGATGTAATGCACTCATGACTTAATTTTTCACAGCAATTTTTTGCTTCTCATTATTTATTTCACTTCATAAGCTTTTATAGAAATTTTCTTTTCTTTTCATCCTTTAAATGTCTTTCTAGTAAAAAGATATAGGCATGGTATGGAATAAATTTATTCCTTTTTTTTGCACCGGCAATCTCTTGAGTTTTCCGGCTAAAAACTTCTCTCTTCTTGATACTTTTTTTTTTGTTGAATTTTTAATAAGACTTTTAATGAAATTCACAGACAATCCCCAAATGAGAAAATGCGCTGTCGTAATTCTCCTTTTACGAACTTTAATAAAACTTCTTCATTTATATAGACTTATTATTTTTTTTTTGTATTATTATTTTTTTTAAAGGAAAGAAATAAATTCAAAAGGTTTGAGGCAAAATTAGTTTCTTCCCTTTGTTCACCATAAGATCACTAAAACTTTATATTTTTTTTTGTTTTCTTCATTTCACACTTCATTCTTTCCTCATATTTCTTATATCTCTTTAATAAAAAAAAAAAATTAATTCAAACAATTATGCTCAAGTAATATTAATTCCATGGTTGAGAGTTGACAGCCGGTTGAATTTGATCATCATTTTTCAAACATTTTTCATGCTACTGATGAATGATGAACTACTACACATTATTATGATTAAGTTTAATATGATTTTAATCGATACTCTCATTGGATATTCTAAGATATAGCTAGGAAATTACTTGAATTGAGTTTTTGATTATTATTTGCCTTCTGGATGTTGAAATTGAATGTTATAGGATCTTATTAATGTCAAAAATATAAAATTTACTGATCCTTAAATGAAAGGCTCAATAATTCAATGATCAAGGATTTAAAAAGATCCAGTAGATTCGAAATCTTTTAAATAATTGGAAAAGTTCCAGTTAATCTTCAATTTCAGAGTACATTCAGCAAAAAGCTGAGCATCCAAGAATGCAAAATAAGACTCTTCATTCTTAATTCAAGTAAAATTGAAAAATTCACTTTAGTATGGACTACAATTTTCTAAATTATAAACTTTTGATTACATTGATAAGGTTTTTTTACAAAATAAAATGATAATTTTGCAGTCAATGGTTTTTGACTGCACATTTATGTCATCAGTAGCAATCGGATATTTGCATGATTCGATAAAGAAGTTTAATCGACTCTCAACTCTAGCATGTCATGGTGTCTTAAAAAAAGTTTTTTCTCGCATATTATCTCTTCTTCTTTTTAAATATATAAAATAATGACTTGAAAATCCTAACAATTTAAAAAACAGTACATGCAAATAAGATTCAATTTTTTCTTCTTTTCTTTCATATAAATTTTTTGTTTTCATTTGTTTGTTGATGTTTAATAATATTAATGTTTTATTTCTTATTTTTTTTTTGTTTTGAGCGCGTGCCCATAAAGCTGTTCAAATTTCACTTTGCATCCTTTTCATGTCTCGTACACCAATAAAATTATTCTTTCTTTTTTTTTATGTCTGTTGCTTCTGCCTAGCCTGAACGCATTGTCAAATTTGAAGAACTTCTGTGCCGCTTTAAAAAGAGTTTTTCATGTTTTGACAAAATTTTTTAATTGGATTTTTTTTTGTATTGTTTCATCTAACATTTTTTTTGATCACTACTACGACGACATTTAAAGTTTATATTAAAGATTTTTTGTTTTTTGTTTTTTGTGTTTCATTCACATTGAATAGTTTTCTAATTTCTTTTTTTTTTACTTGAAATGATAACTGGGTTGTACTATCGCAGCCATTGACACTTTACCTGATTATGACATTGTTGAACTGGAGCTTTCTCTCGTCGACAAATACTCTCGTAACGGATGCTTTAAAGTTGTTTTTAAGCTTTCATTATGCTCTTCTAGTGAGTTCGTTCTATAGTGAAGAACAAGTTCTTTTAATGACTTATAGATGATGAATGGTTCAGCGAATCCATATAATCCGTTCTCCGTTTGATAAATCATGCAGTGATTCACTTGCTCGTTACACATAATCGACAATGCATACGCTCGACTTGCTGAGCTTGGACGAATTAAGAATGTACCTGTTGGTGCTTCGGCTAATACACGCTCGGCATCGGAACGAGAATATTTGGGGAAATACCAACATGATTCGGCAAATGTATGCTCAACATTATCCTGATTGATCCATGCACTTGTCCCCTCCTCCATAATTCTCTTTATCAATTGATCGGGAATATTGTGTGTTAACATCATCTGCTTCAATCGCTTCTCCTGACGTAATAATGCATTAATTTCTAATTTTAATTTGTTAATATCCATTTCTAATTTCTGGTGCTGTCGTCGCTGAATGTCCAGATCTGATTCCAGATTCCTTTTACAATCCTCTAATGCACTCAAACGATGCCTAAGCAGTTCACTATTCTCGTCCAAACTTTTAAATTCATGAGGCTGTGCTTCTTTTCGATAACGCTCTTGGATTTGCATTTGTTCCTTAAACATATCCTCTGCCTCCTTAAATGCATCTTGTGCTTGGCGTTTAAAACCAATATCACTTTCCGTACGCTTATAAACATCCGACAATTGCTCCAAACTATGATACAAATTCTTTATTTCAGTCGTAATATCGACAAACTTTTGTACCAATGCGTCCTTATTTTCCAATAAATTTCGATATTCTTCATCATGAGAGAATCGCGATACCGGATATAATAATTTAACATCTAAAACTGAATTGTAGTCTTTTAATGATCTTGTACGATGAAAATCGATGAGCTCTACAACAGATGTGAAATGCACGCTCTCCTTCAAAAATCCATATCGACCGCTATTGTGGAAAATCTTGATAACACGATCGGTTCCATCTTTCTTCAATGTTAACGTATATTCACCTACAAGCATAATAAATAATAAAGTTTTAGTCAAATGCAATGAAATGTCATAAGTAGCAACAAACAATTTATTATTTTCGATTGAATCACTTTTTTTAGCGAATTATTCATTATATTGTTCACATTTTCATTATTAGACAGTTTTATAGCGATTCATAGGGTAATAAGTAGAGCACTTATTATCAATATTGAAAAAAAAATTGTTTTATTGCTATGCAAAAAATTGATGATGCGCTGCTTTTTGTTTTTAAACTTACCACATCCATTCGATGCATCTCGTACTAAAAATGTTCCATCACGAGCATCCATCAACTTTTCCTTAACCTCGTCACGCGATATATTGCCCTTGAGGGTAGAATAAAGAAAATTTCATTATTGCATATGCATAAGCGGAACTAGCTACATCTAGTCATTTTTTTTTGATGTACAGGAATTGAACCTATATTATTATTTTATGATACGTACCCAATACCATTCAGCATCATGCAAACACATACTGTCAGGCTTTGCGCCACTCGTTGGTGTCATTTGGTTTGATGGAGTTGTAAGTGGTAGTGAGCCGATCGACTTTTGTTGTGATGATTGTTTTCCTGGCATAGCTTGCTGTTTCATTTGTCCAGTATTTGTAATATTTGCAAGTGTAGAGTGTGGATTCATCATCGTTACAGTATAGAAATTTTCTTGTAATGGTTGTTGCTGAGTCGGCTTAACTGGATACGGAATTGAATTGTAATGTGACGGTTGTGAAATGTGTGGCTGTGGTGAGACGACTGCCGATGGTTTTATCACACCGATTCTTGATGAGTTCTTTCGTGGTGGCAACGCCGGTGCACAAACGAAATCTGGCAATTTGATGTGCCAATCGCCATTTAGAAGCAGCATTTCCATAATCCTAATATGTTCTGGCGTATTATAAACTATTTTAACAATGTCAGGCCACATGGGCCGAAGAAAAATATGACAGAAACATTGTACTAATGGTAGCGGCAATTCTTGAATGCCGCGATCAAATTGCATGCAACAAATACGACACAGATGTGCCATAATCCATTTTAAGGTCATGCGATGGTTTTCAGGCAATTCATTATTAATTAAATGCATCAAATGAACTACTGACTTATCAGCATACTGCTTAAGAATATTGATGAATCGATCATAATACTCGACGGGTACCAAGGGATCGGGTAATTCCCTCAAAAATCTTTTCATGATGCTAACTAAGTATTGAATTTCATATTTTGTTAGATCGATTTTCAATAATTGATCATTTGTTGTGTTGAGAACATCCCTCAATTCGATTAAATTGTCCAAAGGAATTTTTGTACGATATAATTTGTATAAATCGAGATTTGTTTGTGTTCTAGCTTGTCGTTCTATTTCCGATGTAAGCAAAACTATTATTAACGGTGCTTCGGATTTTGCATCATAGGATAAACTCAAATCTACGCCAAATATTCCGATATTGTTGCTGTTACTACTATTATTAATTATTGATGATGATGATAATGATGATGATGATGGTGGTTGTGGTTGTGGAGCATCAGTAGATGTTGGAATCTATAATAGAAATCAAATATATAAGTTATTGATTATTATTGCTTATGTCCATATTTAAATTTTAATATAGTAATGCAAACAAATTGAGGAACACGCTCTCGACTTGCAAGGAGAATTTTTTTCGATTTCAATTTTAATTTTTTTTTTTCATTTCATTCATTGAGATTAAAGAAAAAGAGGAAGAAAAAATGTTTTAGGAAGTCGAACGATTCATACAGATATTGCAGTGAGTGCCATGATCACCAGCACGTATTTAAACTATTCGATTACTTGGATGACGACTTAAGTTGCAGCAATAACTGACTTAATCAACTCGTATTGTAATTTATTATCAGTATAATTTTCTTAATTGTGATGTCCTTCTCTCGTTCCGCACGTACATAGAGTGTACATTATTGTTTATTTAGAGAATAATCGGGAATACTTAGCGGGGATCAATCGTGTCTGGTAAATATGCTGATATATGCACTATTTTAATGACTTATTACTGACACGAGCTTTAAAATTATTCAATCAAATTGCAATATTCTTCTTATTCCTTACAAATGATTTTATCCAGAACTTATCGACAATTTTTTTTTTCATGAATGGAACCAGCGTTGCATTCTAGAAATTTCCCTGACACAAAAAATTTGTGAAGTTTATGGATTTTAGTCGTGATTTTTTTCTTTACCGAGGTGTCATTTAAATGACATTAGATAATCATTTTTAATACTCAATGTCCAATTCAAGGAACTGAGACAGCCTCAAATCTGTTATAACTGAAATTGTCACTCGAATGAAATATCAAAGATGTGGGCTACATAATTCATAGAAGTAGGATTGATTAAAGACAAATTTTATCTTATGTTTTGAAGAAAATGTCATTAATCGACCTTACTTCTAGTTACTAAGCAGTCATTAAATTCTATAGAGATTAGAGATTAAACAAATATTAAACATTGGTAGCTAGTAAGGCTGACATTAAATTGGAATTCTTTAAGGACGTTAAAAAGGGAAGATTTTGGTTATATTAATTTCGATCTATATCACTTTTTAATGTTGACAATTATATCAATGAATGTGTATCGATGTCTAAAGGAAAGTATAATTCCATCCACTTATTATAATGATCCTTTTGTATGGTCCAGAATGGACAACGAAGCACTAAACGAGATTATGACGAATTGAAAGATTCCCGTCCAGTTCTGGTTAATGAAAAAATATATATTAACCACCCTGGAATGAAGATCATCCGAATAAATTTTCACGGAGATGATCTTTGGACTTTTAATTGTGCTACGTGAATTTTCACGAGTGCCGAAAAAATAAGGCACGGTGTAAATCTATCAAGTCAGCATATTTTAAAGCAAAAAAAAAAAAGAATTCAAATAATCCAGCATAAGTTTATGTTTATGTTAAAGAAAAGAGAAGAAAAAAAATTTATTATGAAAGATTTTAAACATCCGCTTCCGAAAAGAAAATGAAAATGTAAGAAAAAAACGAGAAGAGAATGTCGAAAAAGAAACAAATTCCGTGTAATTGTTGATAAACTGTTACCGAAATACTAATCAGCTTATTTAATTTTTATCACAACATGCGTAAAGAATTAAAAGTAGGCAAGAAGTCTAATAATTAGTCACATTAAATAAATGTAGGGAGTCATTCTAAATTTAATAGCGAGAGTCTTATCAAAATGCTCTTACTTTTTTTCCCGTCCAAGGTTTTTGCCCGATAAGATTATGAAAAAAAAAAATTGAAGTAAAAAAATGAAGCAAAAAAATTAAGGCAAATTTCACACTTCCAAGAAGATAACAGCCGATAAGTTATTTTTTTATGATTTCGCGTGGAAGTTAATTAAAAATTTATCAATAGACAACATTAGTGCAGTTTTCGCTATCCAAAAAAAATCCTCAAAATAAAATTGACAAGCATAAAGGAACCTTAAAAAGTAAGAAGGATTTTTTGCCCAGGCATCCTCCATAAGAGCTATTTCTTTTTCCAATTTTCCTTCATCTTCTTCTTCTTTATCCACAAAAAATTTTCCTTCCATCTCTTCCATATAATATACATACAATGTAATGCCTCCTCTTTCTCTTCGTTCACTGCTGACGATTTTTTTTTTAAAAAAAGGATTTACAAGAATGTAAAAAGAGAAAGTAAAAGAAAAACTGTTGATGAAGAAGAAAAAAAAAGAGATATTGCGCAATGGAAACTTGAACTTTTGGGGCAAACGCAAAAGTAGAAAACCGGTAAAGTTAAAAATTGATGAGAAGTCTTATATATTTTACATCCTTTTCTCTCATTTTCTCATTTTTTATTTTCTTGTTGTTGCTGTAAGTCATTCATTTAATTTATTGGTGGTGTATATAATAGATCATAAATACACAACTTAAATTTAATCGCTTCGATCGCTTTATTAAGGAAATAAAAAAAAATTAAATGAAAGAACTAAGAAGAGAGAATGTAAAGAATTCAAACTTTTATTTGCAAAATGTATGTATATATTAGCACGCAAGATTATTAAAAAAATTGTGCGTAGTTTGTTGTCTGAAATGTGTTTTTTCGGCAAAAAAAAAGTTCTTCTTTGGCCTCTCTTCATACACCTCTAAAATACTCTTTTCTTTTCTGGTTTTTTAATATATTGTATATTATATACAGCACATCCATATATATTAATATACTATTCTGCGCAATTTCTTTTCATTAAGTTAACCTTAATCAATAATTTTGACTTTTTAATCGTCCCTAAAAAGGAGTCAGCATGGTTCATAAATTAATAAAATAAAAAAAAATGTGTGTATGGAATTGCGATGTGCTATATACACACTCTCGCATATGAGAAGCGAGAAAAGAAAAAAAAATTATATATAGTATATATTTATACATATATTCAAGGCTTTCATCTAGTTATCGTCGTATAAAAATACATATATGTACATATACATCAATTCATGTAAGATTGCTGCAAAAAAAGAGCTTTTTATATAGAAAAGAGATCGCCGCACACACATGTAAATAGATCTTGCTCTTTCTCTCTCTCTCACTTCGTCACTCACCATACACAATTTAGAGTGAAGTTGTTTAATTCGAGCATGCTGACAATCATTTTTTGTCATTAATCTAATTTTTTTTTTGCTGCTGCTGCTTCTATTTTATGATGAACAAAAAAAATCTCTTTTTTTCGCTGTTCCTCATCTATTGTTTCAAAAAAAAAGGCACCAAATTGAGAATATATTTTGTATGGAATTGTTTCCACTAAATTTAAAAAAAAATCCACACCGAGTTATAGAGGTCGAATGAATGAATACCGAATACCGGTCACATCACATCACTTGAATACATTTATATAAAAGCGATGTATGTGCTCCGCTCTTATATACAATGTACAGTAACTAAGTCCGTGTATATACAATTTTTTTTTATATTATATTATTATTATTTTATACATAGACTTTAAGTTAATAAAGATGGAAATAAAAGAGAGAGCAAGAAGCATGGTTGAAGTGAAATATAAAATTAAAATTCACAAAAGGTACATAATATAATATATATCCATGTATATTGGCAACAGAAAAAAATGGTATCACACTAAAGAAGAGCAAAAAAAAATGGGGAGGGAGTGAGAGAAGAGCTACTGATAAAATGCTAATGCAAGATAGCAAATACTGATCGAATGCACAATATACAGTATTCGTCAAACAAATTTAAATTTTAAAAAAAAGGAGAATATATTAGAGATGTGGCTATGACTCTTTTTCACTTTATTCTTGAATACCTTTTTTCATATTTCTCTCTCTATCTGTCTTTTGAAGAAAAAAAAAGAAATACGAAGCATGTAGACGTATTTGTAGAGAATTTATGACAGCGCATTTAGCTAGTAAATCGGCAAAAATCTTATAGTCATTAAGATGTGCAAAAAAAAATTTCTTTACTGGATCTTGTCATACTGAAGGTTGTTCACTTTGTTCACTCAAAAGTGGAGCATCTAGGCAGCTTATAGAAAAACCCTCAAACTCATCAATTCCTCAATTTACTTTCCCTCATATTCACAATTAAATTTTACAGTACAGCTGACACACAAAGAACACTGACAATTGGATGTGTAGCAACAAAGTAAATGACTAGAAATGGAGTCTGTATGAAAAAATTTCTAATTTACTATTTAATAGACAGTCGGACGGAACTAGAAGCAACTTTTTTTCTTGTTCCTATGAGTAAAATGAAAAAAAAAAGAAGTCGAGTGTGAGAGAGATGGAGAGAAGAAAAGAAATAATTTGAATATTGTGTGACTATTCACTTAAGCACAATTTTTTCCTTCTTCTTTCATATAAAAATGCAAAACTTTTTTTTTCTTATAAAAATAAATTTTTCTTTTAGTTTTTTTTTTTGTTGCCTCCTTTAACAATTTAAATTGTTAATTTGCATTTTGGTCATAAAATAAAGATTATACTTTTTTTCTCAATTGGATGGATGGAATGAAAAAAAAAATTATGGTGGAGGAAAAAAAAATTTTTTTTAATCGAGAGTTTGAAAAAAAAAATTGTAAAAATTTTACTACTTACTTGGGCCATGTTTAATTGTAAAATACTACTAAATTTATTAAAATTTGAAAAGCCTAAGTTATCAAAATCAGTTTTTGAAACACATTTCTTAATTTTTTTTTTGTAATTTTTTATACGCGATATATAATTATTGATTTTTTTTTCTTTCCTTCAAAATTCTATCACAAAAATCATTTGAACAGAGACTTTACTTAATGACTATAAACCGAGAAGAAAAGTAGTAGAAAATTATTAAACTTTGTTTGAATCACGTTATACAGTATAGAAATATACAAATCTTAATATTAATTCACTTCTATATTTAAGAACTTAATTTTTAAGATGTAGAAAATTTGTAGTCCAAAGTGTACTAAAAAGTATCGACTAATTTTTCTTTTAGTATAGACAGCTGAGAAACGTAAGTTCCTTTAGTACTCCATTTTGAGATTTTCGTAATTTTACGTTAAATAGTTTCACACTTTTAATTACAAAATTTTGCTTAATTCAAATTTAATTGTGTCAACTGTTGTGTAATTATGAAGCTTGACTGGATTTTATGCAAATAGAACTGCTGATTTTATGAAATTCTCAATGATTTTCCTGATTTTTCACAAACTTATCTTAAAATTTCTCTCAAAATCCCTTTTTATCGACAAAGTTTATCTAAAACATCTCAAAAATCTCAAAATCCACTCGAAATTCTCAAAAAGTTTAGGTATCAAAATATGAATTTTCCGCACATCTCCCAACCACCCAGTTCATAACATTTTTGGTTTAGCACATAAACTTTAATTCTAGGGTACACAAGACTTTCATCAACTCTAAATTCAATTTATTTAAAACCGTTACAGGAAATCAAAAACTCAAAAATTCCACAATAAAATCCAGTTTTCAAAAAAGTATTTAAATTTATCTCTCGAAGTTTCTTCTTCCGACAACATGTAAGACAAGATTAGAATTTTTACGTAAATGGGATAGCCATGAATCATGAAAATTATGTAAATCTCGACTTTAAAACGATCCTTCTTCATCTTCATTTATTCTAGAACAGATTTTTTGTTTGTCGTACGTCGCAAAAAATTCAGCAATAGCTTCATTTTCGAGATTATTTTCGGATTTTTGCAGTTTCACGAGAAATTAAGCTGATAACGTCTTGATTTGTGTGTAAGAATTAAAATATTTTAATTGATAGGTCAAAAGTTATTGAAATAAGCCGCCGGCGAATTTTAAAGTTGAATTTTTTAATGCCGGTGATGATGATTGTAATGAAAATTTTAACAGATGAGAAGATGTAAAGTCTCTTTTGCATATGTAATAGTCAGCATGAAGCTACATTTCTTCAGTAGTCGAATATATTAAGTTACAGACTTTCCAAAAAAAAAAAAATTGTTGTTGGATATCAAGAAGAAGAAGAAGAAATGATGGACTTGGTAACAACTTTTTTTATAATGTACAACATGTTGATCGTGCTGTATCTTAGATGTAGTGGGAAGTAATTAATGACTAAGACCTTGTATTCCCTAGCTGATTGTATAGCCTTGAAATTCTAGCTCTGTGTATTAAATCCCGAACATAAAAAAATCTACATACGTCATAATGCACAAATACAAAGAAGATGAAGAGAAAACTATCGATAGTAATGCAGCCTCAAATATGCACAACAATACAAACAGTCATGTATGCTCACATAAAAAAATAAGACCTTCAAATATTTTTCCAAAATATATATATATTTATTTGTGGTATCAAGCTACGACACTTAATACCATAAAATCAGCAAGCATTCAAAGCTCTTTATATGGACTTCAAGTCGTTATATTTATTATTCTAGAAGGAGCCATAAATAGCGATAACAACCAAGATTTCTGACCATTAAATGATATCAAATTTAGTCAGCTTTATCTTCAGGATATAGAATTTCAACAAAAATTAAATATCATAATTATATTAAATTTGTGCTAATTCTGTACGTCCGTTCTTGATATGTATTGAAGCTTTTTCTCACTTCAAACTCTTCAAAACTCATTCATCCATTAAACAATTTACAGCCCAAAAAGATGAATCTGAAAGAGAAGTCCACTTAACAACCAAACCTGTCTCCATATTAAAGCATTGATTATCGTCATTTATTGTTGGGGTCTGTTCGTTAATTACGTGACACCATTTTAGGGGTTGGGGGTTGTAATAATAAAAACAAAATAAAATTTATATCAAGAAAGGTGTAGGGAGGGGGTTGAAAAAAGTATATTCAGGTTACGTAATAAGTGGACAACCCCTAGCATTTATACTGTCAATAAAACTGCAAAGTATTCTTCATATAGTCATAAATAGTTTTTTTTATTTATTTTAACATAAATTGTTTAAGTCATATATCACATTATGGCTTATATATTAATAAAATATTATTTTTAAAAATTAACATTACGGTGTTAACTTTATCTCATTGAAGTAATTAATTATTTTTAAATATAAGATCGAAATAGGAAGAATTTCTTTTCAGGATGAATTTCTTCTCTTCCAAATCAATAAACTTCTGAGTCGTTAAATATTTGAGTGAGAGCGCTATAGAAATTCGAGAATGACATGTCTCGAACTTATTTTTTTTCGTCTTTAAATTCTTATATTGCCAAAATATTTTATGTACCTGGCAAAAACTAGTGATTGAAGCAAATTCTAATTGATTGACTAAAGCATCATTTGCATCCAGGCAACAAGGTGATAAGTTAACTTTTTGTCTGGTGATTAATAGGCTCCACTTAAACTTAGATATTGGTAAAATTGGAAGGGTTTTTATTGAGTTTGAGGAGGTCTTGGGGTGGATTATTAAACTTGTAATGATGATGTCTATTCTACCTTGATTTTAAGAGAAGTTCAGAATTTAAACTTTTTCATTGATTATTGAAATGTCTTGAGTATTGTGTGAATCCTAGTCATTTCGACAATACTCTATATAATTATTGAGAGAACGGCCTCGTTAAACAAGCAGCTTGGCAAATACGACAATTTGAAATCTAATTAGATTAAGTAAGCAAGCTTCTATCGTATGGTTCCAAGTAAGATATCTGCTTGTTGAATCTTAGATCAATTTTTGTCATTTAATAATAAATCAGAACTATTTAAAAAGCTAGAACACTCGAAATAAAATTTATAGTGGGACCTCAACCTCTGCACATTGCAAAGACACGAGTACGTCATAAGACCTGATATACCCTGCAATTTACCTCCAGTCACAATTCGTGTGCGAGAACCGAGCTTCGTAACTAGAACTGTGAAATGGAAAAAGAGCTTCTTAAACTTGACTTCACCTGGGATTGAACCCAAGACCTTTGGCACGGAAGGTTAACGATCTACCATTTAAGCCACTGATGCCACTTCACCGCTAAAATGTAAACAAATTATTTTCGAACACAATTATTCTGATATCGAAGAATGAGGAACCAAATGTAAAAAAAATTAGGGACCTTTGTGCTATGCTGTTGTATGAATAACAAACCCAAGCTTTACCTCATCATGTCAATTTTATGATATTTATCTTAATTTAATTAAAGTGAGAAGATAATGATTAAAAGAGAAGGAATTCATCCCAGAAGTCATAATCGTCATAGAGTTTTCTCAATAGAATATATCTTAGTGTTCAATACCGTTTCTTTGAACTCTATCTACATATGTGTGTTGTCATCATCATCATTAATAATTTTTTTTTATTTCTTTTTAACTTTTATTCCTAATTAGCAAGTAACAAAATTTTTTTTTATAGTTTTCTTAATACTTTTTTTTTCTCTTAATTCAATTCACTTCTTCTTGTCTTTAATAACCACATTTAGAGAGAAAATAATTTGTTGCTGCATTTCCAACCAGATAACTTTGAATATGCATGAGTTAAAAAAATTGTAAAAGCACACTTGAGACTGAATATTACAATTTGCCAGTAAAAAAAAAAGTTTTTGGTGTTGTTTCGAAGAGCTTTGGCACTTCTGTGCTACATACTTTAAAATTCAATCACATAAATGCAAGCGGCAAACGGGAAAAAAGAACATTTTCATCTCTAAAGTGAAAATTTTACAATTTTTTATGCACAAAAAGTTTCTCATGTCTGTTGATGTTCTGTAATTATAATTGATTTAACACATAAAAATTAATTGCTCATATTTTACACATGTGACGCAACTAGCATATAACATTTCGCATAAATAGAATTATAAACTTTTCAATCTTACCACTAAAAAATATAATTTTTTTTTCACCATTACAATGGAAGTTTTCAATTTTTTCTTTCTTCTTTTTTCGATTTCTTCATTAATCATTTACTGTAAAGCTTTTTGTATCAATTTTTTGGAGCATATCTTTAGGGAATTCATTCACTTGTCAACTCATTTTCTTCTCGAATATATCAAGGAGTCAATTCAAAAATAACGTCTATGAATTATTTCTTTTTTTAAACAATAGCAACCCCCCTCCTCTCATTTTCGCTCATTCTACATCAAATTCCTCTAGAACAGGAGTGGTTCATAAATGAAGTCAATTATAAGTTCAAGAATTTTGTGACAGTTTAAATAAATAAAATGTTTCTTCACACAAAGTTTGAGACAAAGGAGAAGGGTTACAAAATCCAGGACAGTCATTTGATAGACGTCATTTATGAACAACCTTCAAGGGGGTTTACTCATTTCGTTACGAAAAATTGACGTATTAGACCCCCCCCCCCCCTTTACAAATTTTGTATGGAATTTTTCTTTCTTTTATTTAAGCTGTTACAAACTGTTACTAGACCCCCTCCCCCCTCCCGTCTTAAAAGCGAATAACTCCAGTGGTTCTTAAGCTTTTTGATTTTTGGACTGTGACATGGTAAAACTATATATCAAGTGCCAATTTTGAGTTGTTTCACACGTTTTGCAGCATACTAGAATGATTTTAATGACCAAGTAGTGTGACATGACACAAAGTTTTAGAAGTGCTGCTCTAAACTATCTTGGCAACATGAACTCTAGAATAAGTTAATCTAATTCATAATTCATAAATTCACATACTCTGAAGCAGTGTTGCCCAAACTTTTTGAACCACGGCACACCTTAGACGTAAGCCATGACCTTATGCATGCATCTCGTGTCATTTCCAAAAAAATTCCACGGTATACCAGTGTACCGCGACACATAGTTTGAACAACACTGCTCAAAAATATAACTGTCAATCTACACCACTCCCCAGCTTCCCGTCCCTAAACGTCATTTACAAACGACCCCCCAAAATATTCTCATTTTTATCAGAATACAATACATTTAATGACAGTTGAATGATGAAATAACTGAAAGAAGCTAGACATGCCAAAATTAATTGTTTAAAACGAAACTGATTGAGTTGAAACATTGTTAAGATTGTAGATTCTTTATGTATTTCACGACAATACACGTTTCCATGTCATTTAAATTCTTTCATGAATGTTCATTAATCAATTTTTGTACAAAAGTTAAACTTGACTTTTTCATGTTTATCTTGTAATTTTACATGAGATTGAAGTCTCTTTTATTACTATGTGCTTACAAGCCTGATTTGTTGTGCCTTTTCACTAGCATCTCTCTTTAATGCCAACCACTAGTTGAGCAGGAGGCTGTGAAAGATGTATGTAACATATTATCAAAAAGTTTTACATGTAATTGCTGTTATTTTTGGGGGAAGGATGACACGTCAAATTGCTTGGCATGGATTTAACCTTTTGGACTTTTAAAATTAATAGTTATCTATTTATGGAACACTTTTTGGTTCATGACAAGAGGTTGAAAGTGATGCTTGTTTTTTTTGGGGTTCTGATTTAATTTAAAGGTAAAATAACTTTTAAGGATATGCTGTAAACCTTATAAATAATTAAAAAGGGATTAATTTATTTGATTAAGCATGAAAACTAGTGGCATATACACAAGAAGTTAAGTTTCTATCCAACTGAGTCAAATACCGTGTTTTGTGATCTTATGGTACTCAAAATGATCTCTTTTCCTTGAATAAGCCAACAGAACTTAGTATACGAAAGCTAGACCAAGACCATACTTAATAAACTCAACAAGCATCAACACAACATCATAAAGTGCATGAACTCCATAAAGAACCTCAATTAACAAAGATTTAATTCATCATGCTCATGCACGATATCACATCCAAATATCCTCATTAGAATTAAAAATTCTTTTAATGATGTTCTTAATTTACGTCAAATATTTTTCTTACCTAAACTTTCATATTATTCAACTGTCACAAAACATAATGCTTCCAACTTTTTGTTATAAATTAAAATAACTTAAAGCATTGAAAAAGAAAGCTGTACAGATGTGCATTTCACTAACCGTTGAAGAGTTTTTTTTTTTTTTTTATAAAAGTCTTTAAATTGCTTGTCTTTACACATTTCAATGACATCTGCAGTGAACTATTGCTCATAATAATGCTTGAGTGAATCACTAAACGAATAACCATAAAGATATGCTCATATCATCCACAACATGACTTAATTACTTGTAACTTAATAATTCAACTAAAATGTTGTCCATCCTAATAGTTTATTTATCGCCGTACGATTGAATCCATCAATAAGTTTTTTCTTTTTGTTATTAATAAGTTTTTACGTCTCTCTTTTTTTGGTTGATGCTTGGGGTCGTTCGTTAATTACGTATCACATTTAGTGGGAGCGTCTTCAACTTTGGAACTGTTTTTTGAAAAAATAATTGTTTCTGATGTGACAAAATGGAGGAAGGAATGGAGTATTTCTAAAAATTTCTCCAAGGAGGGGTCCTATTCCTTAAAAGGGGGGTCCGAACTTTTTTCAAACATCTTCAATTTTTGAGAGGGGAAAAATTATTTTTTCACAAAAAAAACTAGTCTTCAAGAAGGTTTGATACCTCCTTGACCTTTTTCTAGCTTCTTCTACAGGGGTGGGGGTCTAAAACATAATATTTTCCTGTTACCTAACAAGTGAACGACCCCATTGTCATCGAGAATATTTGTTTTATTTATTATTATTTACTTGATAGTGCCATGTGTGTAAATGTGTCTTTTGTGTTTCAATAGCAGATATTTTGGTGATTGAGAGACAGAATGGTGCATAACTTTGAAAGTGTCTATTATAATTTTTTTTTATTTTTTTAATTCGCTTTCATTGGCATGGAAAGTATTGGAAACTACGAAGGAACAAAAAGTTTAACAATTTTGATATTTTCTACTGTATTTTGATTCTTGTTTTTTAGGGGTTTCTATGCTCGGTTAAATCGACATTTAAAATCAATGGTTAAGCCAAGGGAAAATAGAAGCTAGTGGAACAGCTATTTTGGCTACGATCTGATCAAACCCCTGTTTAAATTTATATGAGAATTGCCAATTTAATGATGATTAAAATTTTTTATGAATTAATGTAAAAATATATTGTAACGAATTTCAGTCATTTGAATTTTGAACTTCAATTTAAATTTTTAAATTTTAAATGTTCGTTATTTTTTTGATTTCCAAATTGTTGTTACGAATGAGGCCTTATGTGCAAATTTTTGGTGTTTCGATTCTGTTTTTCTAGCTAAATACAAGTGTGATGCACAATCCTCACATAAATTCCGAGAGCATGAAACCCTAGCCTATAGTCATATAAAGACAAATGTCTCTAAAAATCAAAGATAAAGGAAGGAAAGAGAAAGAGAAGGAACAATTTTCATTGTTTGCTATTAAAATGATTTACATTAACTATAAATCTCTCGTCAGGTATTGTATTGTAACTACATTTAATTCATACTCTGCATAAAATTGTCTTAAAAGTTTTTTTTTTTTTTGGAAGAGTGAATTTTTTTTAAATATATATCCTTTATATATCCTTAAATAATGAAAAATATAACAACATAATTCCTTTATCCTGCAAGTTCCTCAAAACATTTTTTTTCTACTACTTCGTAAATAGTTCGATCTATTTGATTTTAAATATTTATCTTTTTGATTCTCACATATTTTTTTGTATTATACTTTTTTTTTTATTATATGGCAGGATATTTTAGAGCATTTGCATTATCATTCTTGTATGTCTGTGTCTTGTTGTGTCTTGTTCATTTTTTTTGGTAGTAGTATAATTTTAATAATTTAATTAGACTGATGATGTAACATTATTACAATCACTATTAATTGTTAAACTTGAAGCTCGAAGATTCAAAGATGCTAATGACAAATTACTGCGTCGATATGCTGGACGAATTGAATTCGCGTGTGACAAAAGTGTATCGTTAATTATTTCGTCACTTTCTGGTGGTAATTTGGCACACAAGTGCAAATTTGAATTAAATAAATGATTGCATGCAGGACATTGACGTGGATTATTCTTATCACGATTTCTTAAAATCTCTTGTGCACACCGTGAATGTAAAATGTGTGCGCATGGAAGTGCTTCGAGAGAGTCATTCTCAAGTCCGTAAGTTTCGCCACATAAACAACAATTTAATCCTAATGAATGCTCGATTTGTGTTGCTAATTTTATATGATTTTGATAATTCTCCTCGTCGCCAAGCGATCTATAGATCTGTGCTAATCGTAAACGAACTTTCCGTACCAACATCTGTAGAATAAAACAAAAGAAAAGACAAACCAACAATCATTGCCAAATGTCGAAGGCTATTTACATGATTCAATGTTTACCTTTGCTCCAATTGAATTACAAACTTCTAATAGACGAGTATTGAATTCCAATGGACGACAGCTACAGATTTTGTTCTGAAAATTATGATAATAGGAAAATTAGGAAAATGCTTTTTCATTTGCATGCAAGGGCTGGAGACTTGAGGCTAGTCAAGGGGAAAACAACATGATGGGAAATGCAATCAAAGCTATTGACCATCATGATACTTTCCATTGAGCCAACCAGATTACACAAATGACAACTTTTCAGTTTTAGAACCTCTCAGGCTACCCTTCCATCGAGTAGAGTCATTTCAGCATGACCAAATCAATACCAACCTGAATACGAAGCGATTCTAAGCATCGTGCAGCTCCATCCATTGCCTCCATTTGTGACATTCGATCTGCCATGTTAGCAGCAGCTCCCATTGCTTGTTCATATTGCCTAAAAGCTCTCTATAAACAAATTTTGCTTTTATTAGATAACTTTTATCATTTTTTTTTCATCTTGTTTGTTACGAAAACAATAGGAAGGGCTTTCTTTTTATGACAAAAGGATATAATAATGAGAAAAATCAACATTATCTTACATCAATATCGAGTTTTTTACGATAGATATCTCCCAATATTCTAATACTTCGTGTATAAGAAGCTTGATCTCCACTAATAAGCGCTAGACGTGTCGCCTCTTCTACATAATCCCTTGCATCACCCAATTCACCCTGTTTCCGAAGTGCCGATGCCATACGCAATAATGCAGCTCGATGATGGCGTGAATTTAAGTCACCCAATTGTAAAGATCTTGATAAATCGTATGCCTTCGAGGCATAACGAGCACTCTTTTCAAAATCACATAAACGATGGAAGAGCTCGGATAATAAAACATAAACTTGCAATTCTAAAGTCGTATCGCCAATATTCATTGCTATTTTATGGGCACCTTGTAAGCCCTATATGTGCGTGTTTATCACAGAAATGGAAGAAGAAGAAATAAAAATGAAATTGAAAATTAGAAGTCATGAATGTTATATATGTGATGGTAGAGGGTGCGCCAATGGACCATAAAATTTTGTTCTTTTGAATTTTCGGAGGGGAGTACAACGTGATGGGAAATGAATTTTCATCGTGTTGTTTTCCCCTTGAAATTTTGTCAGACTTAGAAAGTTCTCTTAGTGGACTTTATTTAAATTTAGCAAAACTAAGGGGAACTCAACATTATGGGAAAAAAGTTTTGATTAAATTTTCCCATAATGTTGATTACCCCTTAAGCCATGCTGACTCAAATCGACCTCAACTGTATCAACTTATACTCCTGAAGTTTATTACAAAATTATTTTTAAATATTAAGTCTATTGGCACACATCCAGCATCAAATGTTATCATCATCATCACCATCTTTACCTCTAAGCATCTACGAAATCCGCCTAATTCTAAATATACGGAAGCAACGGTTAAATGAACTAGACCGCCATTTCTTGACTGAGCTTCACATTCGTTGTATAACGAGTGACGTGCATACATTAGACTCCGTTCTAGGCAACCTATAAGGATGTGTGTAATTGAGTAAATAAATAAAAATAAATCTAATTAATTTCAATCTGCGTTGATTCCCTCCCATAACACTTGCTTGCTTATCTTTTCTTTTAGGATGTTTATCTCCCCCACCTACCTAATTTCTCATGAGCTCGTGCTAAATTTAAATAAGCTTCTGATCTCATTTGTGGATTATCCAGCTCCTCAGAGATGCCCAATTGATGGTGACCATAATCGAGTGCATCACGAAATTTGCCGAAATCCATATGAGCTGTTATTATCATTATGTTGTTTTTCGATTTTGCGGTTGTTGATTGTGTTTTTTGCATTAATAGAACAGAAATGGAAATTAAATGAGAGCAGGCAGACGAGCGAACGGCAAAATATTTTAATTAAAGATGAAATGAAAAATGAGGTCGTTCATAAGTGACGTCAAAAAATGGTTATTTTAAATAAAGGAACCACAAAATTCAAAAGAAAATGTCTATTATAATAAACCTCTTTCTCTTCTTACACCTGTGACGTCATTTATGAACTGCCCCTTAGTGGAAAACTAAATTTTTCGTATGTACCTTGATAGAGATAGCTCAAAAGTACGAATCTATCCTCCCGTTTACTACACGATTGTAATGCGCTTTGCCATGTTTTAACAGCCGCAGTCGGATGGTGCTGGAAAAAGCAAAGCGAATTTAATTTTTTTTTCTTTTATCTATTCTGCCTATTCCTTAATGTAATGATATTATCAGAAAGTTGTTCTTTCTTTCTTTATGTACCTTTTCATAAAGCCTCAACCCTCGTTCGATCTAGGATGCGAGAGAGTAAGAAAGAAAGATGATATGGACATTCATGTAGTAATATACATAATAAAAATATATCAAAAGGAATAGAATATTGTGGATTGGATTAATTTTTTTTTCTACTTGTATTTTTGTATGTTCTGTTTACTTGACTATTTTTAGAGATTCCAATTTGCCAGCAGTAACTCGATAACAATGAGGGTATATCAGGGGTGTAGCTAGAAGAAACTTTAAGAAAGTCCTAAACTATTGAATTTAGATTTATCAGTTGTGAGAGTATGTGATTGATTCAAGGGGGTAACAACATGGTGGGAAAAAATCATCTCAAATTTTTAAAAATTTTCCATCAAAAATTTGTTGAAAATTAATTTAGAATTTTCTATCAAAGTGAAAATTTTCTCATCATGTTGTTATCCCCCTCAATTTGATTAAGCTTTAAAGTAATGCTTTAGAAACTTTTAAAAAATGGGTTTGGGTCTGGACCCTCCTTAACAATCCCTGGCTACACCCACAAGGATGTATGCGTCTGACCTACATGTCATGTTTCACATGATTAAATTATAGACATTGTTCGATAACAATTGATCACTCAAAACATAATCAACATAATACATATGTACAACAAATCATTACAGCAATCGACCTTTGGAAATCCCTTGGATATTCTATGAACAATCTTTTGCAGCTATACATTCGATATAATATTGTGTAATGAGCCACATGCGATTCTTAATATCCCCACTAAAGTCGTTATGATAAGTGTAGACCATTATTTAGCACAAATCGTGTTAAAGACAGTTCGAAATACGAAATGGAAAGTCTTTTGACACAAACTGCTACTACAAAATGTTGCAGCATTGTTTAATTAGATTTTTCACCATAAGTCGCTGGAACTGTTGGATTAATTTTTTTATCCTCATGCACTGCATCTTTTTTTTCAAGTATGTTACATCACACGCGACGCGGTCAACATATTATGTGGTTAAAATTAATTTCGGACTAAGCTTTACGAGCTGTACGCAAATTGGTGGTTAAAAATATTTTAGTATCTATAAAAGTTCAGTCCCAAATTGGTCATTAGGATCGTTGACTCTGCATACCCAAAATATATTTATGCCATTGTGGACGGTGTCTAAAATGTAGGATGATCTATAGACAATTAAAGTGATATAAAAAGGGATGTTTGGCAATAATCTCAAGTCAAAGGACACTTTCAGTTTTTGAATTATGAGCACGAAATTCGATTAGGATGAAATATGTTGGAACCTGTGCTCAGGTGTTTAAACCAATAATGCTCGACACAAGTAAGCGTTTAAGATAATAAAGCTGATGGAAAATGTAGAAGCATGGCCATGTAAATGAGAATATTGGTGAAATATTGGCTTCCTTGGGATAAAAAACGGAAATGAAGTATGTCTTGTAAAGGCCAGAGGTAAATATTGTTATGGGACAGAAAGCTTTACATAATTTTTCTTTAATTTTAAATTGGATTTTTTTTTTCTTGGGGGAAACTGAATTATTGGAAGCCTTTCAAAAACTGTGGACACTTAAAAGTTTTCAAAACTTTACAGATATCCGAAATTTTTACTTAAAAGCTTTCAATGGGATTCTCAATTTTAAGGAAGTTACATTGAATTTTTTTTTGGCAAGTGTTATGCTACATCCCGTAGAATATTTCAAGCCACAGCACAACAAAAACTTTTCTTATCTTAAGCAACTTTTTCGAGTTGTGACACAATCCAAGTGAAGAAAAATATTTGTAAGAATGTTCCAAGGCATACAGGTTGACCATCACTGATCTAAATCCTTAGACCTAGATTGAAACAATCAAAATTAATTTAAAAAGTATTAATTTTGCAAACTTTTGAACATACTTTTGGTGTTTTTCACGATATAGTCTACAACTCTCTGGGTCTGAAGCTATGTGTACTGTCATGAGCATTATGGAATTCCTTGTCATATGTACAAAATTCAAAGAAAGATCAGCCTCTTCTAGGAATCGTATTCTTATCCTTACGAAAGAGTTCTGCTGCAAAACACTTCGGCCACAAAATTCTTGATATATTACAGACATATTCGCTTACAAATGGCCAGATACCCAAATTCTATTCTGTTCAGACATAAAACTTTGTAAGAATCTATAGACCAAACACTTCCTTGCGGTTCAAAAGAGATCTAAATGTGTTATGAAGATTCCTTTGAGTTCAAAAACTGACCAATTTATGTTGAAAAGGTCATGAAACTCACTTTTTTCGGAATTCTATATCCTGAATAATTTTGGAATGTCCCAATTTTTCTTAATCCTTAAGTGTGCTTCCAGCCAAAAATATAAAAGACAATTATCTAAAGTAGTAATCTACGCTGAATCTGTCTAAATAAGTACTTATTAATGTTTAAAGGAACTGAACTTAAGGAGAAGAAGCAACTGGCGCTAGATCAACTCAGCTGACCTACTCAACTTTAATTTAATTTTAATTATTTACAATTCACTTAAAGAAGCTCCCAAACAGCCTCTATATTACTTCACTTCTAATCATTATCCTCAAAACTTTGTGCCTTACTTGAAAAGATACGGGCCAAAATAAACAACGATAAAATTGAGACAAGTATAGAAGTTAGAGGCACCCATACCTCCTTATCCACAAAATATCGACAATATTTTCAAGTTCAAAGAGAAATAGGAGAACCTCTACTTAATAGAGCATAAAAATTGCTGTATCCATAAGTTTTTCATTTCCATTAATTTTCTACAATAAAGAACGATGAGAATGATTAGTAATCATTTTTTGCCTAATCATAGAAATTTGTCACAATATTTTAGTGTTCAAAATCTCACCAAATTTTTCACGAGCAAAAATTTTTGTGAGCAAATTTTTTTAAAAATCTCACGAGCAAATTTTTCGTGAGCGGCTCACGAAAATTTTGCTCGTGAGATTTTCAGCTCGCGAGCCGAATTTTGCTCACGAAATTGCTCACGTGAGCCTACGTGAGCAAATTGTGACGTAATTTTTCAAAAAATTTCTATGAAATTTCTTGTTATGGGATGGTTCTTCAGAATGGATGAAGCTTTTGCCAGTGACTTTTCATGACTTTGCTGGATAATTTTGAGTATGCAGGACCTTCTTGTTCCTGAATCTTGACTTGTTGCTTGGATTTTTCCTTAATTTTGCTTAGAATCATTTCCAAAATCATAGGAGCCAATGATGGAAATAGATGTCAAAACATTCTTACAATACTTTTGAGACATCTCATATGGAACTGGTCATGTCCAACTGGGTAGAACTGCCGAAATTTTTTTTTTTATTTTTCTATGCTTTATAGACACTTTTGGGCAGGGGTTGGAACCAAGCACTTCCTTTACTTCCAGGCCCAATTTTCAGTGCTTACTATGTCAAGAAGGTTTCGAAACATCAGGAAAACACAAAACTTTCAAATTAGAAAGCAGTTCCTTTGTGAAATATTGCATTTGTATAAAATTTCCATACATTTTCACAAAATCTTGCGGTTTATTGAAGAGTATTCGAAGGAACTGTTGAATATTTTGAAAGTTTTGTGATTTCCTGCTCAAACCTCCTTGACATAGTAAGCACTGAAAATTGGACCTGGAAGTAACGGAAGTGCTTGGTTCCAACCCCTGCCCAAAAGTGTCTATAAAGCATAGAAAAATAAAAAAAAATTTCGGCAGTTCCACCCAGTTGGACATGACCAGTTCCATATGAGATGTCTCAAAAGTATTGTAAGAATGTTTTGACATCTATTTCCATCATTGGCTCCTATGATTTTGGAAATGATTCTAAGCAAAATTAAGGAAAAATCCAAGCAACAAGTCAAGATTCAGGAACAAGAAGGTCCTGCATACTCAAAATTATCCAGCAAAGTCATGAAAAGTCACTGGCAAAAGCTTCATCCATTCTGAAGAACCATCCCATAACAAGAAATTTCATAGAAATTTTTTGAAAAATTACGTCACAATTTGCTCACGTAGGCTCACGTGAGCAATTTCGTGAGCAAAATTCGGCTCGCGAGCTGAAAATCTCACGAGCAAAATTTTCGTGAGCCGCTCACGAAAAATTTGCTCGTGAGATTTTTAAAAAAATTTGCTCACAAAAATTTTTGCTCGTGAAAAATTTGGTGAGATTTTGAACACTACAATATTTATATCCATCTTGGGGTCGTTCATTTATGACGTTCGAAATTAACGGTCATTTTTCAAAAAAGAACAATTGATTTCCAGGAATTTCTATTGTTTTTTTTTTGCTGACCCCCCCCCCCCCCCCACCCTTGACGTCATAAGTGAACGGCCCCTACCAAAAAAAAAATAATATAAATGCAAACTCTTATCTGCTGAATAATTTCAAGCGTACATGCTCAAACATGAAAGTTTTATAGAAAACGTTTAGGAAATTGCTGTCGTGAACATGATTGGTATTAAAGATTCAGCATAAATTTTTGAAAATCGTGTGTCGAATGAGACCAACGTAATTAACCTTTTATATATTGATAACCTAGACCCTTCGAGCTATTTGGCAATTTAGTTCTTGTATGTCTCCGAAAAGAAAAGAAACATGAATAACAAGCAGACAATTTGGAACCTCTATTTGTTGTTTGTTATGTTATCTATCTCCAGTCTAATGTGTCAAAAACAATGTAGATGAACTTTTGTGTAGTTTTTTGGATGGGGGTAGCACAGGGGGGTAACAACTTGATGAGAAACTTTTTATTCAAAAACAATTTTTCAATATTTTTAAAGAAAATCAATTGAACATATCTGAAAATTTTTTATGAACAAATTTTCCCCATCACGTTGTTATCCCCCTCAGAGAAGCATGCATCTCACCTTTTTTCTCGCTAAATATTCTTTTATCGGAACACATACGGATCGTTGACATGAGAAACAACAGCCAAATACGGAAAACATGGAATTTCGCGGGCGTGGTATACGATTAAAGAGAGAAACGCCATCCGTACTAAAATCGTTATCTGCATTAACATGACAGCATCATAAAAGATTAATGATGAAAAAAAAAAGGAAAAGCACAAAATTAAGGGATGGGAAAAACATTTATCATTGACATTTAAATAAAAATACAGAGCGTAAGGCATAGATCTATTAATTTTCATAAAATAATTTTTTCAGTACCTGTTGAATTGGCTAAAAGGTTACGCGAACCATCAGGCGAGAGAAGCAAATGAGTAGCAGATAACCTTGTTGTGTGCCTGGCAATATTACATAATAACACATTTGTCATACAAGTGATGAAAATGAAAAGGGAAAAATGAGTGGGAAATAAATTTTCATTTCCTTCCTTGTGGATGTGTTGTTGCACATATTTTTCGAAATTCTCGAATATGTGGGGTTTGTTCGCCAGTGACGTCTCAAATTTTGAAATAGGATTGGGTACAATTGACACTCAACTTAAGGCAATTGCACCCCTCAAAATTGTTCTAGACGTCATAAGTGAACGACTCCCAACCAACTTACCCAGCATTTTCCCTTAAAGTGTTTGAATCAAGTCTGTATAATTCACTAGAGACATTATTCCATGACATATTTCTTTTCTCTTTTTCAATGCAGAGTTTTCTTTTTTTTACTTTACGCTTCTGCAATGAAAACTCTTTTCTCCTTTCAACTACAAATTTTTTCTCATGGACATCCTCCTTCCTATACAGAACTTAACAACAAATTTCTAGTGGTAGCTTCATATCTTTTTTATTCCATTTTTTCTCTCTTTGTGTGTAGCTATCCGTGATTAATACTTTTTTTTTATGCTAACAGGAAAGCATTTTATGATAAATTGAGTAATTAAGAAAATCTTTTTGAATTCATGAGAGCGAACGATGTGGGGAATGTCTTCTTATTCCTCAAACAAACACAAAAAAAAATATAAATATGATGTGGATGTTCACAAATAATTTTTCACTTTCTTATATATTCTTTTTTCACAGCACACTACACAACTCGTACAACTAATCAACAAAATGTTTCCATCACTGAGTCAAATTATTTTTTGTGAGACATCCATTAAGGTACAAAAAATATGTATTTTTTTTTAATAAGGCTTAAATTAATTATTATAGATTGAAAAACAGTAACGAACTACAAGCACGGATGTGGAAAATTAAATCTATATATGACTACGCCCCGAAAAAATATAGTTTTCATTTGACTTTTTTTTTCTGTTCTGTTCCTTTTTTTTCACTTCTTGTTTCTCTCCTTTCTGAAAATGAACAGTTTGAAGAAAAATGAAAGACTGGAGAAAAATCTGAAATCTCCTTCGCAATTATATTCGCTCTTGAATGTTCATATTGGTGGTGAATGTATACAGACCGAGACTCTCATAAAGAAATTCTTTTTTTCACGTGCTACTGGATGTTGGAGAATGAGCGTAAGCGTGAGAGGGATGCTGCGCATTGTAAGGATGTTTACTCGCTAATGCTAGCTTTCTCTCTGAGCATGTATAGAGTCGAGTATGAAACACTAGAATGTGATTATTTTCATTCAGTTTCCCTCAAATCATCATCATCTTCATAAACAGATTGATGTCCTTATTGCGTGCTCCAAATTTGCGATGTCATTTTTTCTATGCTTACTCTCTCGATCTCGTTGTGTGCCTATCTCTCCGCAACATGAATATTTTGTGTGTTATGTAAATTCATTCTTGTAGCATGTCTATGCATTGATTAAAAGCTTACACATTTTTTTTTTGTTGATGTCTGTTAACATTCTTTTGTTATTTTTTGGGGATTCTGGGGGAGTTATTCTGAAACTGTATTGTGTTGGTTCTTATTATTTTTTGTCTATCATGTGTGATAAACTTGACATGATGAATGCTCACGGGAAATATGAGTACTTCTTTGTGTTTCCTTTCCTTAAATTTTTGAATATAAACAGTCAAATCATGAAACATCTTGCTTATTTGTAGGGTTATATATTATCAAGCTCAATTTAAATTCTTCCATATAGAGGATTCACTAGAAATAAACAACTCTGTTATATGATAAAAGTTTCGAAACAACAGTTTTTCTCTTAATATTGTTTCATCAAGTTTAACAGAATCTCAAATATAATAGACGTCAATTGTGAATGACTCCTGTAAGATTCCTTTATAAAATTCCTTAAATATCTTCAATTTACATTCATTGGAATTGTTTACGTTTCAAACTGGAGCAAATTGGAGATGAAGCTTCGACATTCTTTTCATTTGAGTCATTTGCTGCATGCTTGCAGAAGATTGAAAATGTTTGACATCTTTTATGTGACAAGCATAATTGATAATTGTGACAGAAACAGGAAGGATATATCGTTGAATCATGAATTTCAGCAAATATCTAAAATGAAATAAATGAAAATTAAATTGATGATTTTTTAAGATTATTTGTTGATTCTTATGAGATGCTGTTGTGGATTCTTCGTAGTTATTAAGTCCAAATTGAAATGAAGCTTTAGGTTCTTCTGGTATTTTAAGACTCTTTCATATAAAGTGACAATCACAACTGAAATTTAAACAATTTTAAACCATTTCAATGATTACTGCGATAACATTTGTTTTGAAAATTTTGATTGTCATATAATGCAATTTGATTGTTTATCCTTTTTCCATAAGTCGCTTAGGTTAATTTAAGTCTGGCTTATACATCTGAAATAGATTTTGTATTACAATCAATCTAAACGATACTTTTAAACGAAAAGCTGATGAAAATCCATTAGTAGAATCTTTTAAACTCAGTATCAGATTATATTTGAAGCTTTTTGGGAAGTTAGATAAACAAATCCTTACATACCGGTTCTTTTTGTCCCATAAATTTACGATAAGATAAGAATTAATCACTATTTAATTGTTTCTCGGAATAATTTTGCCAAAAATGATAAATAAATCTAATCAGTTCATTTCCAAAATTATTACAACAGTGCAATAAAGGTTTAGTCATCAACAATAATATCTAAACAACGCATTGCTACTCCAATGATTTATTTACAAAGTTGTGTCCAAAAAAAATAAATTCTGTTTACAAATTCCAAAGCATACTTAGTGTTTATTATTAAAAACAATACTGTTGAATGACTTCATTTGGAATAAAGTCACAAAATTAATTTAGTCTTTCGAGAGCCTTGACAGAAGTAGCTTGTTGTGAATCAAACGATCCAAAAGAAATGTGAGTAAATTTTTGAAGAATTTCGTGGTTTACTAAAATTCAATTGCATGCAAAATTCCGATAAACAATTTTTTTTTGTGACTTGTCAGTGGTTGTGATAATGGATTTCCTCTTCCTTGATAACAGTTTGTGTCAATTTTAAAAGCCGTTCTCTTGAAAATTTGTAAGAGAGTCTAGTTTGAAATTTTTGAAGATGAGAGAGCTTTAGATTTGAATTTAAGACAGCAGTTAACAAGTTTCAAGCTTGACAAAGCTCTTAAAAACATTTAAGGAACTTGATAAGAAGAAAGCTTCGCTCAAAACTAGTTCGTATGTAAATTTTGTGTGCACAAAAACAGAAAGTTAACTACCCCGAGCTGCATATGATTCAAGTTGTTTCTTTTGAAGCTTTTTAAGCTTTAATGCCTATTAAATTACGAAAATAAAGGAATTTACTTTACGACTTGAAAACCCAATTCCTTCAAAATTCCAATAATTCTACTTCCATCAATCCACTTCCTGCTTACAAATATCATTTGTGCAGTTGGGGCAATAAAACTAGTTTCTTATGTGAACATCTTCAAGTTACACAATATATCAATAAATGAGAAGTTATCAGAGACCATAAAATAAGTTTTCAACAGAATACTTCCATAAAATAAACGATTTATGGCTAATTAAACAATAATTAGCGATAAATTTGAAGTATTTCCATTGCTGTACTGATAACTTTTTACTCATTTTAAGCCAAACATTCGTGCGGGTAGCAATGGAGGAAAAGACGGAAAGTGCCAGAGAAAATATTTTGAACAATAAGAAGTACGGCAAAAGAAAGTCTGTGAGATTTAAGTATGCATTGGAACCGGCTTATTTTGTGCTGTATTATGCATTCAATTTGACCAGCGCTGTATTGCAGAATCAAATGCTGAAACAGACATGCTTAAAGAAAGGATACAGCATGGATATCTGTACAAATTTGAACACGAATGATGAGACAAAGGCTGTTGAGGAACTGATACAACCAGACGTGGCTAAAATCAACATGTCAATTCTCCTTTTGAACTCAATCTTTCCAGGAACATTCAGTTTAGTTCTTGGATCTTGGAGTGACATTTATGGACGTAAGAAAATCTTAATGCTGTCATTTATTGGATACTCAACAACTCTTGGACTCATTGCCTTATTTTCATTCATATCTGAAAATGTCACAACTTTATCTCCGTGGGTTTACTTCTTTTCTGAGATGCCAATGACATTTTTGGGTGGCTGGCCTACTTTAGACATTGCAGTTTGCTGCTATGTAGCTGATTTAAGTACTGACAAGACTCGATCATTTAGACTTGGCCTAATTGGATTTTTTAACTTTTTTGGAAGTGCTACTGCATATTTTACGAGTAGCTACATACTTGCAGCCACAAATATTACAATTTTATTCATCATTGGATTCGCTTGTTCCTTTACTGCTATGTTATGGGCATTATTTATGGTTGATGATTCTATTGAGCCTTCTGAGCATGTCAGCAACGGTGAGCAGTTTAAGCAAATATTTTCACCGCTGAGAATCAAGGAAATATTCAATAGCTTGTGTAAGATACGTCCAATGAAGTGTCGACAAATTTTATGGGCATTAATTGCTATACCCACGTTGATTGTATTCACAATGCATGGAAATGGAACTTTAAATTATCTTTTCGTCCGTGAACAGTTTGAATGGTCTTTAAGACAATGGACAACGTACGAAAGCATCAATTCTGTCTTATCAGTCACTGGAATATTTATTGGAGTTATGGTGCTCAAAAAAGGTCTTCAAATATCGGACATGAAGCTTGGCATTCTTGGACTAGCATCATTTACTGTCGATGCATTTATCAAAGCATTTGCAACTAAAGGCTACATGCTGTATGTGTCATCAGGTGTCACACTCTTCAGATTATTATCAACACCAATGTTCAGGTCTGTCATGTCTGTTGCCGTGCCTCATCATGAGATTGGAAAAGTTTACAGCCTGACAACATGTTTTGAAGCTTTAAGTGGGTTAGGTGCCGGGCCTTTATATACAGCAATTTACAATAACACATTTACAGTATTTACTGGTGCTTATCATTTGTTAACTGCTACTGCCTTTATAATCGGATTGATTCTGGCTGGATTTATTGTTCGCTGGAAGTCACAAGGTGTCACTAACCAGTATGATTAATGATTCTGTGCCCATGATTCTTAATAAATTTCATTTAATCACTTCCAATACTTTAATTTCATTAATTTGTCATCATCTTGTGGAAACTAAGAAAGATCGTTGAAGCTGCTTATCAGGGCTGCTTAAGGAACTTAAAACTATAGCTTTACAACATCAACTGCATTCGAATGACATGCAGCACCATTATCAAGCATATTTAACCATTTCTCACTTTAAGTTATTTCAAAAGTGTTTCTATGGTTTGGGATTGAGAAAAATGTGGATGTTTTGGATTTTTAGATCTAAATTGTTACTTAATAGTCGATTGGAACTGATCACTCTTTGGATTTTATGTCCTTTCTGTTAATTAAGTCCATTATTACAGAATTAAGACTTTAACACCTCTTTTGTAACTTTATTGATCTTCAGATATCAATATTCTCAGTCATAGAGTCATAAAGCATCCACAGATATCGCTGGTACAACATCCAGTATGTCCAACAACATCTCAAACTCTAAATTTAATCAAATTTTCTTCAACAATTCAAAAACTCCAATTTCATCTCAAAATCGAACCACAAAGTGTAAAGTGAAGCAATGCGGAATGTCTTGCTATGTCATTTCTATTTTCTACAGAGCAGTAAGCTCCCATACGTAAGGAATGTCAACTAAATTGAACAAAATAAAGGCAAAAGAAAAATGCGTAAACGCTCATGCGATGAAGAAATTTGAGATACACACCTTTAAATGGGAAAATTAGTTAAGCATCTGAAATTTAAACCAGAAATGCAGTGAACAAGTATTGAGTAACACAATAACCTTGTCTTTTATTAATTCCAGTAAGGGGCTGTTCACTTATTACGTACCGCGAAAAAATGACTTTTTAGACCCCCCCCCCTCGTAACAAAATTTGTATGAAAAAAAAATTTCCTTGTTTGAACCGTAACAAAATCTTAGACCCCCCTCCCCCCCTTAAAGCGTTACGTAATGAGTGAATGGCCCCTAAGTCATACAATTTTTCAAGTTCATATTTTGTTTGTAGGAATAAAGAAAGGAGAATAAAATGATGAGATTGAGTAATGATAACTTGTAATTGTTTTGGTTCACTGAACTGGATATACTTGTTGAGATTTCAAGAAATGAAGGCATTAAAGTAGCATGAATTAAATTTTATTTCCCTTTTTTAATTAAAACCGTTAAATATTCAACGGCTTTTGAATTTTTGAATTTGAATTTTTCCAAGACCTCACAATTTTTTATGGGTATTTTATTCAAATTAATTTGCTTATTTCTGCTTTTATTACAAGCTAGTAGAGTATAAAGACTATTATGACTCCTTTTGAAGATATCTAGCACTCATTAAATTCATTTTTGAGCAAAATTCAAAGTAAAACCAAATCAAACATAAAGTGTTCGTCCCTAGACAAGTTGTGCATTAATTTTCTCGAAAAATCCTTAAAATTACTTTGAAAATCAATTAAAATCGTGGATAATGGATCTGAATAACTACCGTAGACGACACAATCTTCAGGCAATATTATTGAGTGTAGTTCGAGATGCTTTAAGAAGACGCAATACATACAGAAGAGACCGAAATCTCAATGAGGAAGACATAATTTCAAAATACGAGAAGAAATCGACAGATTTAAAATATAAAACACACAAAACTAAGAGCATTAATAAAGCATTGTTGTAAAATTCTGTTTAATTATGTTAATTTATCAGGAATGGAATCATTAGATATAAGCTATTAAAGTTGTCAATTGAGGGAAATTCTTTATTTTCACGTGTTCTCTACAATAAACATGATGTTATTGATAGTTTGACGCATAAGTTAATTAATTAAGATCTTCCTGTAAAAAAATGCCGATTTAGAGGAAAATTCTTTGTTTTGTGATTTTTTAAGTTCAAAATGTTTAACATCCAGTCAAGTACAATAAATGATGCAATTTTGCTGTTTCTCAATCATATTTAAAGCTCTTTTGATTAATATTATTTATTTGCGCAAATTTTGCTCCATAAAAGTTAATTCAATGGATCTGCAACACAAACTTTGAACATCCAGTAGATGCTATCCTAGATCTTTAATATTTCAACCAATAACATCCAGTAGACCCTTTCAAATGTGAATACATTTTATATCTCATTCATTATTTGCAACTTAAGTTATCAACGCACTACTGATTCAGTCTCTGAATGTAATGAAGAGTCACAGACTTAGAAATATCAACAACACACGTGTGTGTTCATTACATTTATTGCAACTGCATTGCTTATAAAAAGAACATACTTGGAAAGTTAAGAAACATTTTAAATTCAATCTCTGAACGAGCAGCAGTAGCATTGCTTACCAGACGACATAAATAATTTAAAAGTTGTGACTTGATAAAAATATGTTAAAGGTTTGGAAATTCATATCTGTGCATGTAAAGTCTGAATTTCATTGAAAATGTTGAAATTTCAGGTAGTTTTCGTAGTCTTGTGCTTGATGTTAGCCGTTGTTGCTGCATATCCGAGCGAGGATGTTGTGAAAAACGATCAGTCAGTGTCAGTTGAAAGGAGTGAATCAGCTGAAAGTGAGGAACAAGATTTGAGTGGAGCTGAATCTAGATATGGTGGATTCGGAGGTTTTGGTCATGGTAAGTTGTTGAGAATGCTGTGGATGGATATTTTGAGGAATTTAATTTATTCTTGAACTTACTTTTGCCATAGGATTCGGTGGTTTAGGTCATCTTGGAGGTTTAGGGGGCTTAGGCTTTGGTAGAGGATTCGGTAAGGAATTGATGATATATAGGGGCTGTTCACTTATTACGTAACGCGAAAAAATGACTTCTTAGACCCCCCCCCCCCCCTTGTAACAAAATTTGTATGAAAAAAAAATTTCCTTGTTTGAATCGTAACAAAATCTTAGACCCCCCCTCCCCCTAAAAGCGTTACGTAATAAGTGAATGGCCCCATAAGTGAATTTTTAAATAAAGATTGTGTTCAAATTGTAAAAACCCTTCAAATTCTTTTAGATTTAAAAACATTTGTACGGTTTTGATTTTAAAAAGAATTTGTAATGATTTGAATTTTGAACATTTAAAAATTCTGAATTTGTAAGGTTTTAGAACATTCTTAAACATTTGAATTGTTTTAAATTTGAATTTAACGGTTATTTCATGCTTTTCAATTTTTAACAGGCTTAGGACATGGTGGTTTTGGAGGGCATGGCTGGAGACATTGGGGTTAAGTCACTTTTGTCATCACTTTACTAACACCTTCTGAAAATGTGATAAAAAATAACTGAAATAAACCAAAATAATAATAAAATAAATTCAATAAAACAAAATTCACTTTCGCTGTTTTTGTTTCTTTTCTTTTACAAGCATCATGTTCATCACTTTATTGGTTCGTTTATATATCGTATCGGATATTATTGTTAATTAAAATTGTGATAGAGTCAATGAACTTTAAGAATTACATTCATTTACTGCAAATATAGTTTTTTCTATATATTTTAATTATTATTTTATCATTCTTTTTCATTTATGATGAGGTGATTTGTGAACATTACTTGAAGCTCATTCGTGGCACACGCAGAGAAAAATAGTTGCTTGATTTCATTCTTTTGTTTTTAAATTAGACGAGAAATAAAATAAATAAATTAAAGTAAAAAACGAACGTGAAACTGAAACTCATTTTTTAACATCCTAGCTAACATTTCCTTATATCTCCTTCACAAAACGTCATTTTTGATTCAATAATTTCATTAAATTAAGCGCATTGTTTTCATATTTTCCCGGAACTAGAATTTACGGTAAAAAAAACATTTGAAAAATAATAGTAGAATTTGCAGACTAAATTCAAATTTTTGAAAATAATGGTCAATTTTTTATAGCTTATAACTTTCAGGAAAATATGCCAATAACATTGTTAATGCTAATCTCATAACAAACCCGAAATAAATGTCAAATTTGCAACTCTTTCTTTTTGGAAATAATATGAAGCATCATAGAAAAAGTTTGTTTTATGGATAAAAGCATATTATTATTTCATAATATCATCAACTTAATCATACAATCGATAAATCCTATTATAAAAATTGAAGTAAAATATTTTAATTAACAAAAAGAAAATTCATGAAAGAAAAAGATATCTAATATTTATAAATGAGGTCGCTATTTCATTGTTTATGCAAAAACAAGAGATGGAAATGAAAAATATTCTTGTGGTTCACATCATGTAACTTTTTCCTTTTTACATTCGTAAACGTTGATTATTTTCTTTTCTTTCATATTAAAAAAATAATTATTTTATATCCAAACCTATTAATCTACTCAAAATAAGTTGATATATTGTTTGTGTGTTTAATTTGATGGTGGACTGCTAAAATTGAATGATGTTGGAATAGCTTGTTGTGTAAATTGAAAACCTGTTGAATAAAATTCTCAATATAAAGTACTTATGTTCAACATGTTGTTTTAAGCAGGAACTTACCGCCACTTTTCTCTATAGCATCTGATCGTTTCTGGTTCCTTTTCTGTTCGGCTGTTGTTAAAATTTGATGTAATGATTTCCTCTGCTCCTCAGTTAAATTTACACTAAGCATTGTATACCAAGTAGGATCTTGAAGCTGCAATTCTGTGAATTAAATTGTCAATTAATCTCCTTTTAATAGAATTAACTTGTCAGTTTCTTACTTTGCATAACATCTTGAAATACGATGTATTCGTCTATATATTCGGGACAATCTTCATCATCTAATGGGGTTGTGAAGCCTACAAAACATAATTTAAATTTGATTATCAAGAATATAAATTTAACAAACTTTTAAACTTTAACGGTTTTGTAAAATTCAAATTTTACTGCTTTAGAAAATTCTCTTGTAAATTTCAAATTTATTTTTACCGTTACGAAGAATATAATTTTTTAGAATCAAATAGTTTTCTAAACAATTATTTACCTTCTAAAGCAGTCTCCTCACCTTCATCGAAATCGTCGTCGTCCGAATCATCCTCGTCTGAATCTCCATCCTACGAAAATTAAAATTCAACGATTTTTGTAAAGTTGAAAAATAGTTTTGTAGAATAAATACAATTTAACGGCTTTGTAGAATTCAAAAATATCCGTTTTGTAGAATTCAAAAATATTAGCGGTTTTGTAAAATTCAAAAATATTAACGGTTTTGTAGGATTCGAAAATATTAACGGTTTTGTAGGATTCAAAAATAGTAACGGTTTTGTAAAATTTAAAAATGTCATCGATTTTGTTAAGTTGAAAAGAGTTTTATAGGACAAATAAAATTTAACGGCTTTGTAGAATTCAAAAATATTAGCGGTTTTGTAGAATTCAAAAAATAGTGGTTTTGTAGAATTTAAAAATATTAACGGGTTTGAAGGATTCAAAAATAGTAATGGTTTTGCAAAATTTAAAAATGTCAACGGTTTTGTAAGATTTAAATTTACCTTAACGACAGTAGTAATTTCTAGGCCTTGTTCAACTCCCTTTTGTCTTGCCAATTCAGCAACACGTTCCATATAAGAGTTGTCTAATTCATTCATTTCATCTTCGTCGCTTGATATTCCTTCCTCACAGTCATCCTCTATGTCCTCGTCCCCGTCACTTTCTTCTTCTTCCTCAGCTTCAGCCCGAGCTTCATAAGCTCGTTTAAGTCCATCAAATATAAGAATTAATGATGGAATAATATCATTTGACACTTCACTTAAAACTTGTGGCTTTGCATTTCCTAAAGATATTAATGTGCACATTCCAACGACCCATAATTTCCTATCGTGAATACCTAAAAAGCAGTCCGTATCATGAATCCATTGCTTAACAAAATGTGATAATATTGAGTCATTTGTATTCGGCATTGGTTGTTTAGACAGCATATCCAATAATGGTGACGTGTTCGTATACAAAGCAGCAATGACAACTTGTAAGCACATCGTTCTCAGTTCTGATGTCTTTACCTCACGAATTAATCGTCCTAATGCTAATTCTACAAACGTTGGAATACATTCATTAATTCGTCCGCGACATTGAAGGATCATAACTTCTAATAATTTTGCGGCATTACATTCAGATTCTTCTGTGACATCAGTGCTTGTTAAAACCGTTTTGCACATATTAAAGAGTGCCAGAACGTAGTTTTGATTTTGTAAGAAGGCATTCGTATCGACAGTAACATAATTGTATAAAGTTGGCATCATATCAAGGAAATAATCGATTCCATCTTTCTCAAACATTGCGTAAACTAATTCGAATAATTTCCATAAATCTTGTGATACATTCTTGGATGTAAGATCGTAGATGAGCGAAAAGGCCTCTTCATAAAATTCATTAATATTATTTTGAAGGATGTGACCAATAACTTGTAAAACAATTGGATGTAAGCTAGCAATAACGTCTGGTTTCTCTTCCATAACGGACAATAAAGTCTCCATTGTATTTAATAATCCCATAGCTGTAATTGCACGATCATCATTAGAATCATCGCCTTCAAGAACTTGACTGAATGTTGCGGCTAAATGTTGACAAATTTCTACAGCTATTGGAACTAGCTGATCAGTAAATTGGCATACAATCTTTTGTAAGACATTTGTTAAATCCTCATTTTCAGTTTCCCGAATAATCTTTAATAATTCAACAGTTATTGGCTTAACTTGTGTCTCAACGAACTTACTAGATTCGGGCTGTGAAACTAAGAACATTTGTATACAAACGGCAGCTTCAACTTTTACTGGTAAATCGGGATCTGTGAGGAGAGCATTTGATGATAATTGCATAATTTTTGCTAAATTTTCTGGATTTTTGATTCGAATTTCACTAAAACTGTGAAGAACCCAACAAGATCGTGCCCTTAAATGACCGTGTGGACTTTGAAAGCCTGGAAATACATATGTGACAAGCAACGTCTCAACTTGATCTTTAAACACTTTCTTCTTTGGTAAAACGTCAGCCAAGCTTCCAATCATGTGTAAAGCTCCGTCTTTTTCTCGTGGTGTGATGCTTGGATTGTTAATGATTTGGAAAAATGCAGTCATGACTGAATTCAAGATTCCTTTTCTCGTTTTACACAAACTATGGAGAAGAGATTCCGCTGCTGGAACTGGCGATGAAATGTCATCAAAGACATCGAATTTCTGACGAATGTATTCAACTGGATCCATTTCCCACATTTCTTGATCAGCTTCCGAGAATGACATTAGTGGGAAAATCACGTCTTGAATCAACGCTATGGCGTGAGGCTTTATAATCTTCCATGAATGTGCATGTGATACTCTGAAATTATTTACGTGAAATAAATAACGGCATGAAATTATTCGAAAAATAACCGTCATTAAATATTTGAAAAATAACTGTCATAAAATATTTGAAATATTGAGCAGTAAAAATTCAAATTTTTGTAAATTGTAAAATAACGGTAAAATTGTAAATTTCAAGCAAAAAACAGGAACAACATGCAAACAAATAGAAGGAAGTGATGTGCTAATTGAATACTTACGAATTCTTCATATAATTCAAAATGTCAGTAAGAACGCGTGGCGAAACCCATTGCTTCTTTCTGTATTCATCTAGAACTTTAAATTGGACTTGCAGAATGCCAGTTGAGAATGTTTCTAAATACCACTTTGAAAACTCTTCATATTCTTTGGACACGACATTTCCTGGACTTCCATAACGCTCAAACATACGTGCAACAATATGTGCTGCCCATTTTTTGACTTTCCATTCCGGTAGTTCCAAATTATCATCGGGATTCTCATCAAGTCGTTGTGCATTTGTTGGACGATCGAGTATTTGACGACAAACTTCCATCCATTGTGCAAACATTTCTCTTGTTATAACGTCAAGTGGCAATGCATATTGTGTCAATGCATAATAAATTTTCAGAATCAACTTTTGTAGCAACACAAATTGATCATTGTCATTTAATGGATCATGTCCAAGAAGATTTATCATAAGACTATAAACCATTGGCAACAAAAGATTCATTGCTTCCGTAAGCGGTGCACGTTCTGTTGACTTTTTATATTCATAATTTTTAACGAGCTGATAAAGACATAAAAGTGCACCATTCCATCCATTAACGTCGGTATTTTGTAGATAAATGCTAATTTTATCAACAACTTGTGTCCATCGATGTGGAAAGTCGTGCTTTATGATGTTATTTATGCATACACATAATTGTACACGAATTGGTTCGGGAGCTAAAACAATGGCATCAACAATACTATCTCTAATCATGGCTCTATCCTGTTCATGTATTGAGAATACAAGCTGTTGTCCTGCCTCAATTTCTCGATCTTCCCAACTATTTGTTATCGTATTCTTTAAATAGACAGCACCTGCTTGACGCACTGGCATGTCAACATCATTTTGCATTACAACTTGTAATAAGCTAGGCACAAATCCAATAATTTTGTGCACCTTAAATAACAAATGAAGAATAAAGGCATAAATCAAGTCAATAAATTGCATTTTGTCATGAATCATTACTTCGTACCGAGCCGGAATTTTTTGTACGAACGTGATACGAAAAATTGATTAAATATTATTACGGACGACTGTACCTTCTCCGCGATAGATATACATTGTATACAGTATAAAGGAATGAGGTTATGATATGGGAAATGAGTAACTAAGCCGAATATGTGTTATTTTTGGATATGAATATCATGAAATGTTTAAAAGTAACATGTGTTGTATCAATCAAACACTCATTTTAGTGTAAATATCTTCAACTTTTGCCATACGTATAAGCTATTACAGCTTGCGAATTTCCACGAATCAGAATTTAACGAAAAAGCTTTTTTTTTGTGTTGTTGGACATACAAAATTGCATCACTTAACGCGAAAAAAAGGACAATGATTTTTTTCAAGGTCAGTCAATTTCCTATCTAGTTCTATGACTGTATCTTTTCGAGATGACATTATAATGAAGGAATAATGTCCGTGAATCATTGCGAAATCGAATATTTGAGCGCAAATGAAAAACATGCGTTCACATTTAATATTTTGTTTTACAGCATTTCATACCTGTTGTAACTGATCGTGTGCTTGCTGTTGCTGATTTGCATCCAGTGTTGCACGCAAAACTTCCACAATCTTGCGCGAATCCATGATTTTGAGCTATTATTACTAAACTTTTTTTCAATAAAAATTAATGCTGTGAAGAGATGAAGATTTTACAATAATTTTGCAGGGTTTTGTAGGTTTCAAATTTGAATCTAAGAAACTGTTGACACATTTTATTTCTTTACAGTTTTTCCTTCCTATACTCAATGTCATCAAACTTTTTCATGCAGGAACACTATTAATTACAATAATCTATCAGTTGAGACACTTGCAAATGTCAATAATTTAAAATTAATGAAAAATAATCTCCTGCAAAGATAACTGTTTTGTAAAATTCAAATGGATTTTGTAAAAATGTATATATGTGAAAATTTCAAAAACATTTAATCTGAAGGAAGTAAATTTCTTAATTAAGTGCTTATATCCATCTCATAAACTCCTGAAAACAGCATAAACCTACGTTTAAAATGCCAATGAATTGACGACACATATTAGTTTCATACATTTCATTCAATAAAACGTGAAAAATGAAAAAGGCGATAATTTTTCTCATGTTTTATGGCTTAATAAAGTGCTCTAAATTAGAAGATGGCTATTGTGCTCCTTATGCTGGAAAGATTTGTAAATCATATATTAAGAACTTCCAAGTGTGGTATCCCTCGAACGGTGGATGGGAGAATGAGAAGATAGCTACTGGATTATTTAAGGAATTAATTGAGGATTTAGATCCTTTGTGTCAAAAACCAGCAGCAAAACTTTTGTGTGCCTATGCCTTTCCCAGATGCAAATTAATTGATGGCACAAATACTCCATTGCCACTATGCTATGAAGACTGTATTGCTGTTGAGAAAGTCTTTTGCTATGATATTTGGGTCTTGTTAGAAGAAAAGAAGCAACGAGGAGAGATACAGCTAAAGAGTAAAGGACATTTTCGACTACCCAAATGCAATGACTTACCTCGGTATAATAAAACATCCAAAGTACCAAATTGCTCGTACATGGGACTTGTGGAAATGAATCAAGCTGAAGTTACATGTAATATTTATGTCTGTACTTTATTTCGTGAATATTTTAATAGCTATAAATTTTATTTGTAGACGATTGCCGCATTGGAAATGGCAAGCATTATTTAGGAACACAAAATTATACAGAAACTGGTGCTTCATGTCAAAAATGGACATCTCAAACGCCCCATAGTCACGATACACCACCTCATGTCTTTCCAGAACTTCTCGATGCTGAAAATTACTGTCGAAATGTTGGTGGACAAATGAATCAGCCTTGGTGCTATACCGAGGATAAATCAGTTCGATGGCAGTTTTGTGATATCCCATTGTGCCCTAATTCCACTGAAAATATTGCAACATTAGATTTGAACAATCCTAAATTAGAAATGGAAAATGTCTTTACACCAATGATGATATTCATATTAGGATCTATTGGTTTAGTGACTATTTTAATAATTCATGTATGCATCCTCCTTGTTTATCGTGTTTCTCGTTATAATAAACGTGATCATTCATCTGCTGGCTTTACAGTCATTACTCAAAATGTAGACATGAATAAACTTCCTGCTAATGCTAATTATCATCAAACAGCTGCAAACTTAAATCCAAAATTAGAAAAGCTTGAATATCCAAGAAATGACATAATTTATATTAAAGATTTAGGACAAGGCGCTTTTGGACGTGTCTTTCAAGGCAAAGCTCCTCGTTTAGTTCCTGGCGAAGAGTTCACATTAGTTGCTGTAAAAATGCTGAAAGATGAAGCTACAGAAGACATGCAATCTGACTTTGAACGCGAAGCTTGCTTACTTGCTGAATTTGATCATCCAAATATTGTAAAATTGTTGGGCGTCTGTGCTATGGGACGTCCGATGTGTTTGCTTTTTGAATTTATGGCTAGAGGGGATCTCAATGAATTCCTTAGATCTTGTTCTCCAGCTATGAACACATCAAATCAAGTTAAAACGGGAGGAAATACTAAGCAATTGACGCATCGTGATTTATTAGGAACCGCACTTCAAATTGCCAATGGAATGGTTTATTTATCAGAAAGGAAGTTCGTTCATCGCGATTTAGCTACGAGAAATTGCTTGATCAATGAGGATATGGTTGTCAAAATTGCAGGTAAGATTACGTTTTTTATTCCAAAGATTTAAGTTAAATATGTAGGTTTAAAAATTAAATCTGAAGATTAAAATTAAAGCTCGGGATTTAAAAAATAATTTCAATTTTCCTCAGATTTTGGATTATCACGCAAGATTTACGGACAAGATTACTACAAAGGAGGCGAAGATGACGCTATTCCGATCCGTTGGATGTGCTTGGAAAGCATTTTGTACAATAAGTATACAATTGAGAGTGACATATGGGCTTTTGGAGTCTGTTTATGGGAAATATTCTCATTTGCCATGCAACCATATTTTGGAATGACGCACGAGGAGGTCGTGAAGTTTATCAAAGATGGAAATATGTTGGGTTGTCCAGAAAATTCTCCGTACTGTGTCTACAACTTGATGAGACAATGTTGGAACCGAAAGCCAGAACAACGACCAAATTTCCACTTTATACAGCAGAATCTTCATCAGATTTGCTACGATTACGATTCTCGGGGAGGATCTTAAAGGAACTAATCTCTTCCAAATTCGATATCTATCATTATTTTTAACAAAGTCATATATTTACCGATTTTTACGAAAATGACAATTTAAGGATTTTCTTATAAACGTTTGTGCATTTATGTGTTAAGTTATATCATACCAGTACTAATAGAATTAATTCATTTTATATCACGAGTGACAATAGCTATGACTGTTATTATAAGGACCACCAAAATCCCCAATTTAATTTTTTTTTTACTCAAAAGAATCTTAAAAAACCAAAGAAAAATCTCAAAAAAGTATTTTACCGATCTCAAATTACATTATTTTAGGCTATAGCTTATCATTTCCATTTTACACATTTTGTGAGTCTAATGATCTAAATTGATTTTGTACATCGATTAATGCTAAACGATTTTGATTTATATTTTAAGGATTTTTGACTAATCCAAAAATTGCTTTATTGAGTGATTGCCATAAAAACTTTTTTCAAATTTATTTTTAAAGTTTGATTGAAAATTTAGTGTTTTTTATAAAGAAAAAATTAATAATATTGATAAGAAGCATGTAGCTGGACATATTCTCGAGGAGTTTAGATTGTTTTCTTGTTTTTGAATGGCTTTTAAGGTCTTTCTTGCATTTAAAGCTGATAGATTCCAACGGAAAGTCAGTAACACCAAACTTAAAAGTTTTAACTAGAAAACATTGACGTAATTATTAAGTGCTATCATCTATTTACACCTAAAAGTTACGTGAAAAAGATTGCAATTTAATTACCTTGTATGAATAGTCGTCCGTTAAGCTATCAAATATGAAGAATAACAGCTGATTTTCCACATACACAGTTAGTAAACGTGCGTATGTTGGAAAATTGAGCTAGAAAAGATTCTTTTAAAAATTCATAGCAATAAGATATTTTTGTATTTTGCATAAATTTTGTGCAGAAAGAAATTTCAATAAATGAAAAACTATCAAGTATAAATCCCGGAAAATTCAAGACGTCATGTTTTTTTGAACAATTCTTAAATACATTTACAATTCTGCTCACTGATATTTCGATGTCTCTTTTATATCTCCAATTATTAAATGACAGATATCGAACACATTTAACCGTTGAAGACTCGTATCTTTACATTGATGGTCTTTAGAAAAAATATACATTTTTTTGCTACATCAGTAGTGTTTTTGAGAGCTTCGCGAACAGTCGCCTGTGAATCATTTTATTATTATCACAATCTATTGACTAATTAAAGTGAAATTGATTTGCAAATATTTATCGAATGGTCTCGTACAGACATCTGAAAATATATATTTTAAAAAGGCACAATTAACACATGTGTTTACGATTGTTGACTAATATGATTATCATAATGTTCAAAATGAAATTCAGTGCCTTTATAGTGTTTCTTATAGTTTTGACATATTCAAATGCCAGCGCGATGCGCAATCGCGAACATTATAAAGCTTTAATTCCTAATAATGATGTTGGAAGACATGAAATGTTAAAAGAATTATTAAGTGAATATGATATAGATCCAAGTGAGCTAATAGCTAGTGATTATATGAATTCAAATAGTGATGAAGAGGAAGGACTTGAGCCGTTCAATAGTTTGCCAATAATTCAGCCTGCTGATTCAAATATAGAAAGAAATGATGATTCTAGGGAAAGAACCGTTACAACCAGAAGACCTTCAACAACCACAACGTCAACTACCAAAAAACCAGCAACTACAACAACCAAAAAACCAACAACTGCAGCCCACAGATCGGATGGCTCATCTGAAGGAAAGCCTTCAAAAACTTCAGTATCAAGTACCACGTTATCACCTTCCTTATCAACTACTCAAAACATGAAAGAAGACACAACAGAAAGTACATTATTTACGTTATCTACAACAACTACGTCGCATCCGTTCCCATCAAATCCGTCATATAACGCTGATTGTTTATTGGGTAAAGTTAGTGAAATATTGCAATGGGTTGATGTGAATGGGGTGCTGCTGAAACATTTTATATTGAGTAATGAGGATATGAAGGATTTGGAATTTTTGGATAAGTCAAATACAACAGATACAAAATATTTGGATCTTGGAGAGGTAAGAAAGGTTAAATTTATGTTTGACAACCAAATAACGAGTTCATTGTCCCGTTAAATACTTAAAACCAAGTTATAGCCAAGTGTTTTTCAAACTTTTTTGGTCTACAGCACATTTTTATACTGAAATTTTGTTGCGGCACACCTGCTTTTATGAAACTGAAAATTAAAAATACCAAAAACCACAAGCTTTAAATAGCTGGTCAGCCTTCATGATATGTCAAAAAGTAGAAGCATCATCTAGTTAAAAACAATTTCATATCAATAAGTAATAAATTTTTTATAAATATTGTCTTATCTTTATTGGCAGAACGTTGGTATACTCTCATTAGCGTTCAACAATTTAAAACAAATCCCAGCACATGTTATTGACAATTCATACTTTTCACTTCAATACTTATCACTGACTGGAAATGATTTTAAAGATTTATGTGAGTTAATTGATTTGATTAATCCTTTAAAAAAATTGGAAATAATTTTTATTTTTATTTTCATCAGCAACACCTTTAAATCTACCAAACTTAAAGGATCTAGATTTAAGGAACTGCCAATTAAAATTAATCAAAAGAAATTTATTGGAAAACCTTAAAAAATTGGAATATCTTTATCTGTCAAACAACAACATTGCAAGTCTTGATGACGAATCATTCCATTTGCCATCCTTAATCCATTTAGACTTGTCATTTAATCAAGAGAAAACTCAAGATGGAGTGCTGCCAAATCCATTAAAAATGACACCTAAAGTGTTTGAGAAATTGATAAATTTACAGTTTTTGGATTTTTCACATACCAAGATTGAAGTTCGAGCTATTCCATCATTGGATTCTCTTTCTCATACCTTAATAGGAATAAGTCTATGCTACACGGAACTTCAAACAACTGGAGACAATTTCTTGTCAAATTTAACAAATTTGAAATTTTTGGATGTGTCTGGAAATACTCAATTAAATCTATCCAAAAGTATGTTTCACACAATATCAACAACACTTGAGCGACTTGATGTTCGTGATGCAAATGTTGAAAAATTAGAATGGACGAATCCTTTGACAAATTTAAGAGTTTTGAATTTAAACGACAATAAAATCCGATATTTGGACAACAATTCATTTTCTCACATGTTGTACTTAAAGGATTTAAATCTAGAGAAAAATTCACTGGGAAACTGGTACTCGAGATTGTTTACACAAAATCAAGAGTTAGAAACTTTAAATCTACGAGAAAATGCGATTCAAATGCTTACAACAGACATGATTCAAGATTTACTCAGCGTACGACATCTGGCAATTGGAAAGAATAAATTTGAATGTAGTTGTAGTTTATATAATTTTATGCTCATTCTATTTGAGTCAACGAAGAATGCCGATATGGCGCAATTGCAAGACAGATTTAATTTTGACTACTCAGATGTTGAATCTCGAACAACTCCACATGCTGTTTCGATTGGTATGAGAAGTAATTTGCGGCCAGAATATGATATAATTTCGAGGACTTACCAAAAGTTTTATGATCAAATATTGAGAAGTATTGAGGCACTTAATAAGCACAATTATATTAGAAAGTCACGACTCCTTTCACTGTCGGATGTAAAAAGGCTTAATGATTTACCATTTCATACGATTCTGTTTGATTATGATGAGAATAATGAAGATTATCAGTGCATGAATGTGACGGAAAAGCAAAAACAATCAATGCTTGACTTAATTGACTTTTGTGATGATGCAAATTTTTCTGAAAAGGATCCACCGTATAGTGGCGTAGATGATTTCTTCATAATAACACTTTCAACTTCCTTAAGTCTGGTGATAATATTCTTCATTTTATTGTGCATTATTTATTGGAAGTGGTGGTATATCCGGTACTTTTGTATCCTTTGCAAAAACTCGGCAATTTTGAGCTTCATGATTGATGATAATGATGATGGAAAGGAAACAATTGTTAGAAGAACAAGCACATCATCCATTGATCTCTTCCTTTATGATGTGTTTGTAAGCTATTCTGACTATAATCGCCCGTGGGTTTTAGACGAGTTCATTCCAAATATTGAGAAACGAGAATCCATTAATGTTTGTTTACATGAACGAGATTTTACCGTTGGATATGGCATATTGGAGAATATTATATCATGTATGGATAGATCAAGAGTTCTTCTGCTGCTAATATCTGAGAAATTCTTAGAAAGTCAATGGTGTCAATTTGAAATGAATTTAGCACAACATCGACTGCTTGAAACGAGGAAAGAGAAGTTAATTGTAGTTCTACTCGAGGACATTCCACCAAAAAATCAACCAAAGACATTGAGATACTTAATGAGAACCAAAACATACATTAAATGGCCAGAAAACGGCTCAAATGACGAGAAACAGCTTTTTTGGAAGCGATTGAAAAAATCAATAATTTCAACAAAATGGGAACATGAGAATTATGGAAGCACGGCATGATTTTGCGGTTAGTCATACATCTCAAATACTTTGGTACAAAAATTCGATAATTAATAGAACTTACAAAAGGTTTAGCACAGTGACAAGTGATATTTAATTTAATTATTCTTAATATTTAAGCTACTCTTACTTTTAATCTTAAAAAATAACTTTATTTTTATCCTCCAACATTTTTGTACTTAATGATTTGTTTCTGGAAGGCATATGGTTGTGTATGATGAGCTGTGTTCAATAAAAGAAAAAGATTGGAATAAATTAAGATAAATAGAATATTCAATATAAATCTACAAATGTATGGGAACTGTTTTTAGCTAAGATACTCAAAATAAAACTTTGCAGTTTCCGTTCTTTTCAGATTGTTTTCTTTTTAAATCAAATTTTAACAAATTTGACAAGAATCAATAACTATCCCAAGGGTCAGACACTCCAACAGAATTGTAAGGATTGTACAATCCTTACAATCCTTCCATACGAATTGTGAGGATTGTACAATCCTTACAATCCCTACAATCCTTTTCATATAAGGATTGTAAGGATTGTACAATTCCTACAATCTTTCTATATAAGGATTGTAAGGATTGTACAATCCTTACTAAACAAAAAATAATGTCCATTTATTTTTAAAAAATAAAATAAAATACGAAAAATGAAGAAAGTCAGAAATTTCTTTAAAAACAATTATATTTAAAATGCAATAATTTACTGTGAATCAATTTGAATGATTTTTTATACATTTCAACTCATTAAAAAGTTTTAAAAAGTATAATTTTTAAAAGAGATTTTGATTTAAATCATTTTTGTATGGGGATTTTTTTGGGGATTTTGATTTAAATCTATTGTATGGAAGATTTAATTGGGATTTTAAAATCCAATGTAAAATTTTTGCATTCAATTTCTCAAATTATTTTTCAAATTATCAGTTTTCAGTTGCAGTTCCTAATAAGTAAGAATGAAGTTGATCATTTTTTGGCCCAATCTTGCAACTGGATCTTTTAGATCCAAGCATTTCTTAAATAAAGGTTACATCAACCAATGGTTCCATGCTGTTTGACTTAAACGAAATCCAATTCGTGATTTTTAATCTTCTGTGCTTTGATGTACGAAAGGAATCGGCCATTTCCACAAAAAAATTTTGATTTCAAGAGGTGAACCCTTGATGAATCCTTGTAAAGGAACTAGGCAGTTCAAGTGCCTATTCTTGCTTATGACTCATTAAACTTACGTACTGTAATAAGAGATATTTAAGTTTTTGAAAGCATTGAAAACAGGTAAATCCTCGTATGAATTAAGATCCAGGCTTGCTTGATGAAGTCCAGTTATTTATATGCAAGCAGCAAGGCACAGAAGATTAAAAATCACGAATTGGATTTCGTTTAAGTCAAACAGCATGGAACCATTGCTGTAACCATTATTTAAGAAATATTTGGATTTACAAGATCCAGTTGCAAAATTCAGGCCAAAATAGGATCAACTGCATTCTTACTTATTAGGAACTGCAACTGAAAACTGTTGATTTGAAAAGTAATTTGAGAAATTGAAAACAAAAATCTTACATTGAGGAATTTTAAAATCCTAATAAAATCTTTCATACAAGAGATTTAAATCAAAATCCAAAAAAAAAGACCCTATGAAAAAATGATTTAAATCAAAATTCTTTTTTAAAATCATTGCAAAAAGATTTTGATTTTGATTTTTGATTTAAATCACCCTGGTTATAAGGGAAAAAATTGATATATCAAGCTTATTTCGTTCTTTAAATTCAAACAAACAAATTTTTAGTATTAAATTAATATTTCTTCTCTAATAACCCATGAAAAACATTTTTAAATGTTCCATACAATTATTTCATCCTTGCAATCCTTATATGCAAAGGATTGTAAGAATTACAATCCCTACAATCCTTTCCATATAAGGATTGTGCGGAATACAATCCCTACAATCCTTCTCATATAAAGATTGTAAGGATTGTAAGGATTGTACAATCTTTACAATCCTTCCATATGAATTGTGAAGAATTGTACAATCTTTACAATTCTGTTGGAGTGTCTGACCCTTGAACTATCCTTGGAAAATCCACAACGTTATTGCAATAAGAAAAGACGCCACACGAATATTACAGCAATTATTTATTTAAACGATCTCGTGGATAAAGGAATCAATTTTTCATTAACACCTTTAAAAATAATATTTTGAAGGCACGACTTCTCATCTGTCATTTGTGGTTATGAATCATTCTGGAGATCTGACTAATGCAGTTTTGATCACTTACTGTCTTTTTTTAAAAGTTTATTAATCAGACAATTATATTTAAAAACTTTGTGCAAACTTATTTAATGTTTAAGAAGTCCAGTTTCTTCAGAAGAACTTTAAACTAACTTGATGAATGTTTTAAGATTGAAAATTGTTTGCGTAGCTTTTTGTTTTGTTTTTCTACCTTAATTTAAATCTCTTCGTTAACTCTGCCAATGTATAAGAAGTAGAGCTTGAATTTTAAATTCAAAATATGATTTTTTACAGCAGTTAAGTATTAAAAATAATCTTTTCCAATTAAAACAACATCTCAATAATCCTCTATAAATTCTTACCGTATCCAATATTCTTAGCAAAGTAAAATGGCTGAGCTGATCTCTGATAAGGATACTCGTATCTTTGAAACACGAAAAAGTATGGTGTATCGTCTTTGTGAGCCTTTTTTCGACCTCCTTGCACCTCTTGTACACAGAAAATTATCATGATAGCTAGAAACAGCACAAGGAGCTTGATCTATTAAAATAGACAATTTAATAAAGAATTGCAGAATTGAAATTTAAAAATTCTTACTTGATGCATCTTTTAAACTGATCTTTTTCACAAGCAAAACCACAAATAACTGATCAGCATTAACATTTCATCACTTCCATTTATAACAAAACTTTCCACTTAATAATTCACATGCCCGACGTGAGAAAAACTTCACGAATAATCCATAAAAAAATATGCAAATTAATTAAAACCAATTTCGAGATTATCTTTTTTTGTGTGAATTTATACATTTATAGAATCATCTTCTGCTGATTAATCATCTATTTTTTTTAAAAACAAAGAAAGTCAAACAATTTTTTTTGATATAGAACATTTAAAAAATCTATTCACAAAGTTACATCCTTCAATTACATTTATCTATCCTCAACTATTCTACCGATTAAATTCTCTATACTAAATCCTTTCGTATTTCCATATTTTCCCTTTTTCTTATCACTTAAATTTAACAAATTATGCTCCGTAAAGGAATCGTGAAAGAACTCATTGTCATCATCATCCGTTGCGTACACGGATCGTTTGACTTTACTGTCTTTTGTACCACTGATTGTTTGATCTGTATCGGAATCAATTTTAATGTCATTAGATATTATTTTTGTATCTACATTATTTTGGTTGGCATCACTTTGTAGGAATGGCGGTAATGGAGAGTTTGAATCATTTCCAGATGCAATTAAATGCTCGATATGATTGGACTTGAGCATCATTGTATTTTTCATAATTTTATTCCATTCCTCACTTTTAATTGTTGTTGAATCACTTAAATTATGATAATTTAATTGTTTTACATCACTCATGTGCTGATCATTATCGGAATCTGTTTCAACGTCAATATTATCATTATTAAAATCTTCATCCTCATAAGAATTATTTATAGCCGTCGCTGTCGTTGTTGCACTATTAAAATTATTTTGTTGCGAGTGCTGCATTTCATTATTATTAAACTTCCCACTAGCCACAAGATTATTATTAGCACTAAACAGTTCATTTTTAATTGATTCAATTGTTGCACTATCAAAATATTCTTTTTTATGATTCGATAACTTTCGATCATCAATTTCACTCGATTGCATCACTGAATGATTAGTTCCTCGAAAATTTATGAAACTAAATGGAACACAATTTGAATTAAATGAGTTTTGATGATGCGCCATTGGTGGATGTGATGCCGACGGATGATGATGCATGTTGGGTGGAAATTGAAGTGAGGGAATTACAGGAACTGGTTTTCTTATCCAAAATGGATGAAATGGTCCAAACATGTTTGTAAATGGAAGATTTGGGTGTAGTTGTACTCGTTTGTAGCGCTTTCTTCGTCGTAGGAAGCTTCCGTTGTCGAACATGTCTTCAGCGAGGGGATCGAGTGTCCAAAAGTTTCCTTTGCCTGGATTTCCTGGCTCTCGGGGGACTTTTATGAAGCAGTCGTTTAGGCTTTTATTTTGAGAATTTAATTATTAAGGATTTATTTTGATTGAGTTTGTTCCAAGGGGGAAACAACATGATGGGAAAAATTAGTTTCGATTATTTTTGAAGGAATCAGTGAGAAACTAGTAAGAATTTTCTATCATGTTGTTTTCCCCTTTGTTCATTCGTCTTAAATTTGAGTGACATCACAATCAAATGCATACCTTAAGTTGTGTCTAATTGAATTCTGCCATGCTGGAAATTTTTCTTTATAGTATGGAAACCTGTGGAACCATAAGAAATATTGCTTAAAACTTAGTGCTTGACACTAGAAATTAAAGATAAAGTAGAAAAATTGACTTTTTAACAATCCTGCTTTAAATAAGAATCGAACCAGCATAAAAGTACTGAACTCTCAGCACTGAATTATAAGGGCTGCTAGGTAAGTTGGCAGAATGCCAATAAAAACAATTTTTCTGCTTTAATTTAAATTTTAATAAATCTGAATGAATCCAATTTTACTCGATAAAGTCTACTTCCGTAAATCCACTTACCGGTTCATTATGAATTCACATATTCCACTTAAAGTTAACTTTTTCTGTGGTGATTGGAGGATTGACATTGTTACTGAATGTGCATAAATTAAAATATTAAAAATTAATTAATCACTGAGACGAGTAAATTGATCACTAGATAAAGGAGAAGATATAATTACTTAGTGCAATGTATGAATACGGTGGCTTGACTGTCGACGAAGTCGGTGAAGCATCTCTTTGCTTATCCAAACGTTTCTCATCACTCTTTGTTTGCTCATTACTTTTCACATTATTCGTCAAATTATTATTGTTATTTTTACATGGCAATGGAGATGCTGATTGTGCATTGTGAAATTCCACGGAACTTAATGATGGATGCATCTTTTCACTATTACTTCCTTTTGTACAATTTTTAAATATTTTTTTTTTTTAAATCTCACTTGAGATTTCTTTTTCTATCCACTTCCGCTATTTCCACACTTAACTCTATCGCTTCTCGATTTCAACTGACAGCATTTTATCTTGTTACAAAAATATTTGTCGATGTCCTTGTTACAACGAAGGAAAAAAAGGAATACAAAAAAATTATGTCTAATTTCCCAAAAATCTTGTAACTGAATGGCAATAGCACAAAATTTTGTGCCTTTGTATGACAAAAACAACAAATTCCATTCTTTGTTGTTGTTGCTGTATATCATGATACACAACCAGATTCACGAAACGATATTTTTCCACCATGGAAGTACGACGTGATGAGGATTGAAGGGAGAACGAAAATACTTCGCACACACACACACAGACTTTTTACTATCTTTGCATCCTTCTCCTGTGTTGTAGCTATTGCTATTTTTGAAATTTTATACAATATCCATAGTACATAGTGCCGTAGAGTGAGTTGAGCTTCACTCTGTTATTGTTGTGTGTATACTTTATTTTGATAAAACATTTATTTTAAGAGAAACCACGCCAATGAAAACATTACAAATTTGTGATCTGATTCTACTAGCTAGAACGAGATGGATAGAGAATGTAGAGCATAGGGATGAATAGGATGGGTTGACTATGGTGAAGCTATGTGTGTGTATGTGTACATCTCGCACTGTTATTTTGTTATTTTATTTCCGTTAGTGCCACAACCAAAGATGTTTCTTTGCTCATACATTTGGACGTAAAAATCGGAAGCTAAGGCTGAAAATTGAAAATGGATGCTAATGAAAAAAAATTGGGGATTTAAATTGCTCGAGATGGATGTGCGCACACTTATTGTCATGATATTTTTCACCATCAAAATATTTATCCACAACTTGTGCCAGATATTTTATTATTGCATGCTTTCATGCTTGTTATTTTATGCATTTAAATGAGAAATAAAACTGAAATGTTCAAGCATATAATTGACATTTTCAAAATGACTTTTTGGTTTCTGTTTGGATATGAATTTAATTTTTTTTGCCATTGTTTCTTCTGGTTGATGGACATTTTTACTGAATTATTAAATTTTTTTTGGACTTGCAGGATTCTCAATTAAGACAAGTTTGATATGACACCTAAAGTATGAAAATGTTGAGAACGAAAGTCGATGTCAGGTATGTGTGCATTAGCATGTAAAGTCCTAGTCCGAAAGCTAGGTAAAGTGTATCGTATAAATTCTAAACAAGTCAACAAGATAATATGTCTTGTTAGCTCATTTGGCAAGAAATAAGCTTTCTGTTGAATTATACTGCCGAGTTCAAATCTTAACATCGGTCTGGTGATTTTTGCAAAGTTTAGATACTTTGGCAATCTGTTCGTAGCTACAGATTAAGGTCTAATACCAAAAATCATACATTGAAGATTAAGGAACGGGTTAAGAGTTATGAAGTTACAATGAGAAAGCTGAAAAATTGTTTAAATGGAACTACATACATTGTAATGTACTGAAAATTAGAACGAACGCTGCAGAGTTTTTAATTTGATGCTAGATAAACATATTTTCTCAAAGTTGAATCATCAAATGCTTTAGTTGAATCAAGTTTTAACCACAGCATAGGTTGCGTTTACTTGAAATAATTGAGAAGCATGGAAAAAAGCATTTCAATATTACTTATAGTTATCTGATAAGCACATCTTTCAAATTCGGAGATCTGTGGTTTACAGTGAATTTGAACAACTCTTTTAGTGCCATTTCTTCCTGAATCCTACATTGATATGCTGGGAGCTTTGTTTTCAATAAAAAGATATAATTTGATCAAAACTTCTACATAACCAAGCCATTTCAGTTAAACGCAATATTTGATAAACGTAATTTATGAAAGATCCTTTAAATGAATTATGAACATAAGGAAGACTAAGTCAGTAAGTTAAAGCAATCAATTCCAATAATTCATAAAATTCACAAATAAACCTCAAAATTTATTTACAATCAGATTCAATATTTTCAACCAAAAAAATAAATTGATCCGACTTCGAAAAAGTCAACAATCATTATGTGCCAAGGATAATAAACAAATGGGCAAATTTCCAAAAGTTTATGTTTAAACAAATAGGGTGGAATATTTTTATTATTATTAAAAATCTTCATCTTTTAAGCATTATGAAGCACAATAAAAATTCCACCTTATATTCACATCCACCCCTGCAATCGACTACTTATAATTCCACCTCAATACCATTCATAAACAATTGAATGTGAAAAAGCAATAAATTTTTATTACTCCTTCTTAATCCTTTCATTATTAACTTATATCGCTCGTTTATTGTTATGATGGTTTCGAGTGAGACAATTCTACAGCATAGCACAGTTCTATGCTTATCCGGTGAGGGAACGATAATGTTTGTAATGTATTGCTCGAGCAGCAGTAAGGAGGGGTGACATTAAATTCATGTGACAAATGATTTAATTTTATTTCTGCATGATTTAATTTTGTAGCTTGATTCCCGTATATTCATGCATTTACTACCCGAAAGGTACTCGCTGTGATGAATTTTTTTCTGTGTTTGTTTCCATATGTTACGGATAACGATTATCTGATGCTCCTGTACGAAAAAAAAAAGGAATTTAAACGTTTGGTAAATTAATCATTCATGAGCATTTATACTTTATTGTTTGTTTGTTATTTCGATATAGCAACAGCACTCATATAAAAACGAGATAATCCTTCTTAATGACTTGGATAATTATTTTTTTTCTTCCTTTCTGTTGTCGCAGAGCTGAAAAGACACCCAATAAATTTAAAAATATTATGATTTCAATGATATTTTTATTGCACGAATGCACGCTCACAAATGGCTTAGGATTAAGTAAGTGGTAGCTATTCAACACTGACATATTTCCAGCAGAGAGATCCTTAAACAATTTCTTCTCTCGTACATGATACCTTTTTTCATCATTTATTTTAAAGTGCTTAGTTTTTGAGAAATTGAGTGAATAGGTTTTGTCAGTTTGTAGATCTTATGTTTGTTATTAAGGAAATGGTAAACGAGTTGAATCCAAGCCGACACTTGATTCTAATGTCCAGTAAAAAACTAAACCTACGATCGCGTTTTTTGGTTGTAATAAATCCTTTGAAATACGAATTTTAATTTTCAGCTCAAAAATGAGAGAATTTGTGACAGTGAAGGAAGAAGTCCAGTATGAACATCGCCTAAGAAATCATGGATTATTAAGAAATTAAATCAGTGTTGTCCAAACTTTTTAAACCACGGTACAGCTTAGGGGTAAGCCATTACCCAAGTCGCAAACAGCATGCAGCTCGTATCATTTCCAAAAAAATTTCCAACACACTGGTGTACCGCGGCACACAGTTTGAACAACACTGCCTTAAATGCACCGAAAAACCAAGCAATTTGCTTGAATTTTCCTTACTTCTTACTAGATTCTCTCAGTCTCATGATGTAAAAAATAAATTCTTTATTTAACTTATAAACTTTCAGTACGAAAGAGTTTCTTCTGCTGCTGCTACACTTGAAATCCTTTTTTTTTGTGCTGTTCTATTTGTATTTTTACTCTTTTCATTCTTTGCAATAATTTTTTAATGAAGAAAAAAACTGAAAATGATGAAGGAATGAAAAAGTTTTTCCATTTTAACTCCTTCTGTTGTCTTTTCATCTCTTGCTATTTTTTTTGGTGGAACTAAATATGAATTTTTTCTGCTTCTTCTTTTTTCCTGTTCATGCAAATATTTTTCTTTCGATGAAAAACTTTTTATGTAACTGCTGAAAATCCTCATTCTGTGTAAATAAAAGTTGCTCATATTGAAAATTGTTATTTAATGGATGATAATGGTACTCTTGTGTGCTGCTCAAAAACAGAGTATTTCGTTGAATGAAATAAAAATTATTATTGTTTGTAAGATTTTTTCTTCCTTTTCCTTATTGTTCATTTCATCAATGAACTCGAGTGTTTAATTTATTCATTCACATGCGAACATTAAATACACTCTTCAAATATGGATATAAAAATAATGTATACAAATAAAATTTAGTCAGGCTTACAGGCAAATTTTACTTTTTATTTTTGTATATTTTAATCACCCCTTCACAATTCCTGATGTATTTTTATTCATTTTGTACGAATAGCAAACAATTAAAATGCGATTTTATTTCTCCGGATTTTAATCCTCTCTGTGGACGGGAGATGTTTATGATGAATGTTTAGATTGCTGTGAAATTTACTTGCTGGATCTAAATTCTTTGAACAATAAGATTTAATTTAGCATGGCTTTACAGATGAGTTTCGGTCGTTGTAATAATAATTGGATTGTTTTGAATGGTTTTAAGGTTCTTTCAATTCTTTTTATCAACATCCAGAAAGATTCAGACATCTTCAAAACCAACAAATCAGGAAAAATGTTAACTCTGTTAAATTCTTTTTAAACATCCCGAAAGATCATGCCTATACATCCAGTTTATCAGCATCTCACCTCAACAACGAGCAAAACATTTTTAAAAATAAATATTCCATCCAAAAAAGTCTATAATCATGAAATCTCATCATCTACAAAACCTTCTCACCTCTTCTCACATTTACGCGATTTGTCAACCATTCAAATAACCTAAATTGCTCATTTTCGTTTGGATAATAATGCCATCTGTAAATATTTATAGAAAAATGGATATAAATTGAAATCTCATGTACCTTTCGCTTAATAGATAGCAACAGCAAACAACAGCGAGAAAATAAGTTGCATAATCCTCATGATCAATATCATATGGTCGTCTTCTCATCTTCAGGCACAAATGGAATCATCACTGCAATCCCTTTAAACTACAGGGAAAATTTGTAAAAAAAATTTCATTTGTCAACATCGAAGAGACATAAAAGGAATGGAATTGAAAAGATTTTTGTTTGCTGAAAGTTTTTAAAACATTATTACAGGATAGGAAAGAAGATTTTAAAGCAA